GCTGGTGGTGCTCCTCCTGCTCAGACCTCCGGTGGCTCTTCTCCCGCTACCACTGGTCCTGCTGGCTCTTCTCCTTCCGGCCCTGCTGGCTCTTCTCCCTCCGGCCCTGCTGGTGGCTCTCCTTCCGGCCCTGCTGGTTCTTCTCCTTCCGGCCCTGCTGGTGGTGCTCCTCCCGCTCAGACCTCCGGCGGCTCTTCTCCCATTACCACTGGCGCTCCTCAGTACAGCACCTCCACTGTCTTCACTACCTCTGTCCGCACTATCACTCAGTGCCCTCCTGAGGTTACCAACTGCCCTACGCGCCCCAAGACTGTGACCGACACCATTGCTCTGTACACCACCATCTGCCCTGTTACCGCCTCTGAGGGTGCTCACCCCACTCAGCCCGCTGGCCAGCCTGGTAACTCTGCTCCTGCCGAGCCTACCACCACCACCACCGCCACCTCTTACATCACCCAGACCTTCACCATCACCCGATGCCCTCCTGGAACCCCCAACTGCCCCGTTGGCGCTGTCACAACCACTGTCTACCCCAACGGCCCTTCCACTCTTGTGTCCGAGACCGTCCCTGCGGTTGTGACTCCTCCGGTCTCTTCTGCCGCCGCTGTCACCGTTCCCGTGGTCCCTGTGCCTCCTCCGGCCGCTTCTTCTGCCCCTCCTTCCAACCCGGCAGTTCCTCCTTATAACCCTGCGGTCCCCGTTGGAACTGCCCCCGCTGTTCCTCCTCCCGTTGGCACTGCTCCCGCTGGTTCCCCGGTGTACACCCCTCCGGCTAACCCTCCGGTTGTCTCTCCCGCCTCCCCTGTCGGCACCAACCCTGTTGGTCCCCCAGCTGGCGGTCCTCCTGCGGGCTCTCCCTCAGGTATCCCTGTCAACTCTGCCGGCCGTGTTGGTGGCAGCCTCTTCGCTGTCATCGCCGCTGCTGCAGTCTTCCTTTTGTAAGTTGGATAAGCTAAAGTGTTTTTTTTTTTTTGGTCTGGAACATGTACACTTGGGAGTCACCATGTCATAATGTTCGGCAACGTGTAAATAGTATGATTTAGAGAAGGATTTTTTTATTGCTTTATTCTTAGCCAAGCCAGGTCCTGTAGATTTTGGATACATAGAGCGGGCTACATATGGTAACGAACGCCATATTTATTTCTTATTCTATATTAGTTTGAATGGAATGGCAGTCTAAAATTATCCTCTCTTTACCTTTATGATGTTTTCTACGTGCTTTTGTCTATATTATCAGTCTACAAGCTCAAAGGATGGAGGAGTGAAAAGCCTCTGTGTGGTGTGTAGGATGGTGTGATGTTTTATGCATTGTCCACTTTCAGCAGCTAGCTGGGTGATGCATGAGCTTCCCCGACTTGAGGGTTACGATTCACAACCTAAGATGTGATCTTTGCTTTTGCGTAGGTTAGGTGGAGTATTCTTGACCATTCAGCGAAACTGCGCAAATCAATGTTTACTCTACGGCTGCTATTGTTGTCGCGAATGTGATTTTGTCAAGCACTGACCGTTGTCAAAAAGAGCGTTGCCCTAAAAACCCAGACTTGTCTGCTCTCGATGCTAGTCGGGCACCCGGATCCAAAAGGGGATCCAGAAAGGCAACAACGTTCCGTCCGCCGGGCCCTTAGTCAGATCTGGTGGCTGAAACAAGGTGTCGCCCGCCACCGGGGGGAAAAGGAAAAATAACAAAGAGCTAGACAAGGGCTCCATACGTGAAGACAAAAAAAGAAGCGACGGAAGGGAAAAAAAAAAAAACGCCGCAATGTGCGACTTCTGCGGCTTTACTATTTTCGGTTAGAATCCGGTGACTGGGAGGAAAGAATCTTGCGCGGAGGAATGAAGGTATCGTATGCTTTTTTTTTTTTTTTTCTGTACTCGCCGAGAGGGATGGAATGCATTTGCAAGGATCGAGAGATAGACCTAGCCAGTTAGGACGATAGACTTAGGGGATGATTGAGCAAGGAGCAAAAACAGGTTTGTACTCTTGAGGAATAGGTATTGGACTACTGCAGCTGCTGGCCTTGTTCGTCTGTGATGTGATGAGAGATGTGGCATCAGCACCATACGATTTTCCCTTCTTCTTTGATCGGCAAATACCACCTCTCCTGCCAGCAGCAGCAGCATCCTTGACATACACCACGGAATATATTCGTATCTGCGAAATGAGCTGCACAGTACGTGATTATTCTCTCAGAGTACTCCGTACTTTGACCGCTGGACAGGTGCTCGTATAACTCCGCATGCTAACAACAGCCACGCACGCACAAGAAAACCGTCACTCACTCTACCTGACACATGCCGATGCAGGTACCAAAAGCACTTTACTGGGAGTGCTTTGCACACCCACCAAAGAGAGGATCCTCCTCCAGGATCTGTCTGCCGCTTTAGTGTTAGCTAAATTACCCAGGGGCAGAGGCCGGGGTGGGGGAGCTTGTCCACGTAAGGCCTGGCGGGTGTTTCATGGCGTTTGTCCCGCGTTCTTTTTTTTTTACTTGCTCTTTGCAGACAGCGGGATGCCGGATGTGGCGTTCTTAAGTGCCTGGCCAAGTGGAGGTGAGGCGTTTTTTCTTTCTGGCTTCCCGGCTACTGTCACCTTTTAATGCTGTGGAGCTGGCAGAATGAACATGAACGAGCTGTAAAGTATCCTCCTTTGTACGGTCATTGTTCTCCGGCATGCATGTCGCCCTCACTTGCTTCGGCGCCTTCGGATCGCCCATTGCTAGTGCGACACTCGATGATTTGGGACCAGATGGTACCTGCGCGATCACCGATCCAAGCAGCCAGGCACCCGGGCGCTGATGAGCTTTTCGCGCACCAGTGAGACTGGATAGCCATGGTGGGCGGTAGAACACACTCCGAACTCCGCAACTCTCGCGCCATCCCTCCTTGCCCAGCAGCGCTCCACAGCAAGCTGGATTGAGCGAGATGCCGTGCTCTCTGCCTGCACTCACGCCTGAATGAGCGCTCCATACCTGGGCAACGCCGTTGGTTTGCTACGCGAGCAGTCCGTCTTCTTCACCGCTCGCTTCTCCAGGGAATCATGAAGCCCCGGCGGCTGGTGCGAGTCACGCAGAATCCTGCTTGCGTTAGTCATTGCCCAGTTCGAAGCCCCCTTATATGGAATGTCTTTCTCTCCTTTTGCCTTTTTTGTGCTGGGGAGCCTGTTCTCTGGAGCAACAAGCCTGGGAACAGCCAGTGCTGCAACATTTGCTTGCTGAATTTGGCATCCTGGCTATTATGGAGACCTCGTGTGGTCGTGACCCTTGCCCTGCACAGCAACTCGTATTTGTATGCAGTACAAGCATTCCCCTATTTATTTCTTGCTTTTTCCTGCTCCACGCAGGGTTATGGGCAAAGTACACTTGTATAGGTACGAGGATCAGTACCATACTGTATGCATATCGGCTGCACATTAAAGTGGACTTGAGCCCAGCATTTGCCAGGCTTGAAACTTGGGACATCATGCAGGGGCCGATGTTGTGAGGCAAGATGCTAGCACCTGCAGCACGCAACGCAGTGTGGCCTCCAGTGGTCTTCCCCGCCGTGGCCAGCAAGAATTCGCTGTGCCGTAGATGCAGAATATTATGCCGTGATCACTTTTGCCCTTTATGCCGCTGTGCTATGCCGCTGTGTCAGATGTGCACATACGGCAGTGAGTTCCACAAAGAGCACCGCATGTAGGACAGCCGGCTCCCAATAGTAACTGGTCTTCTGTGAGCAGCACGGCGCCATTGCTGCCTTGGAGGCCGAACGTAGCCGGCGCCGCATGACCGTCGTGGCCGCTGACTGATGGCCTTGAAGCCTCACTCGCTTGCCGAGAGCCTTGCTGTTGGGTGCGACACTTGGGTTTGTTGCCTGTTGCAGCCTCAGAAAATGGCCGTAAGCTTCGAGTTTGTGCCGCTGGCCAGCAGAGCTCAGGCATGCAATTGGGGGCCGTGATGTCAGTAGTGAAATGTTTTTCCGTGCTGTCGTGCTCCGCCACCGAACCAGCCACACCCGCCCAGCGGCCGGCTGTAGGAGGATGCGAGGCGCAGTCTTGCCCGAGCCAATGACGCTGCGCAACGCCGCAAACCAACATGAGCAGCGAGCAAGATGACCGCTGAAAGCTGCACCGCATCGCCCATGAGATGCACCGTGGCCGGCCGTGAGACCAGATGCGCAAGTCTCCAATGGGACGGTGGTGGCACAGCTCCGTCGATGCCCTTCGACGGCCCTCTTTGCCTGCTCAGCCATCCCTAGACGCTGCTCAAATATCGCGAGAGCCCAACTGGCATGAGACACCCAACACCCGTCTTCTCTGAATCGTCGATGCGGGCACGGGGGCCCATTCCTGAGTCTATTTACTTGGTTGAACTCTGAACTGGGCCCTGATAGCTTCTTCGCGCGCGCCTACGCTCAAAGACTAGAGCTGCAAGAGGCCGAGAACCATGAGCCAGCGTCCGGTAACCAGGTTGGTGATACCAACACAATCGTCGTCGCCTAACAGCCAGCCGACCACTCCAAATGGCCGCCCTTCGGCATGGTCCTGGTCTGCTCAGCGTAAAATGGCCAGGCTCTACCTGTATACCACGCTCCCGGCCGAGAAGATTCGGGCCATTATCAATGCCCATTCTCCCGACAAGACCATAAAGTATGTCCATCTTTCCAGCTTGGCCAAGTATTCTGAAATGCTAGGCGCCTGGCTATCTTATATACGCCCGGGTGGTCCGTCCATGCTAAGAAAAGTACAGGCAAAGTTCTGCGAACAAAAAACTCCAGTCCTTCTTTGACAAGGAGCCGCGATGGCTCCATCCTCACGACAATGAAGATATGGGGCGGCGAATCACCGAGCTGGCCAATTCGCCAACCCAGATTCAAAAAGCATCGGAAATGTACTTCTCCTCTGTTCATCTGGGCCCTCAAGACCATCCCTCATTGTATGGAAAGAGCGACTTTCTTGGGGTCGGCGCATCGCCAAGCGCTTGCTCAGATTCCATCTACAGCAGCAGCGACGCTTTCTCAGAATCGCAAATGTCACTGCCTTGTGCCATGCCTGACGTTCCAGGGGAAAGCCCGGGAGAAAGTAGCAGAGGCCAAGTCCATTCCGTGGACGATAGCCAGGATTCCAGCCCATTTATCCCGTTCCTGGAGCGAACCACGTTCATGACCGAGTCGAGCGCAAGGACTACGGGGACTTTTAGAGACCATCTTCAGGAATATACGGAACCCTATATCAAGGTGGTCAAGCGTCTTGTCAAGAGGTTCACGTCGCCGGCACTCGATCAGCCAAGCCCCTCTCCGCAGCAGGACATGCGCGTAGATCCCAGTCGTGATTGGATTGGTGAGTCGACTAGAAAAATACCTGACGCTCCCAAGGATTTCTTGGTTTTACCTGGATACTTTATCAGTCATGAAAGCTTTGCTTCGGTAAATGCCTCGGAAATATTAACGGCCTGGAGATACTGGTGGGGCTGCCACCCAACCCCAGATAAGTTCTTCTGGTTGACGCCCGATGGATTGACAGCTCTTGCCAACGACGTTTTGTCTTTGAGATCCATCCAGTTCGATGATATGCCGTGTGATTGCTTTGCAAACACGGCACTGCATTTCCTGGGGATTTGGGGTAATCCCGAGGTATTATGTCGAGCTCTTCAGATGGGCACATGTACCCTCACAATCAACATGCAAAACACTGCCGGACAGACATTTATGCACCTTCTCAATCCTTCAAATGGATGGAATCAACAATTAGTTCTGGAGTTAGTCAGAATTGCGCAGGCAAAAGGATTCGACTTGTTCGCGCGAGACTGCCTTGGCCAATCTAGTCTCCATGTGCTCAAAAGGCTAAACCTGTTCCCATATGAATGGAATGATATTGGCCTTTACGATTTTTTGGTACGAGATGGATTTGGGTGTATTCCGGTTAATCACAAAGTGAGCCGCGAGGTGAATTCAAATCACAAGAATCTGTTCAATTACGAAAAAGTTCGAGGAGAGAACGAGAGCGTCCTGATACCCGACCCTGCTCTTGACCTTGTAGAGAGTAACTATCCTGAAATATCGCAAGAGAGTCAGCTTTTGCAAAACATCAGAATGTCCTTTACAAGTCCGCATTGGGAAGACGAATATGGACACAACGGCCTCCACTGCCTTGCTATGGCAACGCTGAGTTTGGACAGCCTAGCAGAAAAGCACGACATGAAAGGGGAGGCGGAACAATTTTTTAGTCCGGGAAGTTCCCACCACTTGAGCGACTCGTCCACAGAAAGACTGCAACTTCGTCTCTCGATACTGGAAAGCTTGCTCGATGCTGGACAAGACCCCAACCACAGAGACAAGTTTGGCCAAACCCCTCTGATGGCTTTCGTTGCGGCGCTTCCGGAGGATGGCGGCTATAAGATTGGACCCGCCATCTTAAAATTACTCATTTCGAAAGGCGCCGATATCAAGGCGCGAAATAGGGCTGGAGAAACTGCCTTACATATTGCCGTGCGTTTCCACCGAAAGCTCGCTATCAGAGTCTTGACTGAGGCAGGAGCCAATGTCCATGTCACGGATGCCTACGGCCGAAGTTTGCTTGGTGTATGCGATATTCAGCTGGCAAAGTACAGCCATCCGGCAGAGTATGGCAAATACTTGGCTTGTCGAGCTTTCTTGAGTGGGCAAGCTGGCGCGGTGCAGAGTCCATTTTGTTTGCAGCAGTGGATGGGGTGAAACTAGGTTTCATGATGGCGCTGAAGGAAGAGACGCTCAAGACCTACTCTCCTGGCGCCGATATCCTTTGTTTAAATTTTTTTACCTTTTCTCCTTTTTCCCTCTTTCTCTAGCTTGAGCTTTTCCTTGTACTCTTTCAGGCGTTTATCATCGGGGTTTGGACTTGTTGGAGGAGCATGTGAAGCATTAGATGCGATGCGAGGCTCGTGCCATATACCTTTATTTTTCTTCATTGGGTTTTAGAATGAAGGAATATGATGATAAGACGGAGTAGAGCATATCATAATAGACTACTGGATAGTTCTTGGATCAAGTGTTAGAATGATTGGCATTTTCTTAAAGAGTGTCTCTTTGTTATATTGTTCCAGTTTGTGTCACGATGATTGGACCTCGGTTGACGAAGAATTCTTGCCCCTTTGTTGCTACCATGATGCCTCTCCTGTTATGTATACATTGTGCGGCCTCGTTACATGCACTTGGTGAAACCGCCATAGCGTAAGATACTGCTACTATGCCGGAATAGAGTACATTGAAGATGCTCGCTTTATCAGATCTGTACGCTAGGATGTGAGGTCTTGACGTACTTGTGTTGCTGCATTTCCAGAGCGCTATAGCAGAATGAACATCATGTCAGAGTCACTCCAAAATATTTGCTACCGCCTATCTCATTTTATATAACAACGTCCCAAATTGGTTTTTTCTTTCCTCCTTAGAATCGAGGCTTAGTACTAGTATTTACCACCCTGGCAGCATAGAGAGCACAAAAGATGAGAGTCGCCCTGGCCCTGGCTTGAGCACAGATCAGCTGTTGGACTGGGGCTGTGTTTTCCTAGTTAGGCAGCGACGGGCTCTGTGATTGGCTGGTGGGCCTAAACCGAGAGACGCTTTCGCTCGATAGTGAGGTGGAGAAAACAGTGCTACTAGTCGTTTGAACCCTGTCTTGGGGAGTCCTGGTTTTTCGTTTGCGCGCCGTAGTTGAGAGGTGTTTTTGAGATTTCTCGGAACTTACACGCAGGTAGTAGTACGTGCTGCGGTGACGAGGCTGCTGTGTGCAGGCACCATATTCCATAATAGTGCCCTACCAACATACGCTCACACATCCACGCTCTTGATCATTATTTGTATACATTTCAGGAACGAGGTGTGACACTGACTAGGGCAGATTAGAGCACTTAACCCCTAGCGGCCCGAAATTCGTTCAAGCCAAGATCCTCAAGCTCCAGGCTAAAGGAATGATGACGCTGAATACGGAGGTGACGCGTCTGGCTCTCGGCTGTGATGCGTTTGATGCTTTCCTAGAACAATGTTCGGGGATGTTAGAGTCGAAAGAAAGCTCTGCCTTTCCTTGCGGCTCTGCGACAAAAAGGTCCCCATTTTCCCATTTACCCATTCAACAGATGAATTTTCTCGTCTTAGCGCTTGGAGGATTGCTTAAACCATGTATGCTTGCTTGGACCCAACAGATGGTAGGCTGATATGCCGCCTTCTCCACACACTGGCCAGTTAATCGTCTTCGTATATGTAGAACTGAATCATGTGCTAATATGTTTGGTGGAGGCATACGTGTTGGCCGCTGTTCAGCGGGTTACATCGGGCTTTGCCGAAGTCCTCGTCAGCATGCCAATCCTTCCTACCAACCACCCATCTCCCTTGTACTAGTAAATAATACTTTCGAGGAACTATTGAGAGTTTCGACAAAACTGAATGTCCATTTAGCTACACGAACTCTACGATGGGCCAATTTTCTACTGATCCATTAATCACAGGGGTCTCAGCCCGATGCATGTCGGCCTAATAATAAACCACCAAATGCAGTAACGGGAGGGTTGCTTATCCCAGATAGCTGAGAAGTAGACTTATTCTCACCCGCGACGGTGCATCCCTAACTGTAGCCGGATGCGTCACATTAGGTACATGTAGCTGAAAAGAACGCATTGAAGGAAAGCGAATCGACAGACGCGGCGGCCAGACAATCATCCAGAGCAGTTTGCTTACGCGCCGCTTTGTTGCAATACTTGGTCTACCAGAAATGAGATTTAAAAAGAGCGTCAAAAAATGAATAAACTCCAAAAAGAAAGGTTTGTTGCGTAATCTGGGAATCGAACCCAGGGCTCCCCGACGTTGCGGATGGCAACGGAGAATTTTACCACTAAACCAATTACGCGCTTATGTGATTGTTGAAGTGCGATGGCAAGTTTTCATCTATGAAGTTTACATTTTGCAATTGATGTAATCGAGGGACCCGAAAGTTCTTGTTTGGATGTCCAACTACTAAGGGACCTCGTTATATTGGACATACCCTACTTACTCTTTACATTGTGTTCCACAAATGAGCAAAGCATGTATGAAGCCGCCCAAATTCTGCATAGATTCGTATTCTATATTGCTTATCTTTCTTTAATCCCATTCCAATCACACATTAATGTATTTAATTACCAGAATCATCGTGGTTCTCTAAATATCCGCGTACGAGTTTATCCACGTACCGGCCATGGACCATTATCTTCCTCACACCATCTCGGACGCAAAAGAACCCTCCAATCCTTCCACTCAATCTGCCTGCAAGGTCAAGACTCGCCTTGCCAGGTCAAGTAAATATACTTCTGTTGTTGGTGACCATTCGGGCACTCCGAGGAGCAGCCAAACCATGAATAAGTTCGCACTAGACTCCATTGGATCGTAAAATGCGACTTGGAGAAGATGCTGTGCGGCTGCTGTGACAAATGCTGCAGGTTCCTGCCACTGGAGCCTCGTTTCCAAAACGTCCGATATCATTAGGTATAATTTTATTTCTTGAATCGGCTTGGAAGATTGGCAGTGTATGTGTGTAGTGCCCTACTGTTCTGGAGGCTTGCTAGAATGACTGAACTGTGTATCGAATGCGTGTAAAATTGCGGTGGCTCTAGCTTGTCTTGCTGCTATGGCTCTAGTTTCTACCTCTGCACGTCCTGAGCCTGGCGATTGGCGTTGCTGGTGACTGACGATCTGCCCGCTGCGGCCAATGAATCGATCTATGTTATAGGTCGGATGGTTGGGGACCTTTCGAAGTGCGGAATTCTTGCCACCGAAACCTGGCTTGTCCCTGTATAAGCTTATCAGCATGTGCATATACATCAAGCGAACATAGAGCAAATCTAAGCTTGGACAAGGCAAGGCATGTTACTTTGAGAAGGCGAAGTGGGTGAGAAGAAGACAAAAAAGGAATACAAGACACTTTGGGCTGGGGGCTTACTTGGACTTGCCATAATAGACAGCGTTGTGAGAAGACATGGCTCTGGAGGCTTGTAAGATGTTACGAGGAACAAGGTGGATGCGGATGCTAAGATGTACAAGCTGTATGATGAAGATGGAAACTGTGCACTCGACGAACATTCGACGATAGGTACTGCGGATGAGCATAATTCTTGGATAAATTGGACAAGCGGCATTATATATTCTTTATCGACCATTTGTGGACGCCGTCTCGATACTGCAAAGCTCACATGTGTGATCCTAAAGAGAGAGGGTACACTATCCTGGCAAGCCACTCTCCCGGGTTGGCACTCTGTGCCGGCGCACTTGCTCGATCGGGAAGCATCCTTGCTCAGTGATGGATTTAGACACGTTGGTGTCAATTGTATGGAATAACTACTTGCACCCGGAGCTACTATTTGCTGCGTGACAATGCTGCCGGAACAATGCTAAATTTATAACCCACGCGTTCGCCGGGAAAGTGCCCTGAAATATACCACTACATCCGGCATAGCCAGTTTAAAAAAAATTCTGGTGAGTCGATGAGGCTATTTGCTGAATGGAATGACGTGCAGAATCATTTGTGCAGAATCATTTGTGCAGTAATCATGGCGATCTTTGCTGTTTAAATATTAGGCATCAAAGTTTGAAGAGTTAGAGAAATGATCCTAAATCATAACATAAAACGTGGCTAAAAGTCAACATGTACCACGCAGCTGGGACGAGTATTGTTGGCAATAGCGTTGGTAGGTAGCTGTAGGGCGAAATTGAAAATACCTTTGCCCTATTATTGGATGTCCTTCTCTTATTACTGTCGTGGCTACTGCATACAGGGCGGGATTTTTATAACCAATACTACCTACGTATTTATTACTCCCTGTCTTGGAGCGCTCTTAGTGCTAAATAGTCTTGTGTTATGGCTATAGCGGATCCTATTTTTTTCTTTTCTTTTTTGTCATACTGTGCCTGCACACCTTTTAAGAGCTTATTGCAAGTAGAGTACGGTATTGAAGTCGCTAATTGACCTTGAAGTTTCATAAGTCATTTTTCTTTTCTTTTAATTGCTATTGGTCTATAGACATTATACAGTAAAGATATGGCTGTGCCTGCAGCAAGAGCCAAGAATACCTACTGTGGGCAATGATCAGCAAACATTGCAGCCTTGTATCGGCCAACAAAAACTTGATGAGTTCGTTTCTCAAACATCCATCAAGGACGAGAATATGTTACACATTCAGGGAGAAAATCCTGAATATATTAAATAATCTCTACGGTATACATAAGTAGCTGATAGAAGCTTTGTGCACAACACAAAATAGAAGCCAGTTCATCAATACATTGAGATGCCGGATGGGAGCATGGCTTTAGTGGGCTGCAGGCTAGAACAGGCAGCACTATAAAATAAAAGTAGAAATCTCCGAGAAAGCAGGCAGCTACAATACTTTTCTGATCTGGATTGCATTTGAGCCAATAGATTGTATGAATGTGTTCTATCCTTTCGGGATCTTTTTTTTTCCCTGCTGCCTGGACGCCGAAGACTTGCATAATAGAGAGTTTGTGTTATTCCCGTCTCAGTTACTCGGCTTCCTAGAAACCGGCGTGTCGGCGTCGCACCCAGATTTGGCCGACGAGAGCAGGAAATAGCACGCAGTGTTACAGCGCCACAACGTAATGGAGGCTGACCGGCCACTATTGAATTTGATGAATGAAGTGGGAGGGAACATGGAGAAGGGAGGAACCAAAAGCGTCGAATAGGCTGGGCCGAGCTTGTATATCGCGTAGAAGCCACCTTGCTGAGACTCTCCTCGGCCGTACGGCTTGTCTCCTCGTAGACATTTATGCAGGGGCGCTTTTGACACGGAAGCTGAAGGATTGGACGGTAAACAAGATGCTAGCGCTGGATGGGTTACTCCATGCTACAGGTAAACGAGCTCAGGTTACGTGTAATTGAGCCCTCGGTCCATAGTTGATCCAGGTCGACTTACCCTGGCCTGCAGGTCCGTTGTTGCAACCACAAGAGTTGGGTTGAAACAGTGGCCTAGCTGTTGCGAAATTAAACTTCATTCCACGACCCTTTCTACGATGACTTCAGCAGGGCTGTTCAAGCTCACAATGTTTATTAAGCGCAAGCCTGGTCTTAGCGAAGAGGAGTTCCATTCTTACTGGACGGAGAAACACCCAGCAGTGGTAAATGAATGGCTTGCAAAGCATGGTGTAGTTACTTATGTTCAGGTGCGCAATGCAACTGCAAGAGCACGCGCTTTGAGCAAATACTAAGCTAGAATCATAGTTTCACACTCCGTCAGAGATTCGCGAACAGTGCAAAGAGGTCGGGACTGGTTTGGGGAGCGACAATGTCGTGGGTTACGATGGTTACGTTGAGCTCACTGTGCGGAGCATAGACGCGTTGAAGAACGCCTTCTCCGACCCATTCTACAAGTCTTATGTCCAGCCCGACGAAGCTACATTCATTGACCCGATTTCAAGCTACCGCACATTTGGTTATGAGGAACGATATATTGAAGGTAACAAGGTACTGAAACAATAGATGGGGGCGGCCGAATCTAAGACAAATCGTCAGTGGTGGTTGATGGGGAAAGTATGATGAGTATGACGCAGCAGATCAAATCGTACGGTTTAACAAATAGGGTTCAAGGCATATAATATCATTGTTCTTAGTAAAGACGGGATGAATCAAATCTGCGAAATAAGTTGTTGATAATGCTATTCTATCTATCATGGCTCTATGCCTTTATGTGGATGATAACTAGTATGATTACTTGTGATTAAATTCCGGCATAGTTTTCGCTATAGAGGTGCACTCTCAGACTTATATTGTAATGTTTGGGAATGCACAAGCGAACTTATCTTGTTCTTAGTTGGCCCGACCAGTAATCGACATGGTCTGATATGAACTAACGAGGCTTTACGCAAGCCTTACTTTCTATCACATTATGCAAGGACCCTTTTCAAATTGGGCCTTCGGTGACTCCAGTGATGTCAGCTGAGTGGGAATAAATCTCTTGCTAGACTTACGAGGCAGCTGGCAGCTGGAAAACGTTGTATTGGTGTAGGCCATGGCCGGTAGGATGGTTACATTCTAGACGTGCAAGGCGTTTATTACCTCATGGTAAACTAATCTCGCCCTGTTTTCGGTTTTAATACTACTAGCTGCTGCCTGGATAGTCACTGCGCCATTCAATAAACATGTGCTATGACCTATTAAAAAAAGCCTATCGCCTGCATGTGATTAAATTTGATATTTATCACAAGGCTCTCCCTTGCAGTAAGACCAACACGGACGGTAGCCGTGACACCGAAAACAAGGCCTGCCTAAACGCTAAAATGCGGCTGAGATTTGAAATCAAGCATAATGCGATGAATGATTATAACCAGAGTGTTTCCAATACCTAGAAAAAAACAAAAATAAAAAAGTCTGTCTATGCGGAGTATCTAGCGAATAACAGAAATCTGGAGTTATCGCAAACGGATCACCGAGAAGCTATACCAGCCCTGTAAGCGGGGTTATTGAGGGATTTCTTTTTTATGATTCTTGCATACATATTTCTCGCTCTTCTACAAGAAAATCCCTTTACCAATGCGCTATTTTCCCTGTTTATCTCCATGGTCGTTATCCACCTATTGTGGCGTTGGTACTGAATCTATGTAGGAAGAAACGACTGGGTATTCATTTAATAATATATTACAAGCAATCAAATAGCGACAGAAAGCCACCAAGCAGAAACAGGAGGATATGAGCGACACGGAGGCAACCTTCGAAGGCGGCCCTTTGCGGTTTTCTGATGCGACGGCGTATGCATCTCAGTACGCCTTATGAAAAGCCTACACCCAGTCGTTTCGCGAGAAACATCATTTGCAAATTCCGACTAACAGCCTCCGCCACCGCTTTCACTACTACGACACGATCCTTTTGACGAGCTCTACGGAAGTTGCCTTTCCTTAATGCAAACAACTACATGCCCCATGCATAAGGCAGAAGCATCTGCTACGCCTTGTCATGTCTGCCTTGGACGCCTTGTTTGCATCAACGAGCCCGAGTCGAGAATTTCGATAAAACCACCATCATCTACGAATCAGGCGTGAGCCTAGAAATCTAGAGAGAGCTACCATAATAAGACAACACGAGAAGCGTCGGGCGCCTTCACAGAGTCCGTTACATGGCGCATGGCAAGAGGGGGCAGAAAACCACTCGAATCTTGGCATAGGTCTACGTCGCTACTCTCCTGATCTCGGTCCCTTCCGATATGGATGATAATGTTTCAAAACGGAGAAAAAGTTTCAAGGAGTGAATAAGCTGTGAAGGCTCTGGAGCCGCTGTCGTGGACTACCTGAACCACCTCTTTCGCATTAAAATAGCTGAGCAGATCCCTAAACCCCCTTACTCTACTCTACACCTTTAGATTTACGAAGATGGATCCATAAGATTGAGGGATGAAGAAAATTTGGCGCTGTTAGCTGGGGGTAGCATAATATGCGTCTTGTACAGGTGACCACTGCAGGGTGGATTAGACGTTGTATAAGATGTATCGAGCCAACTAATACGGTGCTAAGAAACACACAGAAATAGGTATATGTACTTGTGCGGCTCTGCTCGATTAGCTCCAATTAGTGTGACGAGCGATTCGACAACGAACTGCCAGATCCACTCGTCGCGAAAACGAGCAGCAGGAGGCAGAAAGTATAGCGCTGAACGATGCATTTACATTTTCGAAGAAACGAGTCCACTAGGTCGCAGAGTCTGAGGCCAGGCGCTTAGATGTGAAGAGGAATACCAATACTTTGGCGACGTGGCAGCAGATAATCCAACCAAAGCCCGGTGGGATCAACCCTGTTGGCAGAGACATATGCTGAAGGAACTAGGATGCGATGTTATAGGGGCAGCTTCCGGACTCATCACCCCCACACGGATGTCACGAGCCCACTAACTAGTGTTTCGTGTGGCTGTTGCTGATATTAGTCTCTCACTTACGAGGGATGATGTAGGAGGAGGTGCACGAGAGGCGATTAGGCGTACCAATGCTGCTGGATGCCTTTTTATGTCTGGACAAGTTGGAGTCTAGACTCAAGAATGTAAGGATCTTTCGGTTATCAAATATTTGACTCGGTTTAAAAACACTGTTTAAGGTTAGAAAAGCCACATCTAGTTTTTGTGTATTGTCGAGCGACATCACATCCCTAAATTAGTCAATATAGACAATCATTATTACGGGGGGTCGAGACGATATGGCGCCTTTGAAAGTGAGTCTGGAGGGCACTGTATATCGGGGCGGCAATGGCTTTTCCTCTTCGAGATTTGACCTCCGCAATTCTCCTGTCCGTTCTTACGAGCCCAGCTGCCGAGCCGTTGTGGGTATTGTCACGGCTATCGCAACCTCGAGTCCAACTACCAAGCGCTTACGGCTGCGGGGGAGGGGACGGTTGGCCTAGCTTCGGAATCGCATTGTTCTTCGCTGTAACCGTCTTAACCCGTAGCATATTTAAAAACATACTCAATAATTTGATGTAGCGACTATTGTTAACATGCGACAACACGAAACGAGTGTGTATTGTGTGTATTCAGCTACGTAGAATTGACACCAATATCCTAAGCTGTATGCGCATCTTGAACAAACTACCATAAGTGAATTTCATCAAAGATTCGTATGCCGCCCTTATAAATGCCTGGCTTAATCAGATTTCAGCACAATGTGACTACTTCACAGTCCACCCCTACGTCCACTCTATTGAGGACCGTTTTGTTCATTGTGTGGATCAAGTTGTCTATCAAGCTCCTGCAACTGCGCGTATATACGAGCTATCCTCTCATCTCCGGTCTCCTTCCGATCAGTATGGTTGGCATCGAGGAAAGTATTTAGAGTATGACTTGGATCGTTGGGAATTTGTGCGACAAAGCAGGGCGTTAGGTTTGGGGCCCTGAGATTCTCACTGTTAGGATTAAGGGGCTGGCAGACGCGGTAATTGTAGGATACAGAATATGGTGTAACCAGTAAACGAATGAAACGGGCCTAAAAAAGCCGAAACAGGACGTGACCATCGATACATGTTTGGCAATGTAGCGACACAGAATCTATTTGGGAATAAGGAACAAATGGTGTATCATGTTTTCGTAGGACAGCATAGTAATTGAACATGTGTTGTACAGTACCTTTCCTGATTATTATCTGCCATCTTGGTTATGGAGTGCAAGACAATGCCAAAGATCTGGATAGTGTATCTTCAGAGAAGATGAGGAAAAGAGTTGAGAAGCTCTGGTATATAAACCGAGGAGATAAATCTAGCAGTGTACCATTGACTAGAAGGATATATGAAGTTGTTGTTAAAGAGAGCACGTAAAGCAAGCGAAAAGGAAGGTCGTCGTTTTTGCTATTTAATCGCTCCGACTAGCTGTGTTGCCTTGTAGCATTTGAAGTCTAGTGCGAGGCACTCGTACATTATCATATACATTTGCCGAGTCTCCTTTAAGCTGCATTAGAATACTTTAGCGGCGTTAAATATACGCTGTGGTTCTGACTATTGGCCAAACCAAGACGGAGCTTGATGCGTATGGCGTACACCCCGTGTGACTTCTCTGTATGCATACTCTTACTCTTACCGCTGCAATCATTTTGTAGGATGAGAATAAAAGAAAGTATATATCTAATAAAGCTCTCCTGCGGATGATGGTGAGATATCTTGATAGCAACTAGTCGTTGGCGGCATCGTTAATTTGCGTTGCTCGGAGAGTGATTTTGAGCGTGTATATGCTCGAAGGTACGGATGGCCTGTACTGCCATCCTCTTCTGCGTTTTGCACTCGATACGTCGTACCTTGACCAGTCACTCAGTGGCCTCACAGCCAAGCGAGTGGCGAGGTATGGATCAGCTACTGCAGTGTGATAGGCAGTAACATGCAAGATGCAGCGATGTGAGATTCTGCGCCATTCAGTGAGCGTAGGGGAAGTGCGGCAGAAGCACAGAAAATATTGCAAGCCCAACTTTTTTTTTTGCGCAAGATTGAGGGGGGGGATTTTGCCAGAGTATACATGTACCTACTTTGGCACGGGTTGCCTCGAAGGGTGCCTAGGTCAATAGATGATAAGGCAGACACTCATGCGCAAGTGTAGGGGGGACATACTCGTACCGGATGTTTCCAAGGGCTTTATCTCGCTTCTAGAGCCCTTCACTGGCGAATATGGGGATGTTTGCACTGTAGTAATAGTATTACGAGTACCTTATCTGAATACGACGGGCGCCGAGCGAGAGGGGCTGCAGTGCATGTACCTAGACATGCTCCTTTGGAAATACCGGAACGTGCCGAGCAACTAAATATAGCAGTGCTGGCAAAAATAAACCTGTGGCTTATGAACCCGAAATTACTAGGCTGTTTTCTAGCCTTGATTTGACACGTTTATTCTCAGACCAGAACGCCGTGGCGTTTGTGGCCGTCGACCTAATGCGCTTAATTAGCCCGGATTTTATGCTCGCATACACACATGATATCTCCAATTGATGACAGTTGGATCATGCAGCGTGGCATTCAAAGCAGATGCGAGATTTTATGGTTGCATATTCGGCTGCATTGTGTATGTAAGCGCATGTAAATGCGCAGCGCACAGCTGGAGCAACGTTTAGGCGTTTCAACCCTTTTTTACCTATTCGTTATACAGTACATATGTAATTATTTGGGTAATTTGTGTATATCTCTATTTGCACTATCTTGATATGTTGCAGCTGTGTATTCGGGATTGGCCAATGCCTTGTCTTCCGTACCGCGCGACACAAACTACTCTCCAATACGTTTTTCATTGGGCTGAATTGGCATCTGAGGTAAGGGATCTTGGTACTTATGTCATCCCTGTGCTCCGATTCGACGTTTTGTGCATACAAGCACGTTCAGTGTGACGCAACGGATTTGCTTCCGTGGTCTCCATATCCGATATCCGAGAGCCGGGTGAGCTCACTTACACGTGGCAGGCTAGTATAATCTCCATGCAAGGGTCCGACGCACCTGCGATAGCTTATGCATGTACGGAGTAGATGGTTAGAAAGCTTGAATCACCCTAGAGCTATATAGGATTAGATCAATGGAAGTTAAAGAGGAGGGGGAAAAGGCTGTCGCCCCCAGAACTCAAGTATAAGGAAGCCATTCGACTTTTGGTACTGATGTTGCGGTGGTCTGAACAAATGTTATATATGTCAAACGCCAACTTACTTATAAAGACCCAAGCTTGTAAATGATTGAAGCAAATAGTCTATGATCTTAGTGATATGCTACCGCTAGTGACGAAAGTAGCAAAGCTAAATGAGCCCACGACAGAGATCGCAGACTAGTGGCGATTGATCGACTCTACCAAGACTATCTGAGCCAATAATAGGCTCTTCTCTTTACAGAACTTTAGTTACAGCATACAAAAGGTAAGGGACGTCGATTGGATCATTGATGCCACTAGCAACCAATGAAAGCAAATCCACAATCGAAACTCACCCTTGCGCAAACACTGGAGCCACTCAGCGAGAAGATGCTTGCGTCTATGTAATCATTCAGCTAATACTTCAACATCAACACGGTTGTTACAGGGATATATAATGAATCTCAATTCCTCCCCCTCCTCCTTTTAAGTCTCGTTTCACGTTTCTGGGTATGTATAGTGTCTTTGTAGCTACTGGCTTAGCCTACTGACACAGAGATGTTTTATCCTAGGCAATTTTACTCTCTATCACACAAGAAGCCTTTGCGAGAGCACAGTTATCAATGAAACAAAGGCGCCAAGGCTTGCTCTATGAATCGAAGAAAATAAGAACGAATCGCTACGACAGTGAAGAATTGCTGTTGGCAAGAATGTAGAATAAAATGATTTTTGCCTATTTTCACTTCATTTTATCGGCTCTACATATAATATTGGCGGGTAAGAATTATCGGATCATTTTCTGACATCTCTCATTGCGAGGAGGAGAGGCAGAGACGAAGTTTGGCGAGACAGATACACCGCCAAACGTGAGATTAAAGCGGGAACGTTGTCTCCAGCCCCTCCCAAATGCACATATGCAGCCCACTGCGGGGCATCCAACTGATATGATATTCCACTTATCGAGATGTACCTTTTCCCAGGCACCAAATACTATAGGACTATGTAGGTAGGTAGGTATATATCCTTCTAGTGAGCGATTCTTGCACCAATATGTACATGTATATTGTATCTAGGTAACCTCTACAAGTAATTTCATGCACGTCCTAACGTGACCCTGCATTATGCAATCCAGCAATAAACTGAGGCTCGAAGACCAATTACCGGAAGCCATTACAGTAGGCTGTCAAGCTGCCGACATTTGCTTTGCATTCTAATCCTGGTATAATATTCGAGGGTTCCATGTCCCTTTAGAAGCAACCACAGATGCTCAATATGTAGCTCTTGGACCACTGGGTTTAAATAAAACTTGAGCAGGTGGTGTTCCTTAACCGTCCCTCAAGATTGCCTAAGCATTATCCCGATTGTGGCCATTTCACTTTTTCATATGAGATAATCCCACCGCAGCTCAATTATAGTGAGTCCGCTTGAACTAGAGTTAAAAGCCCAGATAGCTTCTATAAATAGCTACTGTAGGTACGTCAGGATTTTGGGTACACCGGACGTAGCGCCGATCAAGGATTCGTGGGTGACTCGGAATCAGCCTCTCTAGAAAGAAGAAAGAGAGAAAAGAGAAAACAAGAAATTCTGCTCTCATTCGTGCTAGCGTTGGTACGGCTAGAGTAGTATAGAGTAGCGTAGAGTAGCGTGTATGTTGAAATTAAAGGCGTACATTTGCTCTTTGACGGCCCAATATCCCCACTATTATTTCGAAGACTAATTCGGCGGCTTGCATTCGGAGGGCGGTTGCCTGGTGTAAGAGGCAGGCTTCCCGAAAAGGGTAAAGTGAATTAGAAAACATTTCGTCGGCACAGAGTACCTGTTTTTTTGGTGGCAATACAATACTCAGTAGCAATGTATCAAGAACCGTGTGTGTTTACGATTCGCATCCAGAACGTTGCTTTCTGTGCATAGCACAGCCGCAATATACAATACTGCTACTTCTGCTGAATTAATTCAACCTCGATTATATCAAGAGATATGTGACCAAAATAAAGAATGCAGTTGATGGTAGTTGTATGAAAGGTCTTATAAACTACTATAGGTCCCGCCCCGCCACAAACGATGCGAGTATGCCTGTGGTTGACGGTGCTAGCATGCGCATGCACAGATCCATGCATACAAGACATTGAGGGGTGGGCTACCTTCAAAAGGGCTGCATCCTTATATATTTACCGCCACTACTACGAACAATATTCCTCGCTCCCTGAGAATAGCATATACATACATGTATGTAACATCATCATCATCATCATCATCATCATCATTCCACCATAACTACATATTGTAGGTTCATCGTCATATTTTTCTCAGCAGCTGCTTTATTTTTGCGTAGACTTAGTCCCTGGGGGCGTATTGCCACAGCCAAACTGCCTATTAAAAGCACTAATATTTGCCGATGCGCGAGCTTCACCCGCAGCTTTGGTCTCGTCTTGTGTCTGAACAGGCCCAAGGCCAACTGGGGCGCATTGATCCTGATCGACCAGGAAGCGATTGATGTTATCGGCACAGTGGAGACGGGCGCGTTGGGAGTCGCCCTTGCTAGCAGCTGAGGCGGGGTTGCTCGCACTGTATAGAGATTGAAATTAGCATTGCTGCTTCTCACTTAACGAATGATCGCCACGAAGTATTAGGGATTATGAGACATCTGAAAAAAGCACACATTGTTTGTCTAAGGCAAGAGGGATAGAAATAATGAAATGTCTCTTATGTAAAATAACACCTACCTGTCGCTGCCATTGAGCATGGTATAGGTAAAACTTGAAGCCATTCTCGTGTCGATTTTCGAACAGTTTAGTAGAAGCCAAGACAAGGGGAGAGAAAAAAATGTTTAATGGAGTGAATGGAACAAAAGCAAATTTGTATTGGCCTCTATTCATTCTTATATTCATGAATGAAGTGAGAAGAAGGAGAGTCAGATTTATATGGTCTTCATCCAGAAGGCAAGGTTTGCCCATCCGGGCAACAAGACTTTGATCAGCTGCGAGTCTGTCTAAACGGCCAAATAGCTTGCAGGGGAGGGGTGTGTGATGTGACATCGACTGAACATGGATCCGGACCCTGGCGGGGAAACCAGACCAGCAATACAAGCACGGGCGGCGCTGCGCCCCAGAAAAAAATACTATACTTGCGCCGTACGGCATATGCGCTATGGGAAACGAGATTCAAAGTCATTGAAGGGTCTGGTGCTACAGATGCAGACAAGGAAAGCCGGATATGGCCAAGCAGCGAGACCCATAGTGCCAGTGCCTCTGCGTCCATCCAACATGTAGTATGGCACTTACCAGCCAAATACTTATAAGCCTTACGCTGTGCTGTAGGAAATTGGTATACACGTAGGGAGTATATACTCGGCCAAAAAAAGAAGACCGCTTATGCTAGTCCGTAAACAGATGGTGCGGATGCCTTGGCTATGGTTCTGGGCTGCTGAGGGATTCATAAAATGTCTACAAGAACATCCATAGCTGTCTACCTCTCCCTGCGCTGCTCGCTAGCTGCTCACCAGGCCTCAGGCGCTGCGAATGCGAGGGTACTTGGCAGATACCCTTACTTGCATAGAACCATCATGTCACAGAGGAGAAAACGCCGCTTGTTGAAGCATGAGAGATGTGATAAGTGCTCGAGACAAGAGAGAACTAGGCAGAAGGGTGTTGTCTCCACCTCTGCCGCCAAGTACATGTATCATGTATCGTGCTGCTCAGCTCCAGCGCCATTGCAGATACAAGGTGGCGTTTCCTCTTCGCCCGTACCCGTTGTTCTCCCATTTCTTCTCTTTCTCCCCCCTTTCCGTCTTTGTTTCCTTCTAAAGCCGATAGCCGCCGCGCCATACCTTCAATATTCGCACGCCCTTAGCCTCTCCAGCTAGTAGTATCATCTTAGATTCTGCGTTTCGTCGTTACTGTCATTTTAGCAGCCCACTACTTAATCTAGTATGTTTATTACATGCACTCACCGCTTAGCCGGACGGAGGTTAAATACGTTTTGCGTCTGGGTTGCATTGACTTTTGTTTTTACACCCCCGCTCTATTAAAAATGCCGTGTCGACCGAGGCGGAGCCCGGGTCATGGTCTTTTCTTCTTTTTGGCACCCTGGAGCTGAGGTCCTGCCTTGGCCGACGTGCCTTTCAACTTTCGTTATGATCATGCAGCCCTACTTTGCTTCGCCGACACACACTTGAACGGCATATAGCTGACGTCCCTCTTCCTGCGCTTTGTGCTCCCACACCACCCACCGGCGACATGGTATACTACATGGCTAGGGAGTATGTTGCTATACTCGTGCCTCATGGATTCACGGCTCCGGCGCCTCTCACGTTTTTGTTTTAATTTCCATCTTCCTGCTAGCTTCTGGAAAAATATCCTCCAAGGTTACTCGCATGAAGCCTAAAATCTATCTCAAGATGATTAATTAATAGGCACATACCGCAATGCGTTTCTGGAGCGTTTATAATACGATGCAATGTAACTGGTTCAGTATTCAATCATTGAGCGATCGTATGCAGCAATGTATATCATCTGCGGCTAGCCGTTATGGATGGCCATGCGGGAGTGTCTCCTGCAATCTTAGAATGATCAAGAGGCTGAAGAGCGGTGTACTATAAACAGACCAGCAGAAAACATAAAGCAGCGACTAGAGCAACCTTAGCAGCTTATTGAAAACAAAATCTCCCAGAGATTACTGTTAGTTACACCCCCTGGATGCAAAAACAGAGCAATTTTTTTTTAAACAAACGGCGCAGAGTCGCCATGAGGATTTTCCCCTGCGCCGATAGGCGGCAGCGGGGTGGAGATAGGATAGCCGTGCTTTGTTCGTGAGTTTAGGTCTCGACATTTACTGTGCTTATCTAATGAGCTGTAATGATACGTTCGATTTTCATAGGAAGGGCTACATAGATGCACGTGGTTCGCGGCCACTCTTGCTTCCCCCGTCTTCTTGGAAGTACAGTGCGAGTATAGGAACTTTTGCAAAAAGGCAAACAAATGAGCTGCCCAGGTACATGTAGCCATTCACAGCTCACCTCACGTGGATGCCTGCAGCTTTAGAAACGCAATATATCTGATTTAATGCTGTCCAATCTGGCCGATCCAATATGACCTGTCATCATATGCCCTCCGCAGCCCGACAGTTTATAGATATAGCGCGTGGTGCGTGGCCCCGTCGCTGACACACGAGTAGCTATTGCGGATTCGCCAACTCTGTTGTTAATTCCTTATTTCAATATCTACAATAGAATCTGGCAGCAATAAGGATTAATGTGTATTATATAATTGGCTATATCCATGTAAATGCTTACATGTAGCTAGGCTATCCTGTTTGGTAATGGATAGTGAGACAAAACAGTCTGTCTGCCAGCTTACCGTTGAGAGACTACTAAAGTATTGCCACCCACCAACCAACAGCACTTAATATGGATTGAACATTACGGTATAACATTTGGGACCAGTGCCTGATGCCGCTGCTTGTCATACTGCAGACAAGTGACCTGCGACAGGGCCAGGGTTCGGAGAAAAAAAAAGAAAAAACTGAAAGGCTTATGCGCCCAGATTTATTAGCGCAAGCGCTAAAGCAGCACGTATTAGCCTACAAGTACATAAGAGAGATGGCGATTTGATCAGAGATGGGTACATGCACATACATACATAGTATTGGTGCATGCAGCAAGCCGAGTCCAGTCGTTAACTCATGTGTGTTGAGAGTCTACTAGAGCTTTTCATCTTGGCCATCTTTGTGGGATCTGGGACAAGGATGCCTCCCCTGCAGGGATATCATCTGAGCCGCTCGTAAACAATGGGCTCGGTGCATTTTTCAGTGGCGGCAAAACAGAGAGGCTGATTCTTCTTGCCACGTCGTGAATACATGAACTGACGTGGTAAGCAGCCGAACAGCAGCCGCATTATTCGCCTGTCAAAGTCTATATTTTTGATGGATTTCTTCGTGGGAATGTCGACTTTAGAAGGGGTTAGCTACATGCTGAATGCGAGCTTGTCGTCCAAGGCAGCACACCATAGGGGCAAGGCGACAAGTCGATAATTGCTCCAAAATCTGGCATGGAGTCTTTGGATTTTTCAAAACACACGGCAGGGCAAGGGAATGGGACACGAGAAATATGAAAGAACGGGGGATGGAGGCGGGACACACCGGTGACGGATTGTAGGGCGGGCAACAAACGCTAGAGAAGTTTGAAGTTGATCGGCTGCCTCCACCCCCGATTCTTGCCGCCTTGTGTGAGATGAAGTGCTCAGCAATATACACGCACCTACATGTAGATATTGAGAACGCTATGCGTAATGCTCGACCGGACGCTGGCTTGGCTCTCCCTGCCTGGGGCATGCGGTGCAAAGAAGTGATCTCCATACTAAAAACACCAAATTCAGCCGTCTTTTCTTTCCCCCACCTGGACCTGGTCTCTAACAATCAGCCTTCACATCCCTTGCTTTTTGATGCTAGCGTTGCCCCTAGCGCGTGCCTCTAGCGTGCCTCTAGCGTCCGTCTAGCACTCAATGCGTCTACTCCGTGCGGCTTTAGCGTCATGTCATATCATTCAGCGTCCTGGCCGATGTCGTGCCCGTTGCCCAATCCATTTCATCCGCCGTCTAGCTGGGCATCTTGCCCAAGATCCGGCACAGCCTGGCGCTAAAGGCACACGTCAACATGTCTAGTTCGCCTTTAGTTTGGTCAAACGCGAAGATTCCGACAGAGTCGGTGCTTGGCACGAAGGAATGGATGCGCTGCATATTCCAAGCGTAGCAACGCCTGGCTAAATAAAAGGAGTAAAAGACATCGGGAGAACAAAAACGCTTCATCTTGTGCTTAGTCTGGTATATATAATTCCTTGTGCCTCTGTTCTCTGTGCCATTTTTCCTATGCTATCTTACAAAGTAACCCTAATCATCACCCCATTCTCCTGTTTGTTGTATTTCGCTTCCAACTTTGTACACCCGCGCGTGCTGCAACATTGCATGTACCCAACTTTCCAAAATGGCTTCTAACGCTAATGGCAATGGCAGCCAGTAGGTGCTATCATTTCCTACCTTTTCCTCCCACTTTTTGCTTTGGACTTGGCAAGTGTTATTGTTGCTGTCGCCATTACAAACACTGTTTATATCTAGTACAGGTCTCCAGTCCAAGATTGGAAGCTAGCCTCTTCTACTTGACTATTGTTTCCTCCGTGCAACAGCAGCGATGGGATTTGAGCAACCCCTTCCAAAATAGCCTACAAATGGTCCTCATTAGATAGCCATGGCCCTGACTGACCAGTTTCGATGCTAGGCACAACGATACCTCTTTTACAGCCACCCAGGGTTGCACACAAGCCAACATCTCTCTCATCCCTGAAGATCTAACCTTTTGCATCCGCCGCTTTCTCTCCGACAAAGACCAACGCCCGCCGTCCAAGGGCTGCACACGAGACGGTATCCCACTCGTCCACGAGGATGCAGGCTTTTGCATGCGTCGATTTCTTGAAGAGCCTATGCCGGTCGGTATGAGGCCAGTACGAGGCGAAGCCGAAGCTGAAGGGAACATGTCGGTATTGCTGCACGCACTTGATGCGAAAATTGGCAATTCCCCTGTCGGCCACAACTGAAGACATGCACGATATTCGCACAGTGTTGTTCTGCTGCTTGTGAGTGTGTAAAACAAATTGGCATAGTATACATATATATAATGTATCAAGTAACTATATATATGCATTGCGAATAAAGGATAGCCTAGGATTTCATTACGTCTTTGTTCTGTCTTCTTTTCTTTACCGGATACCTATATGTATGAGCGCCTTTTGATTTTGATTGCATGTGATTGCACGGAGCCACACGTGCCCAAGGCAGCCAAAAGTTTCCTAAATGGGCACTTGACCGCTTAGCCGCATCTCGCAACGGAGCGCGCCGCCGATCTGCCGTGTCCGATCCACAATAGCGGGCTCAGCCACGCTAGAGCAAATCTAAAAGAAATTGAAGTGAGCAGCGGGCAGTGTATGGTCACAGCGAAACGTTGTAAATGGTGACTGGAGCATCCCTGCCCCGCCAGTTCTGCGCTCTTTGCTACATGTAGCTACGTGGCAGTGGTTAGCAGATGGAAGCACTGAGAGAGACTTCGATGTTCTCTTCCCTGGATGTTCCGCGCCGCCAGCTTGTGGCTGAAATACATTCCGTGTGCTTACTGCCTTGCTTCCCCCTGGCCTTTACGTCAAACTTTAGGCCACACATACTTATTAGTTGTATTTATTTCAAGAAATATACATTCAATTTCAGCATTTATTATACTGGTCTAGTCTTGAAAATAAAGAAGCCTGTTAAGCAGAATTGCTGCTATATTGACAATGGGGATTTAGAATGCGGCTTTTTGCTCAAGCCCCTCGATTTTCTTTTCCGAGGTACTTTTCTACCATCTGTCTTAAGGCTTGCGCCCTTAACAGAAAGACTCATAGTAGCTTATGCTGCGAGCTGCTATCCCTGCACTATGGAATATGAAGCTACATAGTTAGGACGCCCTAGAGCCTATTGGCCATGACGCCGAGGCAAAGGCTCTACGCAACGATCATCACCTTGATATCTTGGCCTCAGCAATAATCGAAAGCGACACCTCGAAATCTCCTTTTGCACATCTTGGTATCTGGAGCTAAGCCTCACCTGCTCATTCATTCCGACTTCGATGTGAGACATTGGATAGTAGTGTAGCAACATTGAAGTGACAATCCGCGGCCAATCTTATCTTATCTTGGCAATTTGGTAGAATTGAAAATTATGACAAGTAGATTAGCTACCTATGTATCGTATTACTGCACAGCCTATTTAAATAGCTACCTTGTAATATGGCGTCAGTAGATACATGCATACTATATGGTTACCTAGTAGGTACCTTGGCTATATTTATGTACCTATTGGACAAGCCACCACCCCTAAGGCGGGCTTTTGCTGCTTAACACTAGTAGTAGGCTCCCGTGGGCGGGGTTGCCATAAAGGGAAAGAGAGAACAGCTGTAGTCTGCCGTCCCGACTTCGCTCGGATCCGACGCATCGGCGATTGGACCCGTCCAGTCAAGATCTGGCGATAGGCGCTAATAACATGGAGTATGCCTGATAGAACCTCCGAGGGGCGAGTACTAACAGTTATACGTGCATAACCTACCGTTGTGCAGCACGCTGACCGATCACCACCACGCTTGCTGATTGGATTGCATACACGCTGACTTGCCTAGCAGCGTGTATTTTTCTTCGCTGAACGCCTTAATGGTGCGTGCTGCTAGACTTTCCCGAGGCATTAATGCGTGCTGAAAAGTGAGATGGAAATCCAAGTATCGGTGTGCCATTTCGTCCTTTGGCCTACCTATTTAAATGTTTACATTTCCCTCTGTTCTCCCCGTCTACTCTCTTCGACTCTTAACCATACCAACTAACTGCAGTCATCAGCCCGTCCCTTGTTCTCTTGTCTGCTGTGTATTGACCACAGTTTAGCTGATCTGGCTCCCTGCCCTGTATTTGCTTGTACTAGGATATTCGCTTTCTACCATGGCTGATAACGCTAATCATAACGATAATGTGTAAGTACTATTTTTTTTTTTTTTTTTGGAATTGTATTAGACTGAGTAGCAACCGTTATCGGTACGGCCAGTATAAATACTACTATATATTCTCTACGATTGTTATGTTTTTCCAAAGTAAACCATTATTATCTGTGTCCAACGTCTCCTTACAAGCTACCGTTCGAATCATTCTTTTGGCCTGAGCTAATCCAAGTATATACTACTAGCCACAACGATGCCTCTTCCCCAGCCACTGTGGGTTGCACTCAAGCCGCCATCTCCCTGGTCCCGGCAGATCCCACCTTTAGCGTCTGCCGCTTTCTGTCTGATCAAGACCAACCTCCGGCGCCCGGTATGAAACAAGCACCAAATAAGGCCGAAGCAGAATCGAAAATGCTTGTGAAGCTTCGCGAGTTTGATGCAAAATTTGGCAATTCCGTTGCGGGCCGCAGCCCTGCACACAACTGAGCATATGCGGGATATTGACAGAGTGCCGTTCTGCGAAATATAAGTGTAAAAAGTGAATTGGCACAATATACATACATTGAATGGTCATTTATATGCATTGCGAACAAATTATTACCTGAGATTTTATCATGTCTCCTGTTTACTCTAGCTTATCAGTGCTCTGCATGCCTGATTAATACTCTCAGCGGTACAAAGTGCGAGGCAACTAAAAATTGCCTAAAATGGTAATCAAAGCTACTGTACATGCACGTAGTAGAGACGGCTCCGTAGCGTAGCCAGTGCGCGGCTCGCCACCCACAGCATCCTTGAGTGGTGCGCCACGGCTAGAAAAGGCTGCCGTATGCTGAGGCCAGGCCTGATTCCCGAGGAGTTGGGATGTGCGACATGCTGGGCAAAAAAGAAAATCTAGACTTTGATAACATGTACCTGCTCCGAGGACTTGTCTGGCGCTGCTGAGGTCGACTGGGGGGCTGGAATGATCTAATTGTTTCCTTTGGGCATCATCGCGCCATGGTCCCCGTCTATGCTCTTGTTCAACTCGGCGCTGGTGGTTGAATGTGCTTACTGCGAGAGACTTTACTTCCCCGGACGCTCTATGGTGCTGGCTTGTGACATTGGACTACCGCAATACCTACGTATACGTATTACGCCAATTTATATCTTGCACTCAAAAGAGACGAAACGACATGCAGACATCTTGCATCTATTCAGTGCAGTGCTGTGCAGATCTGTGGCCGGCAGGAGAATTGCCATGCTTCGCATCGGAAGCGCGTGACTGCACGTACATGCATTTTCCTTCTCTTTCGGCTGAGCTTGTTGGTTGCTTTATACCGGGCGGCGGGGCGGACATCGACCTTGATCTTTGGCTTGGGTGTGCTGCGGAGGAGGCGCCGTGGTGGCTAGAATTGATACGGATTAGCCTTGATCGAGCTTACATGTATCTAATGAGCAGCGCTTTGCAGGTTACGTGCCCCCCCGAAAGGACTCAATTTATCAACTGTGTCGGGAGATATGACATGTGGTCAATAAGTAGTGAGGCTCGCTTTGAATTCTTTTGTTTGAGGGTCTGTACTTGGATATAACAAACATGTCATGATGTAACTGGTATTTGCACTGACCGCAATAGTAACTTTTGCCAAGTCAAATAGAAAAGATTGAGAAAAGATTAACGAGTAAAAGCCAGGCTGCGCGGATGCACGCACTAAAATGCCAGTCATATAAAGGACTGGAGACAGATGGCGATTGCAGTCAGTCGATGCAAGAGTATAGAAAGGAGGGCAGGGCGAAGAACGGAAGAGGCAAATGAGTACTGGTCTCGCTTGTACATCTTCTCGAAGCCATTGTTTGAATCAGCAATTTTTCTCCCCCACAAGCGAAGCCCACTACCATGTCTGCAGGTTTCCCTGACACATCGTCGTCATCGCCCATGCCGTAGGACGAGGCGGCGGCCGGCTCAGGGGTGGAGAACCACACTTTGGTTTTGGGCGATGAGATGCGATTCTGTCGCCGTGCACACCCTTGGTTATGTGCCAACCCAGAATCTGCAACTAGCAATTAGTGCATGGGCGCCAACTTCGATGCTGACTAGCTCTTTTTCAATTCGCACTCCATCATGCATGGATGCATGCATGGGCACGCAGAGCTTAGGGCACCATAAAGGCAACCAGACAGGCAACTATCTCGCCCAGCCATCCTGGATCGACGTCGGACAAGCCAGGGCGGAGCATGCTGAGCTTTGTGCTTCGTCCCTGCGAACTCTGCTGCGGATGCGTATAGGTCGAGGGTCCAGACCCTCACCACCTCCCGCCTGGTCTTGTCGTCGCTGCTGCTCTGCTCTGCGTGATCCATTCACCCGTCCCTGCATGTACATGTTACCGGCGTCACAAACGCTAGATTGGCAGTTCACCGGGTACGGGCAGGCATATAACTGAGAATGAGTAATAGAATGACACCTTCTCCAGTAGATAATTTGGCAAATTACTCTAAATTAAAAACAAGAAAAGTACTCTAGAATGGTGTAAAACGTAAATACTAAGTTATATGACTTTTTTATAACTCAGTAGGTTCTGTAGGTATAATTTGTGGTGTTTGAGAGATACCGGCCAATCTCTAGGTATGTATTTAAGTATCACAACCTCATTCTCCATACTTCAACAAATAATTAGCAGGTCTCTATACAAGCGCCAACTTGTACCGCTTTGAGGTTCATGGCGCTGGCAGGGTGCTCCACTTGGCTACATCAAGAACGGAGTAGTAGGATTTGGCGCAGATATTAGTGGCGCACTAGTTCATGCATGCTCGTGGGTGTGCAAATGACATTGAGCAACATTGATCTGTGAGAATGCACCATTCGCGCTGGAGTTTGGAAAAAAAAAGCATTCTGTCATCTATTATCCTCTTCAAATATAAAACCCGATCAAACCCCCTTTTTATTCCCTCTCCAATCTGCTTCATATTGCTCTATAACCATAACTTAGTGAATGCAGCTGACCTTTTGCACTTGTTTGTCTTCAAGCTTTCAACCGCTCTCCAATCTTGCCCAATGCCTACCTCATCTACACACGCGATTTGCGGTGACAGCATTGTGTAAGTGCAACCTGAACAAATACTTGTGGTTCATGTCCTCTTTCGTCTCATTAAGCCCCATTCTCCCCGATCGTGCATTGCCAATATAGCATTCTGATGTACGGTTCCTGTCTCCGGCATCCCCATTTTCCCGTAGCTCAAATGTACACGCTAACACTGAACCAGCCCATCACACAGAGCCAACGAACCTCTGGCTGCCACCGATAATGTTGCACAAGCCGATGCCCGTCCTCGCGTTCCTGACGACCTGAGCTATAGCCTGAATCGTTTTCTTGACAAAAGCAAGGAGACAGCACACGGTTGTCAGCGTCCACCACTGGGGTTTGGCAAGGTGCAGTGCGACGCTGAAGCAGAGATTGAAGCGGAAACCCGCACACGCAGAGAGTTGCGCGCCTTTGATGTCCAATTCTTTGGTGCAAGGTCGGCTGGTAAACAAGCGCATTGATGATTAGACAATGTTTTGATGAGATCGTGTGTGAAATGCAGACTTGTTTAGACTATGATGTACTTAAAGGCTTTGTGTGTCAGATGCAGATGGTAACCTACCAGCATGTATTTCTGGCAGGCTAAAGAATATATCGCTTTAGTGACATATTGTACTCAGATGAATAGAATAGATTACAATACAAATATAGATTCAGTCGTTGAAAATAAATACGATACTCTATTGGAGATTGAGACTTCTAAATTATTTGCCTCTGCTTTACAGTTTCAACCCGTTTAAAAATTCGACAATAGCATCTGCCATTTGCTGCAGTCCAGGTTCCTCGAGGGGATAATGACCCGCCTTTTCAAGTTCCACAGTCTTCACAGGCACCTTGGTAATACGAGACAGGAACAGTTCACTCAGCTCCAAAGGTGTCCATCGGTCCAGCGAAGGCTGGGTTAAGAGCACGGGACACAAGTCAAAGGCTTCTGGCTCTATCGCCGGTTTGTATTGAGAGTAAGTTGCCAAGAAATGCATCGAGGCTGCTGAACCTGCTGAAGTGCTGTCGTTCAGGAAAATCTGTAAGGCATCGTCGTTGTTTACCAGCGTCGACATTTTGCTTGCGAGCGACATGGGTATCTTGGTACGTGCGAAACATGTTGCGTTGGCAGCGCGAGTGAGGGGCAATCCAACACGGCTCAGGACAATGTTTCTTGCGGTAGTGTCGGCGACTTGCTGAATGCGCTGGTCGAGAAAAGTCATGCCAATGATGCCTTTGACCTTCTGGTTGAGAGCGGCAGAATGGTAGGCCAGCATTCCACCGGCACTCAGACCGTAGAGAACAATGGGCCGCGGGTCTGCCTCCAGTTCGCGGTCCATGAAATCGCTCGATAGCTGAACCCAATCATCGTATGACCAAACTTGGCCACTAGGCGCCTCCGTACAGCCGTAGCCAGGCATGTCGATGGCAACAAGCTCGAAGCCGGCCTTGTGCAGGGGTACTCCGAGAATCATCGACATTTGGCGGCCATTGGTTCCAACGCCATGGTGCAGGATCAACCGAATCTTGGCTGCTGCGTTACGCCATCGATCCAGATGTAGTTTGTATCCTTTGTGTTCCCACCATTCTTCCACAGGGCAATGTTCAGTCGTGAAATGAAGTCTTTCGGGAAGAAATTTCTGAATGTCGCGCCAGGCTGTTTGTGAAGCATAACCATCGGAAGCGATGCTGAGAGGCTTTGTGAAAGGCATTATTTTTTTTATATACAGAGGCAGAATGGGTATCTGATTTGCTGGTTTCAATTGCAGATGAGGAATGGCAAACAGAGATTAAAGTCTAAAGAGGTTGGAGTTATAAGGAGAAATAGTAACGGAAAAGGGGATTGCTTAGAATATAAATACGAATGGTGAGGGTCGACTTAGTAACAAGTATTAATGGATGTTAGAAAAAAGGGTTTGTAGTTTGAATTTATTGCCATTGAGTATTATGATTCTTCCCCCATTTATATATCATTCTCTCGCCGTACATGCGTTATGCAAAGTCGTGCTAGCTGATGGGATATTGCCACAACTCCAATCCCCAAGGCATGGAATCTCCCAAATCCGCGGGGTTGGGGCCGGTGTTGACCAAACCCGTGGATTTCAAGTCTCCGGCTCCCGCGGCTTTTCAGCTCTCCCTCGTTCTCGGTTTTGTTTCGTATCGCTCACAGCTTGCGATGCAAGAATCCTGCTCTGGCAGAACTAAACGAAGCGGAATTGATTTCGATTGGGATTAAGCGATGGAGCCCAGCGCACTCCACCAATCAACTTCAGCAGAGTCACTGACACCAGCGCCATATGGACGTGCATGCGTGGCATGTTCCCGAGCCAAATGCAAATGTTTCTATCGGTCTGATGGTTCTGGATGTGAGAGGTGAGGGCGCATTGCCATTTCTGACCTACTTCGCCCAGAGTTAGAATAGTTGCATGTAATTAATGGAGCCTCTAGGTGTCATCGTCTAGCCAAGGCTTGTGAACAGCCGATATCTATACGTAAGCGCAGAGCTCGAAGGGCTCCCTCTCGGTTAGCGCATTCGCCGCCACATCGTAATTTGCTGGAAGAGAAGCTGGACAGCGTGATATCCCTTTTGCGCTCGCAGGCGTCCGCCAAACAGCCCGTCGAACGAATCCTTGAAGCTAGGCCCAGTACTGACGATACCCCATCAACAATGAGATCGCCAGACGATCCTATCCTTCCATCGATTGCGCGTGGCCCAGAGGTCGTTATTGACACGACTGAAAGCGTCGTTCATCTATTTCGGCCTACCGAGACCCCAAATGACCCACCATCGATGGCGCTTAGTCCTGTATCACCAATTGCGCTTGATATACCTCTTGATAGTATCACGAAGTGGGAGGCTGAGGAGCAATTAGCAACATTTCGTCGTGCTTTTATCCCCATGTTTCCATTCATTAATATTCCAACCACAATATCTGCTTTCGATTTACGTAGGGAGAAACCTTTCGTTTGGCTTGTCATCATGGCGTTGACTACAAAAGTCGTTTCGAGACAATTCGATCTTGCAGACCATATTTGGAAAATCATATCGCGACGGGTCCTGTGTGAACAATATGCAAATTTGGATCTCCTTCTCGGCATAATTTGCTTTTCCTCTTGGTATGAAATGATTTATCACACTGAAGTCTTTGAATTAGTGCTAGGGACTGATTAATTCAGGTCGCATCACTTTAAAAAAGACAAGCCCTTCATGACTATGCTTACCCAGATGGCTGTGTCGATGGCTTTCGAACTCGACCTACACTGTGGAACATCACCACGTGGCAGACCTAGCCGTCTAACAGCCCACCAGACATCCGCAAGACCTGATCGGACCATGGAGGAACGTCGCACATTCGCTGCACTATTTCATCTTACTTCTGCGTGGGTAGCATCAAGTAGAAAATGAAACGTCATCTAGCTAACGGGAACTAGTACGTGGGCAGGGTATAGGAAAACGTATCCACTCGATTGGACGCCGTATCTGGAGGATTGTGCTCGAACTTTGAGCCAAGGTACTCAGACGAGCCTCGACATTCTTTTAGCGACTCAAATAAGATGCCAATTAATCACAAATCGGATTACTTGTCTCGTAACCGAGAATGCGGAAAGCGGAGGCCTGAACCCACCGTCTAGAATGCTATATTTGGTGTTGCTTAGGCAGCTTGATGATATCAGGCAAAACTTACCTGCACAGTTTCAATCAGAGAGTATAAAACCATTCCAGTAGGATTAAATAAATACTTGAATAAGTCTAACTGAATTATTCCAGGAGTCACACTGTCTTATCTACTCAGCACAGAGCTGAAAATAAAGGAATTCTTCCTCAGACGCAGCGAAAGCAGCAATCAACATAATGGAACTCACATTCAAAGATTTCAAGACCTCGAGTCGGCTCTAATCGGCATTGAGCATCTACTGGCTTTGTTTGGCAATCTGGCACTCCCTGACTGGGTTGGAATCACAGTTGACAACTTCACCCAACTCACTCACTGCCTCGTGGTCCTTTTCAAGCTCAACACGCTCAACGAACCTGGCTGGGACCTAATCGAAACTAGGAAACGCGCTGATGTGATTCGAATTCTTGATCATTATTCCGAGAGAGCCGAACGCGCCTTGGAAATGGCCGGGATAGTGGAGAATGACGGGCTGAACAGAGGACTGTTGAACAAAGCGCCGCATTTTTTTAAGACGGTCAAGATGTTGATGTGGACAGAGATGACTAAAAACATGGCCCATTTAAACCTCGAGAAAGATATTACTGAAGTGTTTCCTAGGTCAGCTGAGGATACTACGATTTCGGATGATTTTATGATGAGTTTGGTCCAAGAGCCGTGGCTCTCTGACTTAATGGAGGATTCGTGGGATTGTATTTATACTAATACATAAGTACCGAGTGTTGTAAGTTAGTGACAAATACTAATACCACTGTTTTTATAGCCAGACTATAGGAGACGAAAGAATTCATCTTTGGTTGGCATAACAACAATACTACTCATATTATTTTACTGAATATAACAAGTGGTAAGCAATTTCCGCTAGTAATTGGATTAAGTAAAAAGGCGGCGTGTATGTAAAGACGAAATAAATATGAAAGACAAAATAAAAGAAAAAAAGTAGGATTATTTCGTATTANAAAACACACGAACACAAAAAAAAAAAAAAGAAAGTTCTCGTTACTACCTTATACGAAAGACGTAAGGCGAAAATCTCACAACCCTGCAAGCAGCTGAGCTCTGTGGATCAAGAGCGGGGCAGTACACACGCTACAAGCCTGATGTTGAATGCAAAAGGGTAAGTGTTGTGAGGACTTGCATCAAGATGTCTGCCGAACAACCCACAATCGGTGATACGCGTAACTCTAAGTCAATTGATCCTAAGGAGGGGCTAAGATATTGAGCACATCTGATGTTCTTTGTGCCCTGGTATCTATGTGGATGCTCATTGGACAATGAATGTCATATATCGCTGATTCGACGCTATGGATCTCAGCAAACTTCAACCCCTAAGGTGTTCCATCCAAGCATACAGTCGGTATCACACGCAAAAATCGGTAGTCGACGCCGATCAATCTCCCGACTGCGCTTTAGAATGACCAACCAGAGCTATATATATCGCCTTCCCCAGTAGTTACATCCTTCTCTTACTCCTCCTTCGGGTTTCCGCGAGAAGGGCTATCGATGGATCACCTGTCTAGACCTTGTTTCTGCTTGTACGAGATCGGAAAACGCATCTCAAATGCTTGTCATACCATCTTCCTGGTCTTGTGTTTGGAAATTCTACGATGAGAGACCGCAAATGTGGTTGCGTTGTGGGCCAGATTTTGATCACTAGCTTCTGACCTCGGAAAATCGAGAATGAAGATATAAAGGAACCTAAAGGCAGAGCCGCGTGCTAGATTCTTCGATCCTTCAATCTTCTTTCTCTCATATGGACCACAATCATGCTTTCCTTCCCCCAAACCTTCCATTTTGTCACGTAGCTTGCGTCCTACAAGTACATCAATGACTCGAGATTTGAGTGTTTCACAGAGAGGTTGGTAGTCGAAGGAGCACATCGGCATGCGGCGAAAAATTTGCCGTATTCCAGCCTGCATTGCATAAATTACAATGTCGGAAAAAGATGTAGTGTGATGAGTTGGTAATGGAGCCGAGCCTGACGGCTTGCAATGTCGTTGGTGTCTCTCTTGACACGCCCCAGAACAGGTACTGTGTTTGTTGACTTCGTATGTGGCGCACTGGTGGCTTTCCGCGACCTTGTTCATGTCGTCACCTTTCTCCCATTTCTTTATGTCCTAAAGCGAGTATAGGCGACCAGTCAGTGCTCATTCTTGCTTGCCACTTCTAGCTGTTAATTTGTTCCGCCGAAATCCTGGAGAGCGTCTTTCGTCTTGATCTCCATGCCTGTAAAATAATGCTGCCCTGTTACTAGCGATCTCAACTTGAATCTCGAAGTCGTCAGAGGAGGGCTCTTGAACAAAGCGCAAGAGTTTGCGGATATTGTTCCTATCGGTAACTAGATCCATACAGCGGGGGTTTCGCGCCGCACTCTGGTCAATACATGTATGTAGCTTCCTAGAATCAGGCGTTAGCTTCGGAGGCACTGGCGGTGAGAATCAAAGAGGCGGAGCACTTCAAACATTAGAACTACTCATCAAGGCAGCGCAGAAGATATCCTATCTGGAACCGAGATAGTCGGTAAGTATCCCTCAAGCCAGTCGTATGAAGCGATATGCTGAAGCCCCTTAATCGTGGTATCGTATGATAGAGGGGTATCCAGATTGGAGAGAGATGTTTCGGCCAATGCAGAAGCCATATTTAATCTTTGATGGCTAACTGTGTAGCCATGGCTGTTCTAAATCTATAAAGAAAATTGTAAAATTTAATTATACGCTCCTTAGGTTAGCTTTCTGCTAGTATTAACTTACCTTGTAATTGATCTATTAGTTTATAGTATATCTGCAGGTATACATTTTATAAATATTGGATTGTAATAACGTGTAAGATTTTAGCGCTTATTTAATCACCTTCCTATTTAAAATGAAAATTGTTCAATTAAGAAGGTATTTTAATATGGGAAGAAAGTCGGACATATTGTAGTATATAGAAAGTTGATTGCTTTCATACTTCCCGGGCTTGGCTACCGTTACAACCTGGTCTCTTGTAGCAGTTAAATCCATATAAGCAACTGGTGCCATTCCAGTAATTGCTACAATTGGCCTAATCTTTTGTCCGGTTTGGCTGAACGGACCAATGGGTTATTACAGCTCCTTAATTCGGCCTAGGTGTTTTCTACGTGTTGATTAAGCTAACTTAAATATGAAGAGCCTTTGCCATTTGGGCAATATGATTTTGCTATTCGGGTAATAGTCTAAGTGTAACGATCCGTTATACCGTTAAGCCAAACAAGGCAAAACATTAAGCTTAGAGTAATTCCAATTATATCAATTACTATAACGGAATCGGCTACTTTTAAGGGACGAGGTTGTACTATATGTGGGCGAAAGTAGTCCACAGTGTATATATTGTAACGATCCGTTATACTGTTAAAAAAAATTAGGTCAATAATCGCAATTGTGGCAATTACTGTGATGGAGTCAACTACTTATAGGGATCCTACAGTAATACAATGCTCTCTCCCTCCAGGGCTTATCCTCAAGCCCTATAACCAATAGCTGCTTTAACCCTCAAGGCGCCCGACTACATAAACGCTCCCTGTAGCGCTGACTATAGCAGTCGTCAGCAGCAGGGTTATCCAGTCTTGCAATATACAATAAGCTGGAATTAAACCCTAGGCTACTATTATTTGATCATTATTTGTTAAAGTATTATACTATTTAATTAAATTAAATAAAGATAGAAGATTAAGTTAATAATTATATGTAAAGGAATTACTGTAATAGAACCGGCTATTTATAAGATTTAAGTATTATAAGAAACTAGGTTCTAACACTAAGTACTTATATTATTTGTTGTTAATTTATAAATATTTACAATATTAATATTTAAAATTCTTAATAGCATTGAATTTTGTATAAATTTACAACCATATCTAGCCCTTCTCCAGAGCCCTTGTATTGTAATCCAATATCCTCAATTCAGGCTTACAGCGAGTCATGTACTTGCAAAAACCCAAAATCTACCAACAACACACAATCATGCCGTGATTCTGTGAATCCTTGCATTCCCCCGCCTGGAGAATGCCTGTAGGCAAGGATGATACCATCGATAAATAATAGTAGCATTTCGTTCGTCGGGACATGCCGTCCGCTCCACCTAGTGACTATCCAGACACTGATGGAGCCCCACTGAGACGAGTAGTTATTTCAATACATCAGGCCTTCGTTGCTAATAATCATGCCAGATTTCCATCCATATCCTACTTTCGTCCCATCTTGATATTACGGACATCTGATCACCAAGCAATGGCTTCTAAAGATGATGACTGGTCAGAGATTTCAGATCCAAAAACTCGGAAACGCCTGCAGAACCGGCTGGCCCAGAGAAATTACCGTACACTTACTTGCAAACTATGTATGCCTTTCAAAAGGATCTGACTGATCTATGGCCAGGAAAAAATCTTAGAACACGAATAGAAGAGCTGGAACGCCAGCTAGCTGAACGATCCGCTGCTGATGCTCAACGCAGAATGTCGAACCAACTAATGGCCTCTCCAGCATCGATGATGTCTAACGAGCAGATGGACTATATGATTTTAGCCCAGGCATCGTGCCACGGCTTACAGTCGTTAGTCCCGTCGCATTCAAGCAACTCAGGACAGCAGAACCCGTTAGCAATCTCGAATGGCAAATTGGACAGAAATCTGACATCAAGTATTGAACACCCTCCATCCCTGAGTGCCTAGGCCTATGTGTACATTCTTGGTGCTAATCTATATATACAGGCCATGCAGACGAGAGCGGTAGAAGTCCAGAGCTATTGGCGGAAACTACGCTACACCAGAGTAATGGATCGGATAGTCACAGTTCGGATATCATGTATGATTTGGAATGGGACACTAAATATGTCTTTTCAGATGCCAGCGTCTCATCCAATGTAGAGTCTACTAGAAATGCCTCGCGTATACCAGAGCTTCTCGAGTCAGACGTTGAGTCTCCGAGAGATCCCAAGGAGTACAGCATAAAGCATGTCGAGTCTGGAATGAAGCAGCCTAACGAGAATGCATCACTCACTGAACGGCTAGAATATCTTGTCGGGGTCGTGCATCGATTGGCGTTTGACGACCTAGAGAGCGTGATGTCCAAGTACTATACCTCAGACTTTCGTCCTTTTCCCAGACTCGCTAGCCTGCAGCGCCTAAGTCGGAACCGCAAGTTGCCTACAGTCTTATCAGACTTGAGAGCGAGCGCGATGTCTTGGTCTGAGTGGGAGGCACAGGGGTACAAGAGCGAGATTGTACGGTCTGCCGAGAGCATATTAGCAGCTGAGAGGAAAAAGCTGGTGTCGCCCCTCATGCTCCAGCAATTCATGGAAAGTTACGAGAAACATGACCTACCGGAGAAAAGCAAAGGAGAAAGTCCAAATTCAGCTTTGCTTATTGCTACTCTCCAGCAAGAGGTTAATTGCCTTGGGAAATTTTATGAGGGGAGGGATATGCGCTGACTTGAGATTTAGGCACCATACTTATGGACACTCATTTCCTCGCTGACGACGGAAAATGGATACGCAGAAACGCAGGAAGATGTGCAGCAAGCACTCGCCCTGATGTTGATTTTGTGCTGTTCAGGAAACACATCGCGGGGGAAGCTTTTTTCCATGCTAAAGCAGTGCCTTGATGAGGACTAAGCTGTAGATTCTGTTTGGGCGTGAGGGGGCAGCTGGGGGCCTATGGTCATGGTTTCACATGATATCTCGCTTGGGGATTATAAGGGATATAGGCTCAAAGCCTCTGAAAAGCGATATTCTGTTTTACATACACACAGAAGCAATACTTACCTACAGTAGATCCAAGGCAACATCAATATTTGGACTGCTACATATGCACGATGCGGTCTCAACATGTACCTAGTATCCAGGGGTGATCGTGCACTAGGAGAAAGACTAGCGCTAGGGAAAAGACCAGCGCTAGGGAGAACTCCAGCGCTAGGGGAATATTGCGGCATCTAATCCGTAATTTCCGTGCCAACTTGCGCCATATGTGTAGGTGCTTGTGTTTCGTGTACAAGTACTTGATAGAAACCCATTTTCGCCGAAGGAACTCTAGGTTGCACAAAACAAGTTAAGTAACGACTATGTTTAGAACGTTATACGAGTGGGGATAAATACTTTGACGCTCAATGGGTTTTATTGTAAATTAAAAGAGACTTGTCCTTTTATCAAAGCGTGGGATTTAAAGTGCCGGGGAGAGAGCGAATCCTTTTATTATACGGTAGAGGCACAGGCTATGTGCTTTCAGGAAGCCCTAACTGGATTGGCTAAAAGCACTATGCTCGAAAGTGTTTATTATGTTGTCTTAACCCATACTTTACCGTATACATTTTACGTAGATGCAACAGCGCAGATCTAAGAGCAACTATAAAGCCTCACCATTGATTATGAGAGTGGCATTCACGTAGATTATACAGCGTAGGTTGGCTTCTGAATATAATACACACTCATGCTATATTCTGACCGACTTATAGGAGAGATATTCTAGTGTTGTATCTATATACAGGTCATATTTTCTCTCTCTACATTACACAATGTAGTAAAATTACTGCACAATATTGGGCCCTTGAATGTCAACCCTGACGTATACTGAAATGGACGAGAAGGGGTCGAAGCTGCCATAGATGAAAGATTTTCATATCTTTGGACCATTCTGCGCATGATTTGTCCAGGGAAATGTCAAAGTGGAATAGTATTTTTGCAATAAGCAGCTGGATTTCTGCCAATGCGATGCTATAGGTAATCCTCTTATGTTAATGGAGAGGGTCTTAGAACACAAATTGTTTAAGCTTGAGGCTTTGACGTACCTTTTTCCTGCACAGGCTCTCGGGCCAAGCTGAAATGGGTGGAATACTTGCGGCTGGTCAGATGAGAACCGAGGGTCATCCGTCCATCGTTCCGGAAGGAAAGACTCGGGGTCTTTAAAAAATTCTGCATGGTGGTTAATGCAATAGGGTGGCGCTCCTACTCTAGCCTTGTTATGCAGTCAGTCTCCAGATATGCCTACTGATGGGAGAGATCTTAGATCTTACGCCTTCGGGCACCAGGTTACCCGAGACAGCAACGCCACCCTTGGGCACAACTCTCGACTGTGTCGTTGGAGCTGCTGGGTTGAGGCGCATCGACTCATTAACAACACCAGATAGGTACTTCATCCCACCAATCGAGGTAAACGTGATGTCCTCGTCACGCTTACAACTTTGTCGCACTTCCTCTGTGGCTTTGCGAAGAGCGTCAGGATTCTTGAGTAAGTGATATATTGTAAACGATGCTGTTGTTGATACATTTTCACTACCGGCGATCATCAGCGTACCGTAAGTGGAACGAATTTCAGCCATGCTCATATGGGTTGTTGCTTCGTCGTATGGGAGTATGTAACTCATAAAGTCGTGACTATTTGAAGCCTTGCCTTCCTTGAGTTGCATTCTCTCATCGACACTATCCCGGGTGAAAGCTGCATGTTTGACTTGCTGGTCCATCAAATCCTTTGGAAAGAAAAGCTTCAAGAACGGGGTGAGATGCGGGAACTGTCGTGCCGCGTTGAAATACGTGATGAGGCGCATCGTGCTTCCGAACAGGCCGTCGAGCCATGGATGTGGGTGTTCACCTTCTACGTTGCCAAGGTTTTTCCCAAAGATCAAATCTGCAACGATGTCAAAGTACAATAAAGCAGGCCATTTCACCATATCTTGTGCCTCCTCGCTGCTGCACTTGGCCCGAAGCTTCTCGATAAGCTCATCAACATGCGTCATGACCATAAGCTCTTGCCCTCGAAACGCCCGCGTCGAGAAGCCCGGGTTCAACCGTTCTCGAAACCTTGCATGCTCTGCGGGATCAAAGCTCGTTATAATGTTGTATGCACCTTCGCTACCAGGTGACATAACGTATGGATCTTTGGTGAGCAACTTCCTCTTGGGCCGGATCTGGTAGATGTCTCTCCAGGCGTTTGCATCGCGGAAGGAGAGCATGTAGGGCAGAACCCGAACCACATCACCGTGCTTTGCGTGCAACTCCGAGAATACAAAGGGCAGACGGCCGTTGAGTTGGTGCCATACATATGGGATCGGTGTTGCGCCCCACCAGAACGGGCCAGGGAAACGGGCAAGTGGATGGAAGTAGGCGTTGTACACCACTAAGGAAAGCAGGTAACAGACGTACTATAGACAGTTAGAACGGATTCAACACGACTCTGTTTTCACGTACGGATGCTAAAAGAATGCAGAAAGGGGCAACGAGCCGGTCAGCGGCAAATTTGACTGTCTGAAACTGTTCCATGCCCTGAACTTGTGTTCAGCTGCCTATGGGTGGCATATATTGTGCTAAACAAGCAATACAGAAGCAAAGGCGCCCTCTCTTTAGTACGATGGCTATAAATTTCGACTTTTGCAGTTGCGCGCCGCGATACGTGGCACTAATAGCCACCAGAGAAGCTGCTGGCTTGTTCCCAGATCTCGGGTTTAAAGGGCCGATTTCGCATTGTCAGTTATAGACTTGCTCGTGTACAACTCGACATGGAATCACTGTTCGGCTTTGGGGATGTAGGTGGGGGTGTGGGCAGTTACTTGCCGTCTAACTGGGGCATAGTCAGATTCCGGTCATCCTACGGCCAATCAGCGAGTGCTGGTCAGACAGCTTCACCATTACTCAGATCAAAGACGCCTGACATTATGAATTAAAAGATAGCATTATGTTCTTGCAACTCAATAAGTACATCCGATAATGAGACGACAATCGCGCCACTTAGACGGGAGACACTCAACATGGCGGAGAAAACAGTCTATTTGATCACTGGTGCAAATCGAGGTACGATCCGGTGCACTTTGTTATACTGGACCAGATTTAACCGTGTCTCACAGGACTTGGCTTTGCACTCGTTGCAGCCCTCCTACTGAGGCAACACCACATCGTCATCGCCTCTACCCGTCATGCTACAATTCCAAGCGAGCTTGAGGCTCTTCCTCGAAATCCAACTTCCTCAATCTTACATGTAACTGCTGCTCAAGAGCCGTGGCCCCCTGAGACTCAAGGCAATGGCGCGCCAAACTTGAGCACGGCGAAGTTACAGTCTTCCTTGTCACAAGCTCATCAAAACATCGATCATATTGATGTCGTAATTGCCAATGCAGGAACCACAGGCGCTCGAGAGTCTATTCTCGAGACAAAGCAAGAGAACCTACTCGAATGCCTTCAAGTTAATGCGCTCGCGCCCCTAGAGCTTCTGCAAGCAAGTTGGCCATTACTACAGCGTGCTCAAGCACCCAAGTTTGTGCTGATCGGAAGCATAGCTGGCAGTGTTTCTGGGATTGATGAGACGGGGCGGTGGTCAAACGCTGTCTACGGTGCAAGCAAAGCAGCAGGCCACTATTTGATAAGGAAGGCTGGAAAAGAGCTGGAAGGACAGCTTGCAGTGTGTGTAATACATCCTGGGTAAGTAACCGTCTTTAAAAATGATGTGATGATTCCTTGCTGATTTTCATGCCTGAATTAGATGGGTTCAAAGCGAGACTGGAAACAAGAGAGCCATTGCCCAAGGATTGGACAAGGCGCCAGTCACCTTGGAAGCGTCGACGGAAGGAATTCTCGATGAGATAGCACAAATGACCCCAGGGAAGGATGCTGGATTTCGCACCTTCGATCACGGGTCTATAGCATGGTAGATATATTGATCTATGTATGCATTGTCTAAGGCTTTGAGCCGAGAACCTCTTCTACTACCCCCTTTATACGATCGATGATCAATTCAACTTCTTCCACAGTAATGTTGTAAGGCGGTGTAATCGTAATGTGATCGCCAGCAATGGTATCCGCCGTGCCCATACCTGCGTTGAGTGCAATGTTCCACGGATCCTTCAATCCCGCAGACTTTATGCGACTTGCGACGCGTTCCTTTAGAGGGAACGGCTCTTTTGTCTTACGGTCGTTCACAAACTCCACTGCCCACATGAGTCCTCGACCTCTGATATTACCGACGTGTGGATGATCACCCAAAGCTGCCCTCAGCCCTCTTCCTAAACAATCTCCGGTCGTCTGAATGTTCTGGAGGAGATTGTCTCGCTTGATGATACGCTGGACGGCTAACGCAGCGGCACAAGCTACAGCATGAGAGCTATATGTGTGCCCGTGATTGAAGAAGCCAGAACCGGCTTGAATAGTATCGACAATTCTCTGGTTCATGAGGAGCATAGAAATGGGAGCATACCCCGCCGCAAGGCCCTTGGCGACGGTTTGGATATCAGGATACACGTCCTCCTGCTCCCACGCGTGCATTGATCCAGTTCGACCCATACCACAGAAGACTTCATCAAGGATTAGGAGTACCGAGTGTTTATCACATATCTCTCTAACTGCCTTGAAATATCCCGACGGCGCGGTGAGACAACCCATAGACTCAACATCATGTTAGAATGAATATCGACAAAACGGCATCTGTTCGGCTACGGGGATACCTACGGTGCCAGATGCGGTTTCCGCAACAAATGCGCAGACCCTACTGGGCCCTATGCGCTCAAACTCTTCATCTAGTTCCCTTGCAAGCCGGTCAACGTAGTGAGCCTCTGTCTCGCCAGGATGCATTCCCCGATAGAGGTTAGGCATTGAAACAAAAGAGACGTTGTCGTTCAACATGATGGGTTCAAACGGTTTCTGCACCGCTGCCTTTGCTGTCAGTGCCAAAGAACTCAGAGTTGTGCCGTGGAAAGCGCCTTTGCGTGCAATGAAATGCACCCTCTGCATCTCTCCTTTATCGACAAAGTATTGTCTCGCGAGCTTCAAACCTGCCTCGACGGCCTCAGAGCCTGTTCTCGCGTTAGACCACTATTTCATTTTTGAACAAACAAGATTTACCGGCATCCTACGCACCTGAACACATAATAGTAGCTCTAGCCATCACTCCATTAGTTGAATCCACAATCTCTCTAGCTAGGTCTTCAGCTGCTTCGTTGGCGAACGTCAAACTGTGGCAATAAGAGAGCCGATCCATTTGGGCGACAACGGCATCTCTTACTTCAGTGTTGCCATGGCCGATGCAAACCACACCAGGGCCCCCACTTGCATCTAAGATCTTCGAGCCATTGTCTAGAATTATATAACTGCCTTTTGCTGAAACGACTTTGGGGTTCGGCGTGTAGATGTTGGGATGAAGCACTTTGCTGGCAGTTGATGGGTTGGTGCCATTTTGCCGAACAGGCTGGAATATGGAGGCCATTGAGTACCGAATTTGGAAGTATGGTGTGATTGCGGGCACTTTTTTTTTTATCAATGTTGTTGTATTAATAGTTAATTTTGCGGCCAACGCAATTTCATGCTATCGCCCAATGAGAGGTTGCTGGACGCCTGGTACAGTAAGAAAGGAGTCAGAAAATGTTAGTCCACCAGATTGGGCACCCCCTCGTTCCTGTCGGCACCGCGCAGGTCTGAATGCTTTTCCCAATTTTTCGAAAGGAAGATACCGCACCGCTGTTCAAGCTGTTGAGAGTCTGTAGAAACTCCATTCGATTTTCAGTAGCCACACGCATCCATCATGGCCACCTTGCAGTTGGACGGCCATGAACGAGCCATTTTGGATCGCCAGTTGAATGGCCTCGAAACCGACGGCAAAAAGAGCAACCATGTCTTTGTATATGCGACGTTTTTGGACAAGGTCATTCTGTCGATTAGTTCCCTATGTGCAATTATTGCTGGCGCCCTGAATCCTCTGGTTCCTGTAGGTGATGCTCGAGACAAGTCTCTTTTCCTTGCTTACCATCCATTCAAGGTCATCTACGGTCTTCTTGTTGGTGTATTCGATGGCTTCACCGCTGGAACTGTTACCGCCAACGAGCTGCGGTCCAAGATATCAACGTTTAGCCTCTACTACGTCTACCTCGCCATCGCACTCTTCGGCTTCTCATATGTATCCACTGTTGGCTTCTACTACTCTGGAGAGCGCATCGCTCGGGCGTTACGAACTGCATATCTGTCGGCAATCATGCGCCAGAATATGGCCTTCTTTGACCTACTTGGACCGGGGGAAATAACAAACTGTATCATGTCGGACATGGGTGTCGTCCAAGAAGCTGTCACAAGCAAGGTTTCAGTTATGCTGACTGCCGTTGCGCAGTTCTGTGCTGCTTTCGTCATCGCCTTTATAATGTATTGGAAAATGGCATTCATCATCACTCCCTTTTTTGTCACCATGATCGTGGTGGGAAGCGTCGGTGGAGCGTATGTCGTCAAACACCATAAAAAGGCCATGGCAATTTACGGCCAGGCGTCCGTCTTAGCGGAGGAGGCCATCAGCGCTGTAAGGCATGTAACTGCCTTCGGAATCCAACCGTTATTGTCGCGACGATATCTCTCTGCGCTGGATCAGGCGGCGAAGGCGGATGCTAAAGCAGAGAACACGGTTTCGGCCATAATCGCTTGGTCAAATGCCATGCCGTGTCTCATCTACGCACTCTCCTTCTGGGCGGGCTCCAAATTCCTGGTCAAAGGAGAGGTCTCCGTTGCAGAGGTGACGACAACGACTTTGGCCGTAACTATCGGCTCGTTTGCCATCGCCAGAATCGCTCCTTCAGCCCAAGCATTAACATCCGGGATCGCAATCGCTGGCACAGTTCTGAAAGCCATTGCGAGACAGTCACCCCAGGACCCATTGTCGGCTGGAGGAGAAGAGCCTGAGGGAGTTGTGGGCGATATCCAGTTGGAGGATATTGGAATGGTGTATCCCTCTCGGGATGATGTGAAGATATTAAACGGCATAACCCTGATCTGTCCCGCAATGCAGAAGACAGCTATCGTGGGCCCATCGGGAAGCGGAAAGAGCAGTATTCTGGGATTGATAGAGCGATTTTACGAGCCAACGAGTGGCAAAGTCTGCATGTATCATCCTGGAACCAGGTCGATAGTGTTCATTGCTAATTGAAGGTAATAGTGCTTGACGGTCGGGACATACAACTTTTGAATCTTGGCTGGTTGCGGCGCCATATCGCCATTGTCGATCAAAATCCGATCCTCTTCAGTGCCTCTATATTTGAGAATATTCAGTACGGATGCTCTGAGATGTTGAGTCAGCTATCAACAGCCGAAGTCTACGAACGAGTCACAGAGGCTTCTAAGAAAGCTAATGCACATGACTTTATCATGATGTTGCCCGATGGCTACGACACCCAAGTGGGTGAGAAGGGCCTCCAGCTCTCTGGGGGGCAGCGACAGAGAATTGCCATAGCCCGAGCATTGATCAAGGACCCAAAGATCCTTCTGCTTGATGAAGCAACATCTGCGTTGGATTCAAAGTCCGAAGCAGTAGTACAGACAGCGCTTGATGCCGCGGCAGAGCATCGCACAACTATCATAGTTGCACATCGTCTGTCAACTATCCGTAATGCTGATAACATTATTGTTCTCGCCGAAGGCAAGGTTGTTGAACAGGGAAAGCATGAGGAACTCATTGCAAAGAACGGCGTCTATTCTGCGTTGGTGCAGAAGCAAAAAATTGAAGATGGGAAAGAACAAGCAAACATCGACAATCGCCTTTCCATCGATGACATTGAGAATGGCTCACAAAGGATGTCAGCAAAAAATCTCGATGAGAAGATTATTGAAGTAGAGGAACGGCACCGCAGCTCAACTGCAGGGATGGCAGCAGAATCGGGGAACAGTTCCCAGCGCCTAAGTGCGAAACACACACTGGCTTTCATTGGAAACATGGCTAAAGATGACTGGAAAGTATTACTTCTCGGGATGATCTGTGCTATCCTTGCCGGTTTAGGAATTCCCGTGTTCGTATTCTCGCTCGTTTTAACTCTCCCATCGCAGCATTAGCTAACCATTTGGCACAGGCAATCCATATTCTTCGCCAAACTCTTGACAGCTTTTGGTTTGCCACCTGCTCAATATGCTCATCTTCAAGACGAGGCAAAGCTTTGGTCCGGCCTGTACGTTGCCATGGCAGGTGCTGCTTTCATTTTCTGGATGGCTGTTGGCATAACGCTGTCATACGCAACTAAACAGCTCTCACGCCGAGTCCGTGATGCCTGTTTTAAGTCCATCATGACGCAAGATATGGCTTTCTTCGATGAAGCTAAGAATGCCCCTAGCGCACTTTCAAGCCTGCTCTCGAAGAGTACGAATGACCTTGCCGGAATGGGCGGTCCTGTTATTGGCGGGATCCTGACATTCATCTCGACGATTATCGCCGGCATCGTTCTCTCTTTAGCTGTAGGGTGGAAGCTAGCCCTTGTTTGCACTGCTACTATGCCTGTCGTGGTGGCCTGTGGCTGGCTTCGGCTGCAGATGCTATCGGCATTTGATAGCAAGATTAGACAGAGTGGACTTGATTCAGCGGCTTATTCTGGAGAACTTGTCCGCTCAGTGCGGACAGTCGCATCCCTTGGACTTGAAAAATATGCTCTGGCTCGTTACGACGGCTTCTTAGCAAAGCAAGCAGCCAAGTCTCTTCGCTCTATACTCTCTGCCTCTAGTCTGTACGCCGCGTCGCAATCTCTTGTCTATCTCTGCTCTGCTTTGGCGTTTTGGTATGGCGGAACCCTCATAGCAGATGAGGAGTACACCACTTTCCAATTCTATATATGTTTCGTCAGTCTTATTTCAGGGTCTCAGATCGCTGGATCCATATTTACCTTTGCGCCTGATGCTAGCAAAGCTATGCATGCCAGCGATGAACTGCAGCGCATCCTGAACGTAAAGCCTAGCATCAACAATAAAGCATGGAGTAGGCATTCTGCGGACGAAATGCAACTGAAAGAGAAACAAGATTTGGAGACGAGCAGCACCTGTCAAATTCACTTTGACAATGTGTCATTTACTTACCCTACTCGGCCAAACCGCCGTGCTCTCGATGGGCTCAGTGTTACAATCAAGCCAGGCCAGACTCTTGCCCTCGTCGGTCAGAGTGGAAGTGGAAAAAGCACGTGCATATCCCTACTCGAGCGCTTCTATGATCCGGATCACGGACGGATTCTTATCAATGGACAGGATATTCGAGATTTGGATGTGGACGAGTACCGCCGGACCATCTCACTTGTTAGCCAAGAAACAATCGTGTTCTCGGGCACAATAAGAGAGAATGTGGCCATCGGGTTGGCCGAGAACGCAGTAAGCGATGACGACGTTCTGGCAGCGTGCAGAGCGGCCAACATTCTAGAGTTTGTAGAGTCGCTACCGTAAGTGCCCCCCAGTCAATGTCATCCTGTTTGCGAGAGAATCTGACAACATGATAGTGAAGGGCTGTCCACACCTGTAGGTACTGGCGGAAGCATGCTCAGCGGTGGGCAAAAGCAGCGCATCGCCATTGCACGCGCCTTTCTCCGAAAGCCAAAAGTGCTGCTGCTCGACGAGGCCACTTCAGCGCTGGACACCGAGTCTGAGACCATTGTTCAGGCAGCCATGGATGCTGTCAGAAAGGGCAGGACCACCATCATGGTGGCGCACCGGCTTCGCACCGTTGTGAATGCAGATGTTATCTGCGTGCTGCAGGATGGGGCGTTGCTGGAAATGGGCAGCCACGAGCACTTGATGGAGAGGCGAGGGAAATACTGGGAGATGGTTGGGATGCAGGCTCTACACTAAGAGACAAATTTGGTGGATGAGGTAATCCTAGATACAGCACTGGGTTTGATCTTTATATCAAAGTCAAAGTAACATTCATTCAAGCGAGACTTTAACATAGTTAAGGATTCATTTTTTTTTTTTTTTTTTTTTTTTTTTTTTTTTTTTTTTTTTTTTTTAGAATACTGTCTACTTGGCAGTTGATGAAAATTGTTGTAGGAGAGATGGCAACAACTACCTGTTTAATTTAATTCTGAGGGAAAAACTAGACACATATTTTTGTGAAATATTATCAGAAAGGCGTCAGCCGCATTTGGTTGGGTGCGTTCGGTTCACCAATGAAGCATGTTCGACAGTGACGGCAGGAGTCAAGTATAATTTGAACTGGCTTATAGCCTTGCTCAGAGTACCTATTGGTCTTATGCTCGAATCAAGTAGGGTTGTGATACACCCACTACTCTAATACTTAATAAGTACCTAGGTATAGAACAGCTCTATGCCTTGGTTCAAATAAATGAAAAGCGAACCTCCTCCCGCACCCTATCCGCCAACTCCAGGGCCTCTCTCCTTCCCTTTCTTGAGAAAACATTGAAATAGGCCAAAAAGCTATTCACTCCAGAACTCGGATGCGGCACCTTCTGTCCACGCTTGACCAGGCACCCACATCGGCTAATATGGTTCGCAAGATCCGGCCTACGGGCCTTCAGCTCAGCGCAGATATCGTCCGAATCAAAGATGCCTTGGCAAGAGGAGGGATAGTCAGCCGGAATAAAGACCATGACACATGTGTACTGGGCTCCATGCTGGAATGGCTGGGAAAGGAAGCGGGCGCGAGACTTGTCTGCAACGGCGATGAGCATGGCTAATCCCCAATAGTCGATTCCGTACGTCGATTCAATGACCTGCGAGCCCGTCATACCGAGCGGACGTGGATTGATTTCAATAAGCCAGGCAGTGGGCTCTGGAGTCGCGGCTGCGGTGTCGCGAGGGTGCAAATCGAGAACTCCATCCTGCATCTTGTAGTCAACCGACGAGTACTCCACGCGGCCTTCCAGATGCATAATGCCGTTCCGCAGGCCGAGCTTGACTAGCGTGTCCAGGAAGCTGTTGCGAAGCACATCGACTTCGTGAGCGGGCAGCGCCGATGGGTATACACTGTTCAACTCAATGAAGGTGTTGAGCGACCCGACGCTGGGACCGTTGGAGTCGGCGGTTTTGGGGAAATCGTCACACGCTTCGAAGAAGAGGATTTCACCGTCCAGCAAGACAAAGTTTGCATCAACTTCCGGCCCTGAGCAGTATTTCTCTATAACAAACTCGGACCCATGACGAGATGTGTCGATGGACTTGACCGCTGCTGTGAGAGTGTCGAGAGAATCAACGCGGAATACCCCCTCCGAGCTCCATCCATTGCATGGCTTGATGATAAGAGGGTAGGGAAGGTCGTTTTTGCCGGCAATCTCGAGAGCTTCATCTGGACTAGATGCCTGATAGGCCTGGTGCCCTGCAAACTTGCTTGTCAAATATTTGTCCGTGGCAATGCGCAACGCATCTGGTGAAGCAGTCTGAAGGCCTAGTTGCTGCGCGGCCTGAGCAACCTGGGTCACATAAGAGTCACAGAACGTTATGATGCCGTCCACTGGCTTGCCGTAGGTTTTCACAGACTTGACAATGCGATCGGCAAAACCCTCTTCTGGGGGGTCCGTCAGTTTAGTTGGGATAAATGCCTCACGCCAGTGCGCATATTCCGGCCCTTCTAACCAGTGTCCTGAGTTGTCTAGGACGACCAAGTTAATGCCAAGGGCTCCGGCTGCGAGATAAATGCCCGGCCCTACACCGCCGTTTTCGGGATGCGCGCGACTTCCTTCTACTAGCACCAACGTTCGACGTCGAATAGTCTCAGACGATATCCAGGGAAACGAGAGTCTATTGTCAAGCTCGGATTCCACGGCGAGAGACAGTGCTTCAATGCCCTCACCTGATTCGTTCTCAGAATTATGGTGCAAGATCAAGCCGGCTGTTGCAGCCGAGAAGAGTGCCACAAGGTTGCTGGTCTCTGAGGATGTGATTGCTAAGCCGTTGTAGCTCTCGAGAGGCTCTGCAAAAGACACTGCAGTTTCCACAAATTGAGAGTCCCTTAGACGCAGAGGAATAATGTCCGACCGCACTATATGTCCCTTCTGCAGAGGGACGATAAGCTTCACCACACTTCGACGCCCCCCAGAGGATGCAGTCGTGGCGCGAAGACATTGCAGGAAGAACTGAAACGCCCTGGCTGAACCAAAAGATTCGGGCTGGACGCTCTGGCCCGGATTTTCATTGTCGATATGGATACTATACGCGCTTTTAAGGTAGTTAAAATGATCGGCCGTATCGGCCGAGTTAAGGTGCTCGAAAACGATGTCCAGCGACTGCCAGAGGCTTTTATTGATCGGCTTGTTAAGTAGACGCCATGAACACTCCAAAAGTAGCGCTGCTGCATATTAGCAGAGGTCGTTTCAAGCTGAAGTGAGTTTCCCACCTCCATCGTCGGTCGACCGAACTTGAATCTTTTGAGAAGTCATCACGAGCAAACGATGCGAAACACATACACCACAAAAGCTGTATTGGCACCAGAATCAAATCTTGGTAGGTATCGTCCCTCCCCTGTTACAACTGCTGGGGTTATGGTCCAACACACCCAGTTCATCCGTGTTTATCCGGCGACAGCTCGAAATAATCCGCGACTTACTGGCAGACAGCCTGTTGCTCAAGAGCAACTTGATTGGGCTGACTGTGTTTTGCGAATCCCACATGTTGTCATTTCTGCACTGTGCGAGCTCTGACTACATGTAGTAAATGACTACTCCGTACATGGCGAGTTGTTAGCTAAGGTAGCATTTCTTTCCACATATTTCGATCTTATATCTTATAATTCCAAGATAAACATCTACTTTACCAAGATCTCAATCTATGCTATCTAACTTTTGGTTAGATACGGCCTTCTCCCTAAATAGGCAATTACAAAAAAGCTCAAATCAACATCGTTTAAGCAATGCCTTCTAAGCGAGAAGAACAAGCCTCAAGGGAGCCTACGCGCTTTCTGCTCGTCGGCGTCGGCCCTCATGCCAAACGAATCTATATTCCACATCTCAAAACTTTGGAGGGTGATGGTCGAGCAAAGCTTGTCTGCGCCGTCGACGTTGAAGAAAATGCGGAAGCAATCACTGAGCACCGCAACAAGGCTTTCCCCGAGGCAGAACTCTTTTTCGTCCCTTTCTTCTCTGGAGCCATGCCGGAAAATGTTTCACTCTCGTTGGCAAACCTTGCTGCTCGCCTCAAAATCGACTGTGTCATTATTTCGACTGAGCCGCTTGCACACAAGAGCTACGGATTGTGGGCAATTAGTCGTGGCCTCCATGTTATCATGGACAAGCCTATTACCGTCAGAAAGAATGTCATACACGACATGGACCAAGCACTAGGAATTGCCAAGGATTACGAAGACTTATTGACCGCCTACAATGAGCTTCAGAAGCGCCAGCGTACTTTTTTCCTCGTCACCAGCCACCGCCGATACCATCCTGGCATGTACTGCACGTTCGATATGATTAAAGAAATCACCGAGAAATCCGGGTCGCCAGTCACAAATATCATTTCTACGCACTGTGACGGTATGTGGCGGCTGCCGACGGAGATTGTTGATCAAAAGTATCACTCATTCAATAACGGATACGGAAAAGTATCTCACAGTGGTTACCATTTCCTCGATATGGTGTACCGATTCGTCAAATCTGGGTGGACCGCAGAGAAGAAACCCGACAGGATCGAAGTCGTAAGCAGTTTTGTGACACCTGCCGGGTTCCTCAAGACATTCAACTACAATGATTACATGAAAGCGTTTGGAGACAAGACATACGGCGACTCATGCAAGTATACAGATCGCTACATCCAAACGTTGTCGCCGAAATTTGGAGAGATCGATGCCGCTCTCCAGATCTCTTTTATACAAGATAATGAGCCGATATGCCTCGCTCAAGTCAATCTCCAGCATAACGGTTTCACCCGCCGTAGTTGGGTCACTCCCGGGCCGGATCTATACAAAGGTATCGGCAGAGTCAAGCACGAGTTCCACGAAATCAAGAGCGGGCCTATGCAGACCATTGTTATCGACTCACGACAAGCCAATGACAAACATGATCGATCTAAGCCCAGCACTGCCACCATCGGCACAGATAACCACTTTGAAGTGCACGTCTTTCGCAACTGCGACCTACTTGATGAGGAACAGCCGCTGGTGAGCTACTCAGTTGCTGACTTAGACCGGCGTTATAACTCGCAACTCCCAGGAATCTACTCAGAGAACGTCAAACGAGGGATCCTGTGGGAAGCATTGGACTTCATTGAAGGCAAGAAGCCTTTTGATGACTTGGCATCAAACTTGGACGATCATAGCGTGCCGGCAAATATCATGAGTGCTGTATATGCATCGCATATCCAACGCATGCGAGGTCTTAATCCGGTAGTGAGCATTGAATTAACGTATGATGGTGCCGTGCGCCCAAGTAAGTACCCTCGTCTAAGTACAGAAACTTCGGATGATAACCATTGATAGATCATGGCTCAGCAAGAGCAAGCATCCGACGCGGTGAGGACGTTACCCAGACGCTGACCTCACCTACACTAGCCCCCACAACTCCTCTTTTACAAGAAGATAAGATCTCAGAGGTTGGGGTTAATAATGAAGAGAGTACACGTGGTGGAGCGGTGATGTTGAACAGTAAAAAAAGCCACGATCGAAGTATTGACGGTGACAAATTTACGACCACTCTCTTGGATAAGCTCAATGCCACCAATCAGTTTGTGTCCCCGCACATCTCGACAGTCTATCCTAGCGAGGAGAATATCAACCATGATGTCGAGGCGCATTACAACTTGGCGCTCACGAGACAATCCGTTGGCGCAGAGGTCAGTGCTTGACAGGCACTAGAGCCGTTTTTGAGGTTGAACACTATAGATACTTATATATAGATACAAAAACACTGTGAATCTTACGAAACAATGAATATTATTTTTTGTAAACACTTCGTCTTTTCATTGTGCCATACCATTTTATCAGCTGTTCTTTTGTTTAAACTACATGATTATGGGACGATGCCAAAGTTCCCGTTGCGTACATTGGACTTTGTTACAGCCACTGCTTATTTTTGTTGCTTCAGATTCCACCAGATACAAACAGCGATCTTGCAATTGTTGGACCTAATCTTTATGTGATAGAAGTCTCAATCTTGATAATTCTACATATATTTTGGCAAAAAACTAGAGGGAGGGGAAAGCCCGAAGCAAGCACCATGATAAAGTGGGTGTATTAAGTTTTCTCAGACACGGGTTGATACGCTAACCACTTGTATATCTTGAATGGCTGAGACTTTCACACACAACAGTCCGTATGATCAGCCCTTGATGAGCAATTCATATCATCAATAATGCTATACGGAGCCCTTTGGTCACTGCGCAATGTCCTGATAAGATTGATATGTATCTTCGGCTTATCATCCTATTCTGCTTGTCCCTATTTCGATCTCCTTTTTAGATTTGCGCTCGTACCCGTGTTAATAGCAGGCAGTAGACTTTTTTGTAGGCTCGAATAGCTATAGCTGATGGTGGGTCTGCTTGGTGACGCTTCCCCAGTTAGCTTCGGGCTGAACCGGTAATAGTGGTATATCTTCTGACAACATTCTGACTGTACTCGGGAGATCACCATCCAATCTTCCCTCTACGAACTGACTAATGCTAATGCTAATGCTGTAACCCATGCTTCATACACGAACGGTGGTAGTAAGAACCACCAATCTCGCAAAGTCAGCGTCAGCAGAATCGGACATGCTAGAGGCTATCCTAACGTCGCACCACCAGGACTGCCTCGTCTTCCTCGTTGACGAATATGAGTGTGACGATTCAGAGTTTAGAGGCTATGTCTTTGGGGCTGGAGAAACAGACTAGGGATTATAACTCTTATTACTAAAGAGCTTCTTTCCTTTCCAAGTGAAAGCTAAGACCACGTACCTCGTCCTGTTAGACCTAAAAATAGTAGTAGGATTGCGAATTATATCGTACACGCAAATGGGTGTTCAATGAATACGTCCTCTTAAACTTTTCCAAGAGTTTGAATTAATACAATACATCGCGAGGAAGATAGACTAAATCATTTACCTGACTATGCATACTGTATACATGTATCTGACAATGATACGGATAGCTTATATTTTCTCTGCAATATTTACGATAATACCTACTAATATGATTCTCCTCCACCAAGCCCTGCGTATATTCAAGAAATCCTATCGTTCCTATCATCAACGTAAAATCAGGTAAGAACTTGAAGCATACCTAGTAAAGGGCCCTCTTACTCCTCTTTTGCTTAGATAAGGTTGAACAGGTATCACTAGTCATATGATAGATGCTAATAATATATGATATAATAAATGAGATAATAAATACTTAACCTATACGTATAAGTTAAATTTATAGCAGACACATACCATCGCGCCTCTTTAAGTTGGCATAATGCGCCTACAGCTTCTTGCGCGACCCACTGTACACAATCTGTCTGCTTCCAATTAGAAGAAAGTACTCCGTGGGATTCTGCGGCGGCATCTGTGGACGCTTGTTCACCACTTCAATATTGAACATCAACTAGTAATATCCTGCGCCCGAGGGAGAAGGGACTATTTATAAGAGGCGTGTTATCTAATTGTTGTGCGCGGGGAAAATCCATGTGGTTTTCAATGGTATTAATCCGGCTTGGCATTGAACACGTTGAGTCGTACTCAGCTAAGATCGTCCCATCTCAGCCCACCCATTCTAAGTATATCTTCCACTTTACCTATCTTGGTGGCCTGATGCAACATCAACCCTGTAACTGGGCATCCTGACGCTGATCCCAAGCCTTGCATCACCACTCACAGCCTTGCAATTGGCGCTCCCTGCATCCTTCAGCACCGCGTCCCTGCAAAATTATCTCATACATAGTGGCTCACCAAGCTGCGAAAGCTTGGCAGTGGAATAATGCTACATGAGCCTCGCTCGGATTTGAGGGGAGCCACCTGCAGGCTGAATTCGCCTGAGTAGCCTTACCATTGGCAGGTTTCTCTGCGACACGCGACGCCATGTCTTGAATCCTCCTCTTCCAACCTCTCTTCTCCCCTCCCCTCTCTTGTCCTATTTTTCTTTGCCTTCTTCCTACCTAGAAACGACGACTTCCAGGCGCCCCAATTGATGCTCATGGGATCACGCTTCAGCGAGGCCACAGGGCCTGAAGTTTTGCCAGAGGTCGATTCCTCCGGAAATGGCACCGCTGCACCTGAGCTTCTCCGCGGATATGATGGTTTAGAGGTGGTCGCCGACGATTTGCCTGGCTCAGGCGTCAAGACAAAAGCCGAGAATGAGGCTGTACCGGCAATTGAACTTCCCACGCCGCAGAAAAATGCCAGAAGAAGGAGAATAATATGGGTTGCGGTCGCAGTCGTGGCCCTGGTTGTGGTAATAGTCGCAGCCGTGGTTGGCGGTGTTGTTGGGTCGCGACATCATCACAACTCCGCAGCGTCCTCGAGGTCTTCGAGTGCTCCTTCGTCCCCTTCTTCGACTCCTTCGTCATCGTCGCCGAACTCCATTGCCCGCAACTCAAGCATAGCTGTAACCGGATGGTGGGAAACTACTAGCCAATACAACATCCGCCTATTCTACCAGGGAAATGATGGCCAATTACGCATGACCGGCTACAGCTCCAGCGATGATAAATGGTCTACGGTAGCAACGTATCAAACCGACCCGCCACCTAGGATGGGTAGTCCACTTGCAGCTAGTTGTTACAATTCCACATTCTACTTCAAAGATGAGGTCAATTCCACCAGCGTAAGTCTTGCGCCCCCCTTCTCTAATCGTTGTTCATAGCTAATGTGCTACATGTCATCTGTATCACATAGAATTACACGCAAATCGATATATACTATCAAGGAAAAGAGGGCTTTCTCAACAATTGGGCAATCCAAGAGGAAGTAGCTCCCGTGCGGAAGACTACTGACACAAAAGGGACACTCTCCGCGCGAGCCTTAAGAGCAGGCATGAACACGAGGCTTGCGGCACACTGGCCAAGCGTTATCTTTCAGAACGGAGTGAATGGAATAGAAGAAGCCTATTATTCAATACGCAGGTATTGGGGTCACAACGTCTTGAACCTCTCAGCCGTAAATCATTCAGCACTGGCAGAAGTCCCTTGGTGGGGATCCAGGACCGGAAGCGCCAATTTCATCTACCAACGAGGTGACCAGAAGCTTTATGCGGAATGGAGGCAGAATGCTAGTGTAGACGCAGCTCCAGGTGAGATATAACAAAACATCTCTGGCAGTCAATTTGTACCTAACGTAGACTTGCAGATGCACCACCCGACATTTCCATCCCGCCTCAAGCAGCCATCGGGGCATTTGCTATCCCCAAGACTGCTGGAGTGATACACAGCCTCATGAATTTCTATATTCTATGGCAAAATGATACTGTTCTCCAAATGACCAAGAATGACGATAACAACGGGTGGCAGACTTCATCAACTCCAGATACTCTCGGAAGTCCCGACGAAGGAACTGATATAACGTGCCTTACCGCGACCGATTATGTTTGGACCCCTATACAATCCAAGTACGATATGGCCCGCTGTTATTATATGGTGGATGGAAAAGTAAGAGAGGTGAAGTACGACGGGTCGACTTGGTCTGTTGTTGGATATGTGCCATTGGATTGAAACAAAATTCTGCATTTTCCGCTTGGGTCATTAGAGGAGTTAATTGATTTTTAGATAAACAATGCGATTTCAGCAGTCAATTAAACGAACTAAAAGACGAAAACGAAAAGAAAAAAAAACATACAACAGCCGGTGTTCGCTGATGGTCACCCACTCAACTACTAATCTGCCGGTTAGTGGCTTGTCTATGGGGGAGCAGACGGGACCCCGAATTTTCCACTACCTATGGTCGTATGTGACTGTAGATAGGTATGAACAAGTATATAAGGTTAGTTAATCAGTAGATATTTTATCGAATTACATCAACCCTCAAGGTCTTGAAGGAAGGGAATAACATTGATACTAATGGAGCGTTTGTTGCCGACTTGGTGAGCCAGCAGACTCTACAAGACCTCGTAAACCGTGAATATTAAGAGATTTAGCTCTATAATCCTCACAATGTGCAGTCTTTAAGTCACCCGGGCCTCGTCGACGAAGCCTTTGTAGCCCAACTCCACGGATCCATGGTATTTCGGGTATAATCATCTATAAATCTATTTGCACTATGATCCAAATAAAATGACCAGTCAATCAGAGCAAATAGATGTGACTTCTTGTTTACTACAATTTTCTAGAGTGTATACTAGTACATATAGAAGAAACATACAGGATAGAGTGTTCCAAAGAACACAAATTCGAAAAGTACCAGGTACTTATAGTTTCAATAATAGTCAAACAGAAAAGAAAAGTGCTTGAGCTATCTTATATCAACCGAGATTACTCAACGCGCCGCATTCTAGGTCAAACTTATATCCTCCGGTCCAGAGTGTTCCATCAAGGTTTATTGACCATCTCCCAGACATCAACTGCGACTGTGGTCTGTCCCAAGGTGGATATGCCGACGGCAACGATATTGTTCAACCGGAAGTACTTGTCGCTGCCGGTCTCAAACGTGATATGGTTCAAGACTTGTCCGTTTGGCTGTGTTGGGCCGGTGACATGTACAAAGATGTCTGCGCTATCATTGGTACGCAACTGATAGCGAGCGTCAGCCCTGAAGGTACCGTTCGCGTCAATAGTCCCCCAATCTGCACCAACGTTCATAACTTCGCCTGGTGATAATGTATGCAGTCAGTATGTTGAATGGCCAAGATGCGGAAGTCGATATGGCAAAACGTACCGCAGATGTTAGGGCCTTCAACAGTCCCGCCTAGAATAGGAATAGACATTTTGGTACCGCTTGGGCCGGGACCAAAAGAGACCGGCTCCCCAAGAGAGCTATTGAGGTGATACAGAAATCTCAACTCTGGAGCGGGTGTTTGATGAGGAGCTGGGTGGCAGTTAGCGGCACCTGTTAGCACCAGCAGCTGTAGAGCGAGGCCAGACTTTGCAAGAGTCATGATGGGATTGGCTCGGATTTGTTCTTGGCGTTATTTGTCTGAGACGGGGCGAAGAGATAGTCCAGCTAATATACCGATCAATAACTGCTAGAATGGATGGAGTGCCAGTGAGTATTTATATCTCCTCTAGAACTACCGACAAACCAAGGACGGTTGAGGCTTAGGCACCTGGAAGGCTGACTGACCCATCTGTCGAAAGCCCCTTGGATGCAGCCAATGCCAATGTAATAATTGATCATACTTGGTTCTGGCAAGCAGGCTTAGACCTCGACTCATTAAACTAACAGGAATACTCCTCAGTGTTGTCCATGATCCCAAAAACGCTCATCGCTGGGACCGCTAGTCTTCGCAAGCAAAGCAAGCAAGGCAAGCGTTCTCGCTCATTATCCTTGCAGTCAGGGACAATCCAGAGGGGTTCATCTGGTTTTCAAGCCGAGTTTCCGTAGAGCAAAACTTGAAAAGCCTTAGGGCTTACTCTGTGTTACACACATGAGCATGCACTCGATCCTTGCTATCAGACCTAAAGCGGAAGCGTTCTGAGAGCCCTGCTGATATCAATTTAAGCGGCTGTACAAACTGTGCTTACTTCTTTTGATCTAAAATAGCTAACAGCTATTAGGTGACTGTACGTGTGACAGTTTCGTAATGACTAGTCTCAAACGATTATTTAACATTTATGACGCTCATGGGTTGGGAAAGGAGATTAAAACCATCGCGATCTTGGCCCCGCTAACCGGGCAATGATAATGCCTGCGTGTATGAATACCCCAACGCTTCTCCCAAAAAGGAAACCTAGTGCGAGCTGGTCTGTGCTTTTTAATTAAGAAGATCGCGAGGCCATGTAAGACTATAATATGGCGATTTTTTTAGACCATCCGGGGGTTTAGTCTCACGAGAGAACTTTACTCTTGTTACACGTATACATTGTTTCCAAGCAAATTGCGCCTTGGGCATTCATATGCGGCAATGCTTGTGTTGATACAACTGTCTGTATGGACAGGCGATCTTCACTACGGCTCTCATCGTATTTCCGTTTTAAGTAAGCGATTCGAGAAAACGATTCGGGCAAGTGATTCGATTCGAGCAAAGCTCGTATTTATCAAAATTTTTGTATGCCATCCTTAAGCGTATCTTTTGTTGAGTTAACAGGATATGCGTGGCCGAAATATCGTCTACTTGTCTATATACATGTAAACAAGTCCTGCTCTGTATCGCACTCGCGTCTTACACTACATTCAAACTATGTTCTTTAAATCTTGATCCCTCATCTGTGACGGTTTAAGAGTCACCACAGCCCATCTTTTACATCTCAAAGAGCAGTCAAGCTTCTCTCGACGATGGTTGTTGCGGAAGAAATGCCACCAGCGCGCGAATACGAGTACTACCGTCAGCAGGCTCACGATCGCGAAGACCTCCATGCCTATGGCCGAGTATCGCCTCAAGAAATAATGGACCAACCTTCTCAGTCTCTAGTAGAAAATAACCCAAAATGGTGTCCCCAACATGATGTCCCCGAGAGAGACGTCGGTGACTCGACTGGCACATTCATGATTGAGCCCCTGGATGGAGAGGGACACGCCTTGGGTCAACCAAACCAGGCCTGCGCTTGCGCGAAGAAGCCCGAGCGAAATAGCACAAAGTACCGGATCAAGCTGATTGCGGGTTTGGTGCTGCCATATTTGTTAGCATCATTGGATTTGACCGTTGTCGCGACAGCATTGCCCTTCATCGCGTCCCATTTCGGTAAGTACAGCGTCTAACCCGGAGTATTAGAATCATATCACAATTGTTGTTGCTGTTGTCGATACCACATTCTAATCTGATCACATATTGCAGACAAGTTCGACCAGCTCGATTGGATAGTGACTGCCTACACCCTCACTTCGACAGCGTTCATTCCCTTCTATGGCCAGTTTGCCGATGTCTTTGGCCGGCACGTTTCGTTACAGGTGGCTCTATTCTTTACAGTGATTGGCAGTGTGCTCTGCGCCGCAGCTCAGTCCTGGAGCATGCTCCTACTGGGCCGCGCGTTGCAAGGGTTGTCCTCGGCTGGATTAAGCAGCATCATTCTTGTCGTCTTGGCCGATAAAGTCACGCTGGAAGGGAACGCAAAGAACAACACTCTCTTCACCATCGTATCCGGAAGCACTTATGCCATAGGTCCGGTGATTGGCGGGTAAGTGACTGGCCTGCTTCCTCGTTCGCTGCGGCCCGACAAGCCATCATCACTGACGGTCTGATGCCGGTATGCAAAATCAGAGTCCAAAAGCTAACAGTTTTGATTCGCAGATATTTGAAAGACGTATGTGGCATGCCGCCCTCGTAATGTTATCTAGGCTTAATCACCATCGCTAACACATAGTGACTCTCCAGGCAAACTGGAGATATGTCTTCGTCATTTCCATCCCAGTAAGTAGTGAAGATCGCCCATGGCTGCATTCTTTTACTTCCTAGATCACGGTTGACGTTACAGATCGCTGTCGCGTCCCATATACTTCTCTTCTTCATTCTGCGGAACGAACTGCTAGAAGGTACCCACTTCCACAAGAAGTCCAAGTGGTCTGCCATCTTCCCAGCAATGGCAACTCTTGATATAGGCGGCGTCATTTTGTTCATTTTCGCTGTTGGTCTCATTATTCTCGGCACCTCCTGGGGAGGGAGTACTTTCTCATGGGACTCTGTACAGGTCCTAGCGCCCATTATCGTCGGGGGCGCTCTGCTGCCTGTCTTCTTTCTGTACGAATTCCTTTTGGGGGGTGGTAGGATACTGTCACGGCTGTTTCCGCATCAGTCACCTATGCTGCCATTAGATCTCTTCTCTCGAAAAGATACATTCGTTATAGCCGTGATTCAGTTCTCTGCTGGAGCTGGTGAGTTCATCGACCCCCTTTCCCCCAAACTGTTCAACCAAGTACTCCTTCAGTCTCTTCATATCATTATTTCTTGCGCTCTCTCTTCATATTTTTCCGACGAAGACTAATCTTCACTGTTCCAGCTATGTATGCCGTCTTTTACTTCGTGGGAATCTATTTCACATTAGTCGAGGGCAAACCCGCCTCGCAGGCAGGTATTCAGTTGCTATACTACATTCCAGGAATGGCAAGTCAGTTTCTCCATGATCCGCGCCCAAGATGCTGAGCTGTTACTAACATGATACTTCACTATGCGCAGTTGGCGTTTATTCAGCAATGTACTTGTGCAACCGATCCCCCGGCCAAACGTTTTGGCCGCTGCTCCTGGGCTCCGTCGAGGAAGCGGCCGGGCTCGGCGCCTTGACCTGGGCCGTTTCAGCGAGCCGGTCCAGTATTGTCTCCGGCATGATGGTCTTAACCGGTGCCGGTACAGGTTTGCGCTTTATGCCTGCTTCTCTGCATGTTGCTGGAGTGTGGCCTGATCGATTGGCACCAGCCATGTCACTTATGCGCTTTGCAATGCCCTTTGGAGGCACCCTAGGGTTGACAATCATGAACGCTATATTCAACTCCAAGTTCACTTCAGCCATCTCCTCTCTTTCCATACCTTCCAGTAGCGAAAATATTGGGAGTGTCAATGCTCAGGACGTCCAGTCGTTGGACGCCATTGCAGATCTACCTAGCGCCTTGCAGGCCACTGTGAGGGAAGCAGGCCGCAGCGGAGTTGAATGGGCCTTCATTTCCATCCTACCAATACTCGGGCTCAGTATTTTGGCTTGCTTAGTTCTCGGAAATGTCTGGGTTAAGCCCACGGCCAGAAAGGAAAAGGAAAAGGTCGCCAGCTCTACATCTTCTGGTCAAGACGAGAAAGGAAATACTGGAGCCAGCACGGTGGTCTATGTCCCATATCTTTACGCTTTGCTAAAGGTAGCTATCCCCCCCCACCCTTATCCCCCCAAGAGTGCTCATCCTAGACACTTTCCGGTCTCATCTCCAATGTATCATGTTAGTCAACTAATGCTAATCCTCCGTAGGGAGTCGATCGCTACAAGCACGAGTCAACAAGGCTACCAGCAACGGAAAGGCATACCAGCGCCGACGGCGTATAGACGGTGAAGCCTTGCAAAAGGAGGTATGCGTAGCTTTTATATACTTCAACATGGTAGGGATTTGAGTATATGCAGTAGCATCAGGTGAGCAAATGACAGGGTACTTGTAGTGAGTGATAAGGCAAGCTTGAGGGGGAGGCATAGAAGTTCGACTCATATTACGTGGTTAAATTACGGGTTCGTATTAACCATGGAAACTATTATAATGAGTCTTTGAATATATTTCTAATATTATCTGCCCGGCTATTAAATAGCAGATATAAATTAATACAAACCAGCTAGTGTTGGCGATTGACTAAAGCTGGGTTGTGGACTACCTGTAGTCTTTCATTAAACCAGCTGTTACAGCTCTGTAGGCTCCCTCGCTTTGACTTTAAATGTGATCTCTGTAGATAACCTCTAAAATGATAAATTTTTTTTCTTCATCTCTTTCTACCTTTCGTTATCCAATTTGGCTTCTAAATAGAGATTGTATCCCCTTCTCACAAATCAACATGTCACACATCTTATACTATTGCCGTAAATATAACGACATAAAGGCAGATGATGTATAACATACATGTTACAAGGCACACAAAAAAGACGTGAGCTATTACTAATGCCCAAAGGAGATGACATTGACCCTGAGACGAGGACTTGGCAGGACCCCCCTTTATGGTCGCATGAGCCCTCATTTACTCCACTACTGTTTTGTTTGGCTAACTGCGATCAATCTCGGCGGTCCTGATTAATCTACCATAACTGTACTCCGTAATTATATTAATATGCCAATTTTCTATACCCGTTGGTTCCACTTTCAGTAACCAACTTTAAGGCTTCACCTTAAAGTTAGGCGCTTCCTCATCCAGCCAGGTCAATCCCGGCATCACCCACCTATCTAAGCGTCGCCCAACAGCACAGAGCAAACAACGTATCAAGCTTTTACCGGGGAACAACCTAAATTTCCTTAATAAAGTTTTGTCTAAGGATGCGTTACTTTACGGTTGCAATGTTCGCGGTTGTAACCTTCAAGGCTGCACATATTTGACTCACAGAAAGATTTCCACGGTTCCCTCGACAAAAGCACAATGCGCCACAAATTCAACTATAAGAAGCCGACTACCCTTTTCTGCCAGCAATCATTGGACAAAATCAACTTACTCAACAAGTCATCCCAGACCATTCACACTACAAGATGATTTGGTCTCAGTTCCCTCCCGAAATCAAGTGCATGATTCTCGAAGCCCTGACAGATGACAAGAACTGCAGATTATCCAATGCTGCTGTCGTGTCACGGGAGTGGCAGGCTGTTATCGAGCCACACATCTTTGCATATATACGAGTCACGTCCCAACGCATCGCCCAACTTAACGCCATGACGCTGCGCAACCGGGATCATGTGCGTTATATATGGTTCTGCATAGAGCTTGAGCGATACAACTGCCGCAAGTGCGATTCTTTGGATCCTAGAGCATTGCAGACAAGCGACAGCGAGAACAAGTTCATCTTGGCATCGTTCCAGTCGCTATTCACAGCTTTGAATACGTGGGAGCCAAATGGGAACCTGACCCTCGACATTAGCCTGTACTCGAAGAGCGATAACGAGCACGCATTCAAGTACCTAACCTTTATGCCCGACGCTACGGGACACCAGGTCGAGCCGATGTCGATCGCCGGAAGCGAGGAGCCCGACAAACACCGATGGGAAACGACTGTATTGGGGTCTATCCCACCAGAAAGAAGTCTTGAGCGTCTCTTTGGAAATGTCTGGCTCCCCATTAAGGATGAACGAGAGTGTTGGGCGCAGACACCAATGGTTCCGGCTGTGACACGCCTTGAAATGAGGCTACAGAATTATCGCCGATGGGAGACGTTTACAGTCTCCCAGATTCTTTCTCACCTCTCTGGCTTACGTGAATTCCACTATGAGATATGGATGCAGTGGTTTAGCGAGATGCACGAGAGCTGGCATGAATGTGAGTAATTCATAACTGAAGTTTGCTAGCTACTAACATTTTCACAGCGTTGCTTGAACTTCTTTCGGCTACCGAAGGGCTGGGCAAGTTAACAATCTTTGAAAACTCCAACCAACAATACCCGCTCTACTTTCTAGGAGAAGGCTGGCCAGCCCATGCTCCCACTATTCATCTCAGTCAGAAGCTTGCCCGAGTGAATGTCGGCGTAGAAGTCCTCTCGGCGTCATTCATGGTAGATGCTGCAGAGTTTTTCTCTGAATTTTCAACATGGCCAAACCTAAGCCATCTTACCCTTACTTCACAGCTTCTAGCACCCACAACATGTCCTACACAGATTATGGATCTCCTCCAAGCAGCAGAATCTGCAGCTTGTTACATGCCCAAGCTCAAGATGATGGAGATATGGTATGGACGAGAGGGGCTGGCAACTTTATTCAAGTATGAGCTTATCCCTGGCTATTTGCGGCAATCTGTTGTTACTTGGCGAGCAACATGGTGTATGAGTATACAGCCTCGAGTGATTGAGGCGTGGGAGGGGGTTGTACGCAGCCGTGGTGGATATCCTGGTGGCGTTGATGTGGTATATGAGGCGGTCAACGAGCACATCACGTCACATGTTGATGCGATTGTCAGCCTGAAGCTGTCAGAGACAGTGCTCCGGCCTATCTCTTTGCAGCAGATTAAGAGAGAGCAGAGCTTTGTTGGTTCCTTGACAGTCTAGACAGATATAATTATACACGAGAACAATCGATGAGCACACAGCAAGCACTTAAAGGATCCGTTCAAAGAGAAGTGACGAATTAAGAATCTACAAAGTCTACTTTGACGGCTATATACAAGCAATTAGTCAGGTCTTGGTTTCGACAAGCTCCTTCGGGCTGCCTACTTATCCAGAACACCGCGGAAAGGTGCCTGACTGTCGTTCTGGGCCACTTCCAGAACTTTCGGACAGTGGTGCCTCCGCTCGATCACTCGACCAAGCATCACCGGCCTATCTACTGGTGCAAGGGCAGATTGTGCAAGGTTGCGCAGAAGGAACATAAGAAAAGAAGGGACTTAAGTTGAAAGAGCGGCAAAGCCGCGGACAAACGCCCGTTCGACGGCGCGGGCCGCCTGCTCGCGCCGAATGGCGAGACGCCACGCCTCAAAGGCGGTGGTGGTGGTGGTGGTGGTGATGATGGGAGAAGAGGAAAAGAGAAGAAAATCGAGACGCGAGGGGAATATGTAGGTAGTCCATCCTTGGACAAGTCGATTAACTCTTTCCATGTCGCCGTCCTTGCCAATATTGCGGTGTTCTCACAGGCAGTAGCGGTAGGTACTCTTCAATCCAGTACATGGCTGTCCGAGAAATAGCTCCCATGACCTGACCCCCTCTGCTACTACTAAGGGACTACCAACCCACGTACCTACCAGGACAGAGGGACCGCTTTGCGGCGCCAGGCAAGATCTGTTGTACAGAGCCTCTCAGTCAAGTGATTGACAGCTTCCTCCCTCTCTCGTGCTGCTGGGAAGCTCTGCAGCTACGCCCTCTTAGGCACACATAATGGCACAAGATTGGCAGGCCGATAAGGGATCCAATACCCCTAAGGATAGCCACGATACCCAGTTTCATTCCCAAGCGACTTATATCCGGAGTAATAGATGCTAAAACAATAGACTTAAGTAACACTACACTGCCGGACCAAAAGCTATATAAAACAGCAGATATAAGACTACCAGCTTTATTTATTATAGCAATTTAATAAAAGACACTTATACTGCTTAAGGCATATATAATAGTATATATATTTAATAAACTAACTTTATTAATAATAAAGCCAGGTAAAATTTTCTTAAGGAGGGATAATGCTATAATGTATCATCCTATAATAACGCATACCATGGATTAAATATAGACCAACAGCTAATTATTTATAAGTTAACTATAATCCAGCATTAACTTTACAAAACTTAACATAAGCCAATTATTAACCTCTATTAACCTTATAAAAATAACTTACTATATAAAAAGTTATATATATGCTTGAAAATGTGTGTCCTGAAGCACAACTGAATCCTGACAATGTCTTATAGCCCGGTGTGACGTCCGCTCCATTCGCTGCGCTTTCCAGTCCAGCGCAAAAGAATTTCATCCTTGGCCCGTCATTCCACTTGATCGCCCGTGAATATAATTCTGTTAGATTCAGTCCAACTGCGAAAACATGCTATCTGGTATCCAGACCCCTCAACCCGCAATCTGCACACATGGTGGCAAGAGGGGGGAGTCAAGGAACACGTAGCATGAAATGGAGGTGGATGTGGCAAGGGTATCTCAAAGGGAGTGTAAGTAGCAATGTTCCTTGTTTTGGGGTTAACCAATGTTGGATTCTTGAGAAATAAAATAAATAAAATAACTAAAATTAAAATTAAGAATGGCTAAGAATGATACAAGTACGTATCTGAACTGTTGGGGGTTCAGTTTGCTTCAAAAAAGGCCCGTTTTAAAACAAGTAGGTCACATAAGAAAATAGTTTTCAGTTTCAAAGGTTGCGGACGCAGGGGCCGTGTATTTCCGATTTTGGAAGCCGAGGAGCCAAAAATAGAAGACTTTGAACCGCATTGTAGAACTTGACGGGACCCCGAATTTTCCACTACCTATTGTCGTATGTGCTGGTGATAGTTCAAAATGGCTATATATTTGATACGAGTCGATAAGCTCGTGAATATGAAGCTGCGAACTTCTTTGCTGCATGAACTGCACTTCGTAAACTCGGTTTCATTGTAGGTCACTACTAGTAGGAAAGCATGAACATGAACCTTTGCCTTGTGTTATGCTCCGGGCTCTATAACCAAATTCTTTCCTTTAATGTTGATCCAAGGTATCCCAAACGATATCAGAACCGCAGCTGCAGACGCCGCTGCAGAGAGATAGAATGTACCTACGAGAGCCTGGTTAAATGCCCCCAGAACAACGGGCAAATCGTCTGGGGGCACCAGCTCGCGAATAGCCCCTGAGCCACTGGCAAGCAGGCTCTGTAAATCAACACCGGGGATGTCCACCGTCAACTTATTAATGAAAATATTGGCAAAAACAGCTTGAGAAATTGCGAGAAAAATGGCACTGCCAAAGAATTGAGAGAAAGTAGCAGTAGAAACGCCAAGAGGACTTTGCGAAGTCGGCAAGGATGCTTGCACCGCTACAACGGGCATTTGAGCCATCAAGCCAAATCCTATGCCCGGAAGGATTTGATAGCCTATCCAATGTGAGGAGGGCGTAGAGAGATCAAATGTACCATAGAGACCAATGCCGATAGCCATGAGAGCACAACCAATATAGACCCAGGGGTTTAGAGGACCTAGTTTGGGGGCCAATGCTCCAGATAGGAGGGCGGCCGCGATTTGCGGAATGAAGGTCGGGAGATTCATGACGCCACTTCTGATTGGACCAGCCCCTTTGACGACTTGGAACCACTCTGGAAGATAATACACGACTGAAAATATTGCGCCATATGCAAACGCTAGAGTCAGGCTGCTGAAAGCAACAGTGCGGTTGAGGAGTATGGTCATGGGCAGCATGGCTTCTTCGCCTTTGTAAACCTGCCAGATGACGAAGACTACACAGAGACCTCCGAAGCCGAGGAAAAGTCCGATGATAGTCGCTGACTTCCAGGCATATGTGGACCCTCCCCATTGAAGCGCAAGTAGAGCCATCAGGATTGCCGGAATGAAGAGAGATGCACCGATAAGATCGAGAGCCCGGATGCGGCGGGCGATGGGCTCTGTTTCTATTGCTCTCGTGGGCGGGTTGAAGACCAATATCAACACCAGGCCGGCTACTGCACCGATTGGTAGGTTGATGTAGAAACACCATCGCCATGATACATGTTCTGTGAAAGCCCCTCCGATCAGAGGGCCAATTACGGTCGCAATTCCAAAAAACGAGGAGATAAATCCGATATACACTAATTTCTTTGAGTTAACTTCAGGGGGCAGATATTGGAAGAATGCAGTTCTTACGCGGTCTTTTCTGGAGTGGAGCAATGAATGCAACAATGGAAAAGGCACCAGAAACGATACCTGCTCCTCCGGCTCCTGCAACAGCACGCCCCCCGATAAACATATTAGAGCTCACAGCCGTGGCACATAGTAGAGAGCCGAGCTCAAAAACAGCAAAGAAGCTGAGGAATGTCCACTACTGGCGGTCAGATTAGACTTTTCGCATAAACGTTACGGGAGGAGCTTTGCTTGCTTTGAGAGAAAATGTCGCGTAGAGTTTACCACTTATCGGCTGTAGTGAGCATCTGGGTAGACCAATATTAGCACCAATATATCATACAATAGAAATCGTCTAGAGAAACGAACAGTGCAAGGAAATATGCGCTCCCGTACCACCCAATATCTTGCGTGGATCGGAATCGATCTGTGATATAAGGAATAGCCTGTGAACGACGCACAAATTGGTTAGTCAGTTTCTACTATCAGACTGGCTAGTGATGGGGGTACCAACTGTAGCAACAATGGAAGTGTCCAGGGCAATGAGAAAAACGGGTAAGCTCAGTCCCAAGAGAATAAAAGCCACTGCCGTGGAAGAAATTGATGGCTGATCTGAAGGCTCTGCCGTTTCGACTGGCTGTTTAGTCTCGTCGTCTGTATTGTCATTAGTGCTTGTTACTGTTTGAGATCCTGGCTTGGAGGACATGGTGAAGGTCCTCTTGGGCGGACAGTCTGCAATATGATGAATGACTAGCCTATCAAGAACTAATAAGCTGACTTAAAAAGAAGAAAAAGAGATGTAACAGCAGGTTAAATGTCAAAATTTTCACGGAGCCGATGGATATGTTCGCAGCTACGGAGTACAGCGGCCAAAGTTTAGGCCGCCAATACACAGTATACATTACTAGGATTTGTTTAAGTATTTCAAGACATTTCCACTCCGCTGCGGAGTTCGTCAGCATAGCTATTTTGTCCGCGTGTGCTCTTGAGGCTATTTGTCATCGGAAATAGCAGAGAAATAGGTTCATCGCATTGGCTGCTAGCATTATTAGCAGCAAGCTGTAATATCATTGATCTTCATCAGTGGATATTAAATCACACGTGTCCATTAAAATAATGATAATAGTAATGTAAACACAGTTCCAAAACCGTCTGGAACAAAAACAGACTAACTTTCAGAATATCTACGCTTATAGCACATTAGAAGGTCCAGTAATGGAAGCAACGAAAGAAAAGACAGATTAGAGGTAAAATAAGAATTTTAGGTGCCCCATTAGGACGTAGGATAATGGTTTTAGGGTGATGTGTCCTGAAATTGTAGAATCTGTGTAAGGGATTTTGCCAGAACAATAGCCTACATGTTGGTACTGTGTTTCGTATCCAATATTCTACAATTAAAGTTGGACCCCGAGAAAATAGTCACGTAATGGAATAATTGAGCTGCCTCCGAAATCTATGTACTTTTCTCTAAGTGGGATAGATATATAATCATCCTGTTACTGTCATCTCTTCCGTCATTAGATAAATGTAAGTTGGTCATTACATCTGCCATTAGCTGGTAGCCAGAACCCGCGAATACATCCTATGTCCCGACCTGATTTGTCCGGTCGGAAATAGCTTTGCTTTGCTATGCTAATCAGACTGCTTGCAGACTAGATTACCGTATCCCTTCGCGAAACTCGGTAGTGGATTGCTGTTTTCTTTTCTAGCATGATGCTAGGATAAAATAGCTACCCTTGGTGATTACGGTATTCTAGTCAAGGCAAGGCATTAGCTCGGCTAAAATAGTACAGCTTCCAAAAGAGGAAAAAAAAGTCTTGGCGCTCCGACCTAGCCAGTTGGCGGCCGTCAAAGCGTAAGGAGGTGAAGAGAGAGAGCCTCTTTTCATTTATTGTGTAATTCCTTGAATACTTCTCGGCACAGTGATGTGGCTAGGTGTCTTTATTTACCAAGCATCTGGTATGCGGAGAATTTATTTCCGCTCCGCAGAAATTGTCAATGAGTCCATGACTTAGTTATAGACACAGTCCATGTACGAACTCTCCATCTCGATCCCTGGCCATGTAAAAAAAACTTGTCATTTTGGTTCAAATTCAACAGGTTCATTGTTTCACATTAGATATTCAATAAACAGGCTGAAGATATATGATGTAAATGACACTTCCATCAATAATTTTGCTTATTCAGACTACGGAAAAGATTGATCAAGTGGCGGCTCTCCAAGCCAGTAATGTGATAACTAGCAATTTCCCCCATCAAACACTATGTTATTCATCACCCGAGGTACAATACGCTAGGCAGGCGTTTAACTTCCTGCATTTGGCATATTATCTGTATTATCTGTCTAAATCCGTCAGCGTAGTCTTGAAAGAAGTACAGACTCTCAGAGGGACTCTTTGCACACATTCCTAGAACGGTAATTTCTCCATCGCTTCCTCGGACGATTTTTTTTTTTCCAACCTCGGGTGTGTTTTTCTCAATAATACTAACTATTTCATGCTCTCACGGCTTTATTCTTATTTGAGCTACATTTGAAGCAACGAATCACGCTAATGTTTGAGTGTCGGTCACTGTGGATGTGGCTAGTCAGCTTCGTGATGTGATCCCCGGCTAAGATTCCTTACTCTACGGAACACTTGCCCGTGATTATCAATCTATTGAGCCTTTTATAACAACGAATGATAATTATTAATTGTGAAACTGATTGCTCAGCAAGGCGGCTCAGGGAGCAGTATCTTTGGTAAAGAGAGGAGTAATTAATGTATATAAGTATGAGTAATAGATCGCGGAGGGAAAGAGTTTGTTCATCAAGATTAAATTATCATCAGACACCAATCTCATCACCAATTGATAAATCTATAGCATCATGGCTGAACTGACTACAGCTATCCCCAAAGGTTCCGTCGTCCTCGTGACCGGCCTCACGGGCTACATTGCGACACATGTGGCACAGGAACTCTTCTCCCAGGGATATAAAGTGCGTGGGACAGTTCGTGACCCCGTTAAGGCGTCTTGGCTCAAAGATGAGGTGTTTTCGGCTGAGCATGCGGCTGGCAATCTAGAGCTTGTCCAGGTGTCAGATCTTGGAGCTCCAAATGCCTTTGGTGCTGCCATTAAAGGGGTTGCAGCTATCGCTCATATTGCCACAGTCTCGAACATGGACCCGGACCCGAATGAAGTTATTCCACGAACTGTGTCTGGAATTGTTTCGCTTTTGCGCGCGGCTGCTGCGGAGCCTTCCGTTAAACGATTCGTGTTCACATCTTCAGCTGGCTCTGCCATAATGCCTGTCCCCGGTGCATCGGGACATGTTGGCCGTGACACCTGGAACGATGCGGCTGTGCAAGCGGCGTGGGCTCCACCACCATACGATGCCAGCCGTGGCATGATTACCTACATGGCGAGTAAGGTGGAGGCTGAGAAGGCTGTTTGGAAGTTCCTTCAAGAGGAAAAGCCCAACTTTGTGCTGAATGTTGTGAGCCCATTTACCACGATGGGTACTGTGCTGCACCCTAGCCATGCAAGGGGTACAGCCGGTTGGGTGAGCGGATTGTACAAGGGTGACACAAGTGCCGTTAGCATGATGCCCTCATGTGAGTCTCACTTCGACCCTCTCATTTTACCCAGTGTGTTAATAGCATGAGGCAGTAATCTATGTTAATGTCAGAGATGTTGCAGTCCTCCATGTCGCGGCCATTCTCGACGAGGACACCAAGGAAGAAAGAATCCAAGCCTGGGCCGGCCCTTTCAATTGGAATGACGTCCTGGCTATCCTGCGACGTCTTTATCCGACCCATGAATTTGTTGGCGATCTCCCGGAATCGGCGGCAATTTCCGTAACGGCCGATGACAGTGTTCCACTGAAGCTGTTAAAGAAGTGGGCTCAACAAGATGGCTGGAAAAGTTTGGAGGATACAGTTCGCGAGAATATAAGCAGCCTCCTATAGATACTGAATATCAACCGCATCAGATCAAATTCATGATGGATTAATTATCAGGGGATGATATCATAAGACAAAACACCAAAGGACTAGCCAACCAATATAAGAATGGGTGTCATCTCAGCATATGCAACACTAGCAATAAGCTTTTATCTTCTCTAGCTATAACGTAGCATCCTCGCTCAATATAGAGGTCAATTCTTGTTGCGGGCTATTATTTCATTCACTAGCCAGATGATTGGCCCATTAGTGACTGTTGTGGCTTTCAAAGACATTGCTGTCATGTAACAAAAGCCTTTAATTGTAATTGTTTGTTTAGTCAAGAATAGCGGAAAAGATGAGATTTTCACAACTTGAGATTCCGTCATCTCCTCACCCCCTCTTCACTCCTCGTAACTGGTTCAACCGCTTCGCTCCGGGAATCGGTCTCTTTCAGCACTATGGCAGTCGATAAGTTCACTCAGTGAGCTGTGGCTTGATATCGTGCTCGAGAATTCGGACATTGAGGAGTGCATGTTACCTTGGCAGTCATTGATGGGGATATTTGATGTACCTTGGGCCAGGCATTTCACCGTCAATGGTGGTATCGAAAACAAAAAGGTGAAACCTTATGCCATAAGACCATAATTTCCCTTAGAGCAGCTAAGTACAGTTTGGACTGAAGCTAATCTATGTGCAGGTCGCCAGCAGTCTCTTGCATTTACATATACAGCACCGGCCTTTGTAGACTCTGGAGCCAGATTTGCTTCCTTATGTGGAGAAGTTTTGAAAGAAGCTCTGTTACCATAAAACTAGTATACAAATAACTAGGGATTTCATATATTATCCCCTGTACTTTTAAGATGATTAACCTTTGAAGTCCGTCTTCAGGATCATTTCCAAATTGCACCATTCAAGAGCCTTTCCCAAAAACCAGCTAGTGCCGAGATTTGATAAGCCTCCTTTCAACTTTATCATTTTGTTTATTCCTTGAAAATGCAGAACTGAGGCATTTAGGTTCTTGCATATAAACTATGCAATATTTCTATTAGATATTCTATCTCGCCACATTTCTCGAGGAATCGATATAGACTCACGTCATCTGCGCACAGCAGTAGGGTTATCGCAATTATAGTTTCGTTAATGATTGGTCTCTCTGCGGCAATAGCTGCATTTACATATCTGATGCACTCGAGCTTGTACATCGTTGCAATTTGAGAATAGTCGTAATTTGCTTCCGCGTGACACCCATGGAGTGCAAGATTACGACACGAGGATAGAAATATACCAGCTAACAAGGCAGTGTCTGTGATTACAAAGGGGAGCCAATACAGCCTCACACCTTCAAGGAACAAGGACTCCTCGTCGCCATGGGGACACCAAATCCGAGCGTTTGGGATAACTGACTTTGCATCTATGGCGAGTTAGTGGCATATAGGGAAAGAATTCAAAGCTACTCAGCCGGATGACACTTACAATATGCGAGAAGAAAATGCTCAAGCTTTGTTATAGGTCGCGCACAGCAATTAAACAAGTCGTTGTAAATAGGAATCATTAAGTCTACTGGCCAAGCCATGTTCAAATGAGAGTCCCCGTCGGTCTCCACTCGCATTCTTATTCTCCTCTCAACCCTCGGCTGCGAGGCCGACGCGCGACGCGAAGCATGAATATCTCGTGCTGCGTGTGAGCGAATGCTAGAAATGGCGGTTGAGGAGGTGGCATCATGAGGATGTGCAATGTTAATGAATTCCAACTCAAGCCCTTTTCTCAACGGTCTAGCTGATGGCCCAGACGACGTCCGCGGTGTTGTCTCATCAGCGTCCAAACCATTATCGGAATTAGGATTCGCCGCCGGTTGGTAGCTTCTCCAACGACGGATTCGCGTCTGAAGCTGCGGTCCATTTGCGGACCGGCTGCCTACCATTCTCATGATTGACAATGATCATTGACTTCGACATCTCAAGTTTGCTAAGAAGATGTCTGTGACGGTATATAGCAGGCGCAGCGTTGGTGGCCAGTTGTCAGGAAGTTTAGTCCAAGATTCTGACTAATGTCGATAATCAGCACAGACCGCGTATCCACTTACACATTCTGAAATAGGAAATTTTGGAGTTGATTACTAACATCATATAATTGGCCATTACGGTGATGAGAGAGCAGCATTAATGCTACTGCGCTTAATAATTATTTTAGCGGGCATATAATCACAGAGGGAGATTAGAGCAGGTATTTTCACGATATACAATCTCGCTATTATTTACATACAACATCGAGTCCGTATCTTTAGCTGAATATTATGTTTACGCGGTTTCGGATCAAGACTTTCCCTCCCCCAAAAATTATACAATTGGGAGACCCAAGGCGTAGGGAAATGCCACCAAGAAGAGGATAGCAAATTCAACAACGAACATGCATCAATGGTCGCTCATTTGATTACTAGTCTGCCGGTGAGTGGCTCATCTCTTGGGACCAGACGGACCACGTATTTTCCTATAGATACTGTCCTATATGTTGAGGTCAAAGTCTTAGATCGTTTACGATATGCATAATCTAGCGTCGTGTCTTGATTCATTTCCGTGTTAAATAGCAGCTTCTTCGTACAACATCCGAAACCGGCTCTCAGTATAATGCCTGACCAAGCGGCGGCCAAAAAATTAGCAGGACTAGCAGCTTTGTCTATTCAACACGAGGCTACAGAGCCTGGAGCAGCTGAGATCCGCAGACACGTGGCGCATCTTGCGTCGTATCTTCCACACAACGACGCATCACGGCACATGCTCTCATCGCTGCGGCAGCTAGTATTGCTGCTTGGCATTTAAAATAGATCGGCAGCCCAAGCTAGGTAAAACCCGCTATTAGATACTAGCGGTCGTTTTAAGTATATACACATGTGATAAACTTTTATTGGCCTTTGATAGAGCATAGATGCGGGTATCGGAATAAAAAGGGCATATATCATAAATGATAGGTTGAGCTAGGGTGATACGCACATGCTGCTACTGCTCGAGACGGGGAGAGAAGATGATAAAGACATGACAGCACCGTCATGTACCCGCCATGTACTAATGTATTATGCAAAATTTGAGATGCTTAACTAGCAGTGTAGTGTAAATACAGAAAACGCAGTGAAAAGCGATCGATTACTTACTGTAGCTTTGTACGTACGTATTCATTTTGCGGTCCCTATTTTTCTGACCCCCGCTTGAGAGGATATAAAACTTTACCTGATATACTTGATATACTTGATATACTTGATATACTTGATATACTTGATATACTCCGATTGGTTTATAAGAAGACGAAGCAGCATTTTTTTTGGCGTCCGTTAGGTAAGTTTAAAAAACCCAGAAGGACACATATGCAGAGAGAACTTGATTTGACAGCACATCTTGGACTAATATAGATGACAGTAAACAGAAGTAGTATACACATGTTGAAGAAAGAACAGAGCAGGCTACATACCTTTTCGTAGCTACGCCAAGTCTCGTGTCTACACCGAAATGGGTTGTGGGCTACTGTGCTGGCCTTATTAGCAAACCAGTCGACTTAGGTAAGGCGAATAGGGGCCACAATGAGCAACTATGATATTAGCGATGATCGATCGTGTAGCTGAGAATCATGCGGGTAAGATTGTACCATTTATAGCTTTGCTTCAGGCCAATCTCCTTTTCTTCGACGCATAGGATATACTGTAGCATGCAGTGCATAGCATGTTTGGCGCCTATTTGCGTCTTTGTTCTCTCTTGTCTTGCTAACCACTGTGAGCATTTACTTTGGATGCTCCAAAATTAGACGTTGAATTGGTGAATGGCGCTGAAGGTATCGGTGCTGTCGCCACAGCCTTCAAGTCTCCACGTCGTGTCTGTGTTAGGGCATATCCGTGCCGCAACGTCCTGCTAAACCGGTTTCCAGAAAGAATTGCTCTCGCTTTGGCGCCACGTCTCGATCAGCTCCTGGCTGCTGGTAGCCGGATCTGCCTGCGCCATCAAGATGCCGTGACCAGGTCTTCAACGTCCTCGTCTAGGCTGTGTAGCACGGAATCTCCTTGCCTACAACTGATCCCTCCTTGAGCTGCAGTAAGCATTCTCGGTACTCATCAGAGGTCAGATACACATTTCTAGATACCACGCAACTCACCTAGGACAATCACTAGCCCTTGTTCCCTTCTATCCCCAGTTTTATGCGTCTGGTAGCATGAATCGCGCAAGAATACGCGATCAGCGCCCCATCTGGGGCATGGATTATACACATATGTACTATGCACACACCACTTGGCTGATTAGATGCACGCCCCAGACCCTCTTTCTCCCGTCCCGCTTGCCTCCCTTCCGTGGCTGTAAACTCGCACTTGGAAGAGGAACCAGATCCCTGGAACCAGCCCTGGATTTCGCTCCGAATTCTCGGGGAAATCGGCATGGCGTTGATGGGGCGTGTCACGATGCATCACATGCTTTGACATTTGGTGTTAGCATTCGCTCTGCTTGTTTGCAGTGCATCTCTCAGCTTCTATGTTATGGTGACTGCTGGATTCAGGGAGTGAGCTGGGACGGTCTGTTTGCTCAGATGGGGAAGTTCTATACTGCGGTGGGCGCACTTTGCTCCTGAATGAGAATATGAGCCCGCTGCTCGTCTTTTTGTTGATGCATTTTTATTCTTCTCAATAAATCTACTGTGTTTCTCGCAGCTGCAACGCCAGATGAAAATCGCCTGGATGCTTATCCACCCAGCCAGCTCACAGTCGTGCCGGGTGTAGATATAGCCCTGTAAGGGGAAATCGCTTTAGCTTTATCGTGCTGCATCTCGCTAGTAGTAGGAATTTACTGGCTCTGATATCTAGAGTGCAATTTTTCTGATTCAATGCTCCAAGTGAAAGTGTAATGGATTGTAAATCGAGCCCTCATCATGCGAGAAGCTCTGAGTGGCGCACCGCCACGTCTGTGAATGCGCGATTCATTATAGCAGGTTCCTAGTGCCCACTGCCTTAGGTACGTTGTGTTTAGCCCACCCAGCAGCGCTAACTGCATGTACAGTAGCACTTGCCCAGCATCTGCGTCTGCAGCGGGCGTCTGTTGATAGCGGCAGGCATCGAACATCCATGCTATGAAAGTAGACTTGGGTGCCTATTCCCCCTCCGTGGCGCCTTTAGCGGCCCAGATGCGCCCCTAACTTGGCGTTCACATGGCGCCTGTTGATGCCTGAAAGCGCGCGAATGACTCCTTCTCTCAACGATTTACCAGCCGAAGCAGGGTGCCGTTGAGGTTCTCAAGAAGTACGTACTTACTTTGCTGGTTCACGGCTCCAAAAAAAATAATTCCTCTCATCCTCATCCTCACGTCTGCTGCTCTTCCTCCTCTTCTCTTCTCTTCTTCTCCCTCTTCAAAGCTCTCTTCGTCCACCACCAAACATTTACCACCATTTGTTCCAACATCATCACTGTCATTTCAGCTAGCGACGCCTGCAGCAACAGTCAGCAACGGCTCGCCCCTCCCACACTCGTCACTGCACTCGCTGCAAGCAACCGTTGGCTTTTATTCCCCGATCTAAATCTTCCCAACGCAGAGGCACATGCAGCTTCTTAGTACGTCACCGGCGGGTGGACTATTTTAAACACTCTTCCTACCCAAAAAGGTCCCCGGAGCTGCGTTGGGCAGCCTTCGCACGCAGGCAAATACCTATTAACTCTAACTCTTCTCCATCCTGCACAATCCACATAAATTACGCACTCGGCTCTGTGGCTCAGTGCAAGCCGCTACAAACGTCCCTCATTCACAGCTCTGCTCATTCCGTGCTTTACATCGAGCTTCCTCACCCACGAGCTTCATCTGCTGCCGCAAAATCCCGACCCCTGCTCAACAACATGAGCGGCGCACCCATCAAATTCGAGATTCCCGACGAGTACCGAACGTTTCTGCCTTTCCCCCGCCTTCCGCCTGAAATCCGCCAGCAGATATGGCGTGAGTCCGTTTCGACGCCGGGGATGCATTTTGTGAAGCTGGAGAGTCGGGGCCGACACTGGAGGTGGATATCGTTGAACAGACTGGCGCAGTTGATCACACAGCAGCAGGACACCGAAAAGGACGACGACGAAGAAGACGACGACGAGATAGCACACGAGGTCAAAAATGAAGTAACTCCCAAGCCGCTGTGGGACACCCGTCTGGTACCCATATATCCAAACCAAAAGTCCGACATCTCCAGCTACCATGGCCTCAACAAGCAGATTGCAGCTCTGACGACAGTCTGCGGAGAGTCAAAGGCTGTAGTTGACAACTTGATAGCCAAAGACGGCGTCCTAAAGCTGAGCAACGGTAAGCTGGTGGCTTTGGAGGCGTCGTCTGATGTTATCTACCTCGAATATTTCCCTCCTGAGCTCTTTGAAAGCGGGTGCGGCTACGACATCGATCCCAACTGCTCCAGCTTGGACAACATAAAACGAGTAGCAGTGCGTTATTGCCATCAGTGGCAGGAGAAGCCGCTGCCGACAGTCTGCTCGCTGTGCGGACTCGTCCATGATACGACGGGCGGCATCATCTATCCGAAGCACTTGTACCATTTCCTAGCGAGACATTTGCCCAACGTGGAAGAGTTTTATTTTGTGGACTATTTCCTTTTGCGCAAACCAGTACAGTCAAATGCCGGTCCCGGTGAGTGCCACGCTTCGTGTGAAGAATGGTAGATTTCTCTGTTTCTCATACGTAGATATGTATACTAGGCAAACTACCCACACGCAAGTATCAATGCGGCAACCGAACGTTTTACGAGGCAAATGACGAGCATTGGAATGTGAAGCCGCAACTTGTCAAAATGCAGACGTGGCTGCAGGACAGATTCATTCGTTATGCCAAAGCCAGCCGATTAAGCCGCCACGAAAACCCTGAAAAGGTGCGATTCAGCATTTTGGCCTGCGAGTGGGATATAGTCCCGCCGCTGTCACTCAAAGCGCAGCCCACGCCACCAGCTCAAAAGGGCCGTAACAAGCGCATGCTTTACGAAGATCATGCGCTGCGTCGAAGTCGGCGGCGACTCCTGCGCCAGAAGTCACGCAATGCACAGCTGATAAACTCCAATGCATTCACGGCCAATGTGCCGTTCATATTCGGTAATCCAAACAACTCGTTTGACTTTACCTTTACAGTTGACAGGAGGCAGACGTAAATGGAATCATAATTTGGAGATGAAGCTTTCTTTTGTCGGATTGGATGATTATGCCATGGATTGGGCTTTAGAGGACAAGGCGTCAGACGGAATGCGGGCTTTCTTCTTCTGCATGTGTGGCAATGGTAAACGAAAAAGAGAAATAACGAAAAAGGCATGCGAGCTGTACGATAAAATGATTGAGTTAAACAAATACCCTAAAGAACTGGATGACTATTATTGTTACCTAACGAGTTGAATTACAAGTTTTTTTTTATTACACCAGTTGCCTGACTTATGATGCGTCTACGGTAAATCTCTATAGAAAAGTCTACAATTTACTATTTTATAAAAAACCCTTTACAGCTTCCCAAAATGCATCCGGGTCTTCAGACATGGGCAAATGGCCCGTGTTGGGAACAATTTTGAGCTCAGTGCCGTTTGGTCCAAGCAGGCCCATAAACCCTTCCATTGCTTTGACCAGCACTCCATTAGCGTCGCCCTCTCCAACGACAAACAGTCCCGGAACAGAGCATGAAGGCATATCAGGCTTCATATCGTAATCCGAAAGGGCGGTGCAGCTATGCTTGAACCCCTCTACATTATTTCCAGCAACCATTTCGGTCATCCGCTTGACGAGGTCCGGCTTTTCCATGGACACTGGGTGGAACCAGCGGGCGACGGTCCGTTCCGCGAGTTGGTGGATACCACGGCCGGAATCCTGCTCGGCGATGGCAACGCGGTCTTTCCACGCTTGAGAGTTTACGGCAGAAGAGGTGGCGTTGAAGTCGCAAGCGATGAATTTGCCTAGGCGAGAAGGGTATTTGAGGACGAAGTTGAGACATGTGGCGCCACCCATGGATACGCCGTCGAGGGCGTACAGTTTTGGGATGCGGAGGGCGTCAAGGACGGTAAGGAGATCGTCGGTGAGAGTGTGGAGAGTTGCTGAAACGGGGGGTTGTGGGATGGAATGCCGGCCGCGAGTATCGTAGCGGAGGATGCGGAGATCTGGACGATTGAGTTTGAGGATGTCGATGAAGGCGTCCCACATGTGGAGAGAGGTGAGAAGGGAGTTGCAGAAGGCGACTGTGGGGGCAGTTGGCGAGGGATTGCCTTCTAGGCGGTAGGGAATAGTGAGGGAATCCGGGGTGGTGATGTATGATGTGAGGACGGGAGTTGAGCTGGCGGTCGTAGATGTCTTGGAGTCTGCTGAAGTGAAAGATGCTGCTGGGGGCAGTCTCGACAAGTGGTCGAGATCTCGCGGGGCAGGGCCAAAGGTGTAGAAGAGAGAGTAGATGCGCCTCTTCCTAGACGCGACGGAGTTATCAAAGTCGTCGCTCTTCCAGGAATCATCGGTGGCAGCTTTCTGCACTGCAGCCAGTAATCCATTATCCTTGGCAAAGTCGTGGAAGCTCAGGAATTTAGTGGGTTGGTCCGTTTCGAGGGTCGAGATTACGAAGAGACGACTCCTTAACCAGCCGGGAATGTCGGCGATCATTGGGACGTGCTCTTCGATGAACCATTTCTTGAAGAGGTCTTTTGCCTCGGGCGTGTCTTTAAGGGTGATTTCGGAGGTTGCCGCCACAAGGCCCTCTGCTTCTTCGTCTGTCAACTTCTCAACCGGCATGAAGAGAGGCGACTCCTTGACATGGACGAGGTCGTAAAAGTACCGCGAAACGTCTACTTGTGCAATTGTCGCAGCCTCTCTCGGGGATCGATTCGCGCGCAACGTGAGGTACGTCTCGGTCTCGAGATGCGCCATGTCGGTGACATCATAGGTAGCGAGGAACTCGGGCTGCTGGCCGTCGGCAGCTCGATAGCGCAGGCCGTTGGCGAAGATTTGTGGGAGGCGTAATCGCGTAGGGCCGTGTTCGTTGTTGTACCACTCGTGGAACTGGTCGAGCGAGAGGCCAGCTTGAGGCTGCATCGTGACGTAGAGGTTGCCGGGGGTTGCCATTGTGGGGTGATTTGTGCTTTGTTAGAGCAGTGTCCGCGGTTGGCAAATGAGAGAGGGGAAGAAGATGAAGCAAAAGATGCGTATCCGGATATCATCTACTCCTTATATAGGAACAAGGAGAGACGAGAAAATCCCCGAGAGAGCCTTTTTCGAAGCGCAACATCTTGTCCGGATAAACATTTAGGTAGCCTTTGAATGCTCCAGTAAGAAAGTGGCGCTCGAGAAGAAAAAACGAACCCCGCGATGTCTCGGCAATTGGGGTCGGAGCTGGACGCCCCCCACGTGGATTTTGGCGCAAGCCACCGGGGAGATAAAACTTAGTATTGATTATGGAGCACCTGCCAAATGCCCATCGGAAAGTGCCAGCAAGTGCCTGGATTTGATCCCCGATTTGCCCTGGGCTGGGGCTGTTAGGCTAGGGAGCTACAGCGGCACTGCGGTAGACATTAGCTTCCATGCTGCCTACTAATACATTAGTAGGAGGTAGGTAACTTCTCGACTCTTTTCTTTATTCATCATCTGCATCATTCACGCGGCGTCATGGGAAAGCAGCACAATCCCCAACATTGTTGCATTGTTGCACCAATCCCCCAGCTTCGCCTTATCTAGAGAGGAGACAAAAGGGCCGCAGCATGGCGCAGTATCACCAGTCCCGGCGATTAGGCATCAGCCAGTCTGCCTCTCGTCTCGTCTGCCTCGCCTATCATGGCCACACGTCGTGGTAACCCACTATGAATGGCCACCGCATGTAGAGGCCACGAGCGGGCAGCCTCCTAGACCTCTGGCCACTCACCATCAGCTCTCTCAGCCAAACAGCCAAGAATCTTCGACATATACAATCCCCGTTTGCTGTATGCAACCCCACCTCTGGCCATCTGCGCTGCGGTGGTTCGCTGGCCTGGGCCAATGGCACGCCTGGTGGAGCAGACGGGTGGGATGAGCCCGGATCAACCCCTCAATTGACGCTATCACGCGCTTTACGGCTGTAACAAATCGAATCCAGAGTCCATTCACATCCTCCGCGAGCTTCGCTGGCCTCCCACATTAGTGTCGTCTACTGCCTGGTTGAGGTGGTACAGAGAGGCATTAATAAGAAGAGGGGTCGAGCTGTTTTCCCTCACTCTTTTCTCCTTCTTTCAGGGCATTCCTCTCTTCTGTCCTTTGAATGAGTCCAAGAAGTATTCCATCAAGGCGTTTCCAACAAACGCCGCGATGGAGCTGTTCTTAACCAATGTGCCCTCCCACCTCACCGATGACAGGCTTAGAGCCGAGCTTGAACCCTATACGAAGGCCTTGGGTATTATAGATTGGTTCTGCGATAAACCCAAAAGAAAGACTCATGCCTGGATCACTTTGCTGTCCGAAGCTGACGGGAAAGAGTTTCTCAAAAAGCACGAGAGCGTCCTCAATATTCTGACACAGCCAAGAATATTCCAAAATGACAAGGGTCCGTCTCAGTCTGGGACCAAGGCTGTGGCAAGACTATACATACTCAAGACTCCCATTTTTGTCAAGAAGAGCAACAGAAAAGTCGATAAATACTTGCTGCAGCATCTGGAGTACATGAAAGAACAGCGGAAAAAAGTGGCTGAGAATCGCAGCCAAAAGGCCCCAAAAGACTCAAACGACTCAAAAGACTCCACCATCAGCACGCCTATCCGTGGCATCTCTTGCGGCAAAAACATATTTGCAAACGAATCCGATACTCTGATGTTTGTCCAGCAGAGCAGTGTCGCTGTCAAAGGTGTAGCAAAGTTTGGCCGCCGCGCCTTGATACTCATGCTTGGGCAGGAATTTCGCGTCGATATTGCCTATGAAACTATTCAAGATCTCATAGCCGGAGCATCTGATAATTCGTTGACTCTTGTCTTGATTGAGGCTCCAAGATTTTATGAGATGGGGGAATCTACATCTCTGCAGTCTGTATATGCTACACATTCTACGAAATGGGAACGGCAAACGCATATAAGTATCTGGTCTGCTCACGATAAATATGTCGCTCATTGTCTGGTCTACCAAATAACACTTGCTTCACATTATATGGAAACGTTAGAAATTCTGAGGTCTCGGAATGTTATCGCTGTTACGAGACAAAATTTGCCTGTATTGAGGAACCCTAAGCCCTTTGAGGATGATTACACTACTAGCATGAGTAGGTTTGAGGGGTCTATTAGGAGTGCTGGCGCTTCGGGGAGAACAACATTGTTGCCCTTTGTCATCCTTTTCCAGCTCCAGGCATTGGTGTGGAACAATTATTTACATCCCGCGATTGCAACCAAACTGCTTCAGCTCATGACTTCAGTTGCAAGAGACTGCAAGAGATCGGGCATTCCGCTACCATTCACCACTGATGCCATGAAACAGTTGTTTCAGAAAATTCCATATCCATGTCCTGGAGTAGAGCCTCGAGATCTTTTTGAAGGGGAGCTGGCGTCAACTGTCGTGGAAACTGAACGGGCTCTCCGCAACGAGGATCAAGCACGAGTCCTACACTATGGTGCTCAACTACCTAGACATCAAGCTTGGATTTTGAAAGCAATGGTCACCCCAACTCGCATTACGCTGCATGGTCCGGATGCCGAGAGCATGAACAGGGTCTTAAGAATGTTTCCAAATCACTCGGATTACTTTATGCGAGTCATATTTGGCGACGAAGATGGTCAGGATTTAGCCCTGACCCCCAACGTGAAAAACACCATGATTTTTGAGCGGTACAGAAAGATTCTGAAAGACGGAATTCTGGTTGCTGGTCGAAGATTTGAATTCTTGGGCTTTTCTCATTCATCATTACGCTCACACTCCGCATGGTTTGTGGCAGCCTTTGTTGATGATTCATTGAACCTTCAAAATAATGACACCATCATCAAATCACTCGGCGACTTTAGCGATATTCGTATTCCCGCAAAGTGCGCAGCGCGCATTGGTCAAGCTTTTTCCGAAACTCCTTACGCTGTGCCAATCTTAAAATGTGGCATCAACATCGATTACATCGATGACGTGAAGACTGCAGATGGCAAACGAGTTTTTAGCGACGGAGTCGGAACCATCTCGTGGGATGCCATGGAGGAGGTATGGGATCAGCTTCCAAAGGCCTCGTCAGAGGCCACCTGCTTTCAAGTCCGGCTAGGAGGGATCAAGGGCATGCTTTCACTTGACTCTCGTTTAAATGGAAAAGTGATTTGTGTGCGGAAAGAATCCATGATGAAGTTTCCCAGCAAAGATCAGACGGAAATGGGCATCTGCGATACTGCCTCCAAACCGATGCGCACAGTTTTGAACCGTCAGACCATCAAGATTTTAGAGGATATGGGAACAAATTCTGAGTGGTTTATAGATCAGCAGAATAAAGCTCTCAACGTCCTGCGAAATGTCACTACCACAGCAGCAAATACTAGCACCTTTTTGAAGTATCAGCTGGTTGGTACCACTGCAGGCCTCCCCAGGCTCATCAGATACTTAAGTGCAATTGGAATCGATTACCGGCGAGAAAGGTTTATGAAGTCGGTCGTGGATCATACCATCTTGCGAGAGCTGCGGCTGCTGAAGCATAAGGCCCGGATTCCAGTCGACATGGGAGTCACTCTTTTTGGAGTTATGGATGAAACCGGCTTCCTAGAAGAAGGTCAGATATACGTTACCTTTGATGAAAGCCACGACAATATCCAGGGTCGGATCAAACGGTCGCTCAAAGATGGGACAGTTCTCGTAACACGCTCGCCTGCCCTTCATCCTGGAGATATTCAACTTGCAGAGATGAGGACACCACCACAGGGGCATCCGCTTCGCAATTTAAAGAACTGCGTCATCTTCAGCCAGAAAGGGAGTCGTGATTTACCAAGCCAGTTAAGCGGGGGAGATCTTGATGGAGACCTGTACAGCGTCTTTTGGGATCCCTTCGTAATCCCCAAACAATATTTTAGCCCTGCCGACTATCCAAGAGTGAAACCGCCGGAACTGGATCGGGTGGTGACGCGCGATGATATTGCGGATTTTTTTGTGAATTTTATGGAAGCAGACATTCTAGGTTTAATTGCCACCAGACATCAGATGATGGCTGATTACTGCGAGGAGGGGACGCTAAGCGCAGACTGTGTCAAGCTCGCGGAGATGCATTCAACTGCGGTCGATTACTCCAAGACTGGTATTTCAGTGAAGCATCAAGATATGCCAAAGCCGCCACGGATGCGGCCAGATTTGTGAGTTTGCATCTCAAACTTCTCTTAGCATCCCTGTACCTTTCTCTACCTGTTTCTAACTTCCGTCTTTTTTCCTACTTAGTCTCGCTCCTGCCCCCCCAACTCGTCTATATGATCGTGGTGAAATTGACAACATCGGAGATCCAAACGATGACGAAGACGATGAAGACGGAATGGGAATGGTAAAATATAAATACTACAGGTCATTAAAGATATTAGGCGAATTGTACCGCGGCGTGGACGAAAAGAAAATCTGGGCTAAGGATGTCCAACGGCCAGTTGATATGAGCGGTCCGTCGTTGTGGGACCAACTAAACACGCATGTGCGGACTGCCTTGAGGGAAGAAGGATATTCCACCTTGGATATTAATTATATGCGTCAGATTGATCACGCTTGGAAAATTCGCGATCTGTAAGACTCTTGTGGATTCGCTTCGCAATTAAAGTAGCTAACTTGCACGCATTTAGGTACGAATCAGCCGTCTCTAATAACATGTGGCAATTTTCATCCAACCCTCGTGTCCCTATAACAGAGGTGGAAGCTTTTTGTGGTTCAATTTTAAACCCCAAGGGCAGCCAGACTAGGCGACAGCGAGACTCGTCAATTAAGTTGAAAGATGAGATGGATAGTGTCATGAGCCATATCGTGAAACTCATAGGTGATCGCAGCGGGAGTACCACCAATGCAGATGATGCCTTATCCACTATGAGCGATGACGATGAAATAGGTGAAAGGAAATCAATGAACGCGATAGAATTGTCCTGGGCATGCATGACTGTTGGGAACGACAAGTCTGCGGACAAGACCAATCGTCTGGATGAGCCGAAGCTGGAGAGCTTTCGAGTGGTGGCGGCGTGCTGTCTGGTGAAGGAGCTGAATGATCTTTTGACGAGGAAGAACTGGGGGAGGATGTTGAAGAAGAGCGGTGGCTATGTTGGAGTTTCGTCGGGGTACCACAATCGACAGCATGGACCGTTGCCGATAAGATGATGGTGGATGTTTGTTTATGCATCTTGGTAATGGATATTGCGCACGGAGATTACTAACGGATTTATAAGTGCATACCTTGTTTGTACGCACTTATTAATTAAAGATGTGTGATTATGTCATGATATCTACTGAGTAGATTATGAGATGAAGATGATGATGGGTACAGAATGACAACAACAACTCGAAAACTCTACCATTAACCAGTCGACCAGTCTTTTTAATTATTATTATTAATAGTAAAGGAATAAAAAAATTATAATTATAAAAAATAAACGGTTAAAATATACAGTATTTTTTTTTTTTTTTTTTTTTTTTTTAAAAAAAAAAGGAAGCGATGCATATTTCGCCTGGAGATTATCTCGCTCGACCCATTCGAGTGGTGCCCGGGCGGTTACAAGCAGGCGGATGATACAGAACACGAGAATATGAATATTGGGCTCTGTATAGTCAATACGGATATAAGGAAGGATGAATCTAAATTCCCACAAGTATGCATTGTAACAGCAGCTGGGACTCTATTCGGCAAATAAGGAGTTAGACTAGGTGAAGCCAACATGTCGCAGTGCTTCCTTGCCTAGGATTGGCCAATCATCACGAAGTGCTACCTGATCTAATTAGGGAAGACCCAAACTAGAAACGATGGAGGATGTGGGCGTTTTTTGGCTTGCATGGCCATCGTACGAGAGGCGCTCTAGCTCGACTTGGGCGACGATGATGCCTGGATCCGTGGGATATGATAGAGCGGTGATGGTCGCAATGTTTGAAGAAGACGCCTTTGGGTCACAGCGTGATTGGATATTCCATAAATTTCACACCATTCTTGATTAAAATGTCTTTCGAACAGCTGTCTAGTCAATTCGTAACGCTCTGTTTACCTGGTAGTATTTGAACGTCCGCTGGACCCACCAAAATCTATTGAGAGGCAGAAAGTACGTACCCTCGGGCGAGCGGAAAAGAGTGGGGAGTGGGGAATGGAGGGGCAGAATGCGGGAAGTGGATTGGCTAGTGGATCTGGTCGGGAAATCTGGGGTAAACAAAATAGAGATGGGTTACTATATTAGGAAAGACGGCGAAGTTGGACAAGGAGATTCGATGGACGCCATTGGAAGGAATGGGTGGACGGGGGGGCTGTACCTCCGTATGTGCGGTGAGATTGATTGACTTTGTTTAGACTACCTTGCTAGGATAATGATGGTGTGGGGGTTTGGAAGGATTGGAGCTGAAGGGTTGATGGGCTAGGGCTTGATGGCCTGATGATTGGGAGCGTATTAGTACGGGGAAGAGGAACTGGGGACGACGTGATGACACAGGTCTGGGGTAAAGCATAATGTAGGTGAGATCTATCCATGCTGACTCGGGCGGCCGGGAAATGGCAGCTCCCGACATTTGGAGCTCCAAGTAGCTGATAGTCGGAGTTTGGGGCCAAATGGCATAGAGTAAGGTTCTGCGTGGCTTTTATTGGGTCCGGGACAAAGGAGGAGAGCAAGGTTGATGATAAGGGGCTGACAGGCTGGATGGAAATGTATAACAGTATTGGGCAATAACATAAAGCTCTTATTCATCCTTTGATAGACAACAGGAAACAAGACAGCGGGAAACAAGGTTGATCGATCTCACTCTTACACATACCTCTCCGCCCGAGATCATTCACATCACAAACGTTTCACCATGGCAGAAGAAAAAGGCAATCGTGCCAATGTCGACTCCGACTCCGACCGTCTGGATGCCCTCAATCGATTCCGCTCCGCAGCGAGCATCAGCATGACGCCCGAGCTGTTTGAGAAGCTGTATTTGGCGCCGCAGAGCAAAGTAAAGGGACAGCTGAGAGATACGTTTGGAAATCCAACACCAATGTAAAAAAAAAACAACACCCATTTGGCGTCTGCCGCATTTGATAAACATTTTTGCTCAAGTGGACTGACTATGTACTCACCTTGTGGCTCTGCACAGTGCTCTTGTCGGTTTCCTCATGTCTTTGACGCCATTGTCATGCGCTCTCATGGGCTGGCGCGGTGCAGGTGGTGACGGCGCGGCAACAATGTGCGTATACGTGCTTCTTATCCTATACCTTTTTTTTTTTTTTTCAACGAGAGAATAGTTGTACTAACGGTGGAAAATATCTGCCAGCCCCGTGTACTTCTTCCAAGGCGGAATCCTCATGACCCTCGGCGGCCTTCTCGAATGGATTCTCGGCAACAGTTTCCCCGCCGTTGTATTTTGCACATTTGGTACATTTTGGCTTTCTTACGGCGGAGTGTTAAATCCTTCCTTTGCGGCCTTCTCTTCATTCGCGGGCGAGAATGAAGCTGGTGCAGAGGGACTGAAAACAACTGGCTTCAATGCCAGTTTAGGTAAGTCTTATCCCATCGCCTACTATTTTGTGCTTTTCCTATCTTGATATAAAGTGTTCTCTGACCATCTCTGTTATGAATAAATAGGCTTCTGGTTTCTCTTCATGGGTCTACTCTGTATCATATTCCTCGTCTGCTCGCTACGCACCAACGTTGCCTTCTTCGTCATCTTTCTCAGCCTGACGATTGCTTTTGGACTTTTGACAGGAGCGTTCTGGGCAATGGCAGAGGACTTTGTTGGTAATGCTGACTATGCTCACAAACTACTTGTGGTACGTACGCTCTTGATATATGTCATACCTGACTCAATGCTTAATCCAGAGAGCGACGAGAGACTGATTCGATGTGTGCAATAATGTAGGGCGCTGGTGCTTCGACTTTTGTGACGTGTTTGGCTGGGTGGTACATCCTTTTAGCTATTGCGCTGGCCATTGTCGATTTTCCAATTCAGATTCCTGTAGGAGACTTGAGCAATGTGGTTAAGGGGAGATCTATTAGAGAGCGATAGTAATGAGGGTGATAAGCTTCTTCTTCCAAAAGTTTGTTATCTACAATTGTAATCTCATTCTCAAACCATCGATATATGTGGAAATAAATCAGCTATTGCAGGGAAGACATCTGGGATGATCTTTAGGTATAGTTTGACGCCGAAGATGTATAGCACTGTCTTTTTCCACTCAAGAGAAGGTTGTGAGCTGGTCGTCTAGGACACTTGCAAACGAAAGTATAGTATCTTCTAATGTAAACGGGTCTAGTATAGCATTCAAGTCTCGCAACAGCTGGAAACGGCCTGAGCACTCTCTTGCTGTTCTCTTTCTTTCGACGTCTCATCTTCATGACGAGCGTCGTAAGAGAGTTATGAATAGCAAAATGGACGGTAAACCGCCCTGAATCTACACATAGCACTGGTTCACATTTCTCACACGTTTACAGAGTAATATATTAGATGGTAACCTTGATAGGGCTTCTTTGCCGTCTCCTCTTTTTCTTGACTATCAAAGCAGAATTTATTATCGATAGCTACTTGAGAACACCATTTCCCAGAGCCAAATCTTCTACCCGCACTCACGCGTCTTTGACGATACCCATTTACTTAGTGCCGTCTGCTATCTCACCGCTATCCACAGAAGGACGTGCCAAGAGTAGCATTAGTAAAGTATCTTAAAATCCTTTGGTACTTGCCGCTGCTCATTCAGCGGGATATTATATTTCTAATTGAACTCTGCCTGGAAGGATCATATATGTTCTAGTAGAAGCAAAGTGCCTCGGCCTTTAAAATAATTTAAAGTATTCTAACTAACCTACTGAAAAGAAGACCCTTGGCAATTGACTCTCGGCGACGTCTCAAAGCTGCCCATCTGAGGTATTGTTGAGATGAAAAGGGCCAAGTTCTATCTTGCAAAATCGTCTACGACGCACATCCCTGGCGCTATTTCAAATAACACAGAATATGTCTTTCTGCGGAAGATTCATATTATTACTCTGCTCGTAAGATACAATCGTCATAACGAACACCTATCTAACTGTCATCTACATTGGGTAGCTCTTCTTTAGACGCTATTAGCTGTGGTTTATAAACATCACCGACTACGAGACTTGAAATACCTGAAAAATACTGTTTGACTACGGAAAATCCTAAATTCATGGGGCTTCGTCCCTTCGATTGGATGAATTGTGTAGTGAAGTCTCACAACTGAAGGAGTTTACTTTGATAGCCACTGACGATGCATGAAGCTCAGTCACTTCTAGTTAGAGCTCCGAATTACGATCTATTTCGTGCTGCCCTTTGATTGATTTGAATGCTACTTTTAACACTTCTCAGCCAAAGAGACACATACCATGGCTTCGGACGTTATTAGCTATTATTATTTGCTTAATCCAATGACAATCCATATCCACGTCATGGGTCAACTAAATCGATTTCTTTATACCAATCTCCTGCCTATAGCACATGTGGAAACGATTATATTCCTAGTTTACTCATACTAGCAAAATGAATGTTGTTGCGTGTATAACTACGCACATACTCTAGTCTCTGAGTCTGAACAAGGAGAATAGTACTGAAATGCTTCAAGCACTCTGCAATCCATCCTTCTATCAATTCCTCCGTCCTTTGCTTCTTCCCTCCTTCACCGCCTCCACATATTCAGCCCGCATACAGAACTAGGCAGCAAAAGGCAAGCAAACTCTCTTCAGTGCCCGTCCACCACTAATCCTCCATACACCCATACACACACACACACACACACAGTAAAGCAAAGGCATCCAATTTAAAACCAACTTAGTCCGAAGGACGCCTAAATCTTTATCCTATTCCCCTTCCGATAAGCTGCATCAAGCCACCACCTCACCGGTCACACCTCCCAACAAACCCCCCTCAGCGGCAGGGAGAAGGGCATTTCTCTCCGAGCTCCGAAAGGAACTATTAGAAAAAAACAAATCCAACGATAAAAAGCAATGTTTATTGAAAAATCCCCTGCAATAGACACGTTTTAGCCCCCTAAGTTAATTTTTTTTTCTTCGCCTACGCCTATCGGCGTTATTCTCCGGCGCAGAACTCAGGGGCAGGTTACCTCCAGCCGCCCAGACACGGAATGCCACCCACCCATGTCAAGGAATAAAAATTAGATAGCCAAACTTGAGCGCTATTTGTTCCTAAGAAGAAAAGAAACCAAATAAATAAATAAATAAATGAATAAATAAATAAAAAATAAAAAATAAAAAAAAGCGCCACCGGGTTTGCAAAGTGAGTTGCCTAAAGAGGAAGAAAAGAATTAAAATGATTGGCTCTTACAAGGTGTGCGAGAAAACAAGAGTCGGATGGCGAGCTGATTGGCTGAGCCACTGTATCTCGGTTTGCTAGGTTTGTGCATTCATTGTGTAATAGTCTAGTATATTCATTAGTATGGTAATGCTGGCATTACTACGCTCTTGGCTAATTTGGACATGCAACTAACTAACCATTATCGCAAATACGGGCTTTGGAGCTCCAATCACCTCAGACCAGGTCATCGGCAGATGAGCCCAACTCCCCAGCCGCATTTACTCCTAGCGAATCAAACGTCTTCATTTCCAAGCTAAACACGTAGGCAAATACGTAGTAGTATTCCAATGCTTGCTAGTTTAGCAGCACAGCTGAAATACGCTCGAAAAGTACGGGGGCCATCTTCACGGGCTATCCAATCCCAAGCAGCCGGCACTTTTGCACCCTCCTTTCCTCTCAGCCGCTCGGCATTCCATCCCGTGACTATCCAGACAGATCAATCACATGTCACTCCGCAGGCAGGCCGTCAAGACGAAATTAACGGTTGAGACAGGCCCAGGGTCCACAGTCCAATACACCGCATTAGACGGTCCAAGAACTCCGTTTCGCTCTCATACATCAACACCCACCCACCCACACGCTATCTCAATCCCATCATTTCGCCACAAACACCGCCGTTCGCTATCAAATAGAGGCCAAGAAGCACCTATATTCGCACATCATACTTGGCTCTGGTCCCGTAGGAGTAGTACTTACCACCATTACTACCACTTTCGGTAAAGATGTATGTTTCAGCCACAGATGAAGGCAGCAGTGGCCCCAAGACCAGCCAAGAACCAATCTTCTCGTACCGATCTCAAAGCCAAGCACAAGGAACAGCCATCGCACAAAATACAACAGATTGTACTTTTCCCCTTAGTCATCCGGCATCTGCTCTCTCCGGTGCAGAATACGAGCACGTTTGCTTAGCTCCGACAACCCAGACATGCGATTTTGCAGGCTCTACAACGTACGACCATCTAGACTCTGTCTAGAGACAGTGCACGTCGGTTGCTTCTTCTCCGGATGGCCCAGCTGCGACACCGAGCGAAGGAATCGTGCTGTGTCGTAACCAAGGTACATGGTAACACAAGTGTAAAAATAGCCGTGCTAACCGTGCGCGTAAATGGTCGTGTAGGCGCTGTGAGCGCTTCTCATTGGCATGCCAGCAGTGGTAGCATGATGAAGAAAGCTGGACGGCGCATGTCTCGGCAATCGCTGAAAACACTGGATTTAATATTCCCTGTCAGCTGTCTCAAGCCATGTTGACTTACGTTCCGTGAAATATATGCGACTCTGCCAAGGAGGCAAAAAAGATAGGGAATCATGCAACCACAAGCACACAACTCCACCATAACCTATAACGCACACTGTATTACACAATCTCCGTTATTGCTTCTATTTGTATCATGTAACAAGACTGTTTCCATCCGCGTGTGTATTTCGGATACTCTATTAGTCATTATCGTTTTCATCAGCAAAAAATTAAAGCAGAATCGGGCATCTATTCCGAGTCTATAATTCTCAGGCTTCCCCGCCAATACCAATTTGTAGTGTTGGGGTCCGCCTTTCGTGCTCGCCCAAAGGCTTCACGCGCGGGAAGCTGGAGCTGACGCAATGTAGCAGCCACATCCTTAGACTTTATCTCATCTTGAATGCCCTGAGGTGGTTGAATCCGCCGGGGCAAAGAAGCATAGAGCCAAACAGTGTGAAAAATGAGGCATTCGCGGGGAGTCCCGGCTTTCTGCTGAGTGAGATTGACGGGCCCTGCACCCTCTTTTAAGCCACAGTTTACAACTAGATAATTGTATAATTTGACGATGGCGTTCGGTGCCTCAGGATTACCAGCCCAGACCACTATTGCATCACTACTTCCATCCTCTGGCTGATGAAGCACCCATTGGTCTTTCATGGCATCTCCATCTGGGGTTCTTGGCGACGGGTTATATGCGTCCCACGGCTGCACAGTGGTCAACGGGGATTTGAGCTGACTCATATCAGGGCAGGACCAAAGATCTAGATGGGGCCTTGGCGGCGATGGCACCTCCTCTAATGGACTGTCAAAAAAGCTGAATGGGGTCTCGTCAAAGTTCATGAGTCCCTCAGTGTCCTCTACGTTTAAAGATTCCGGTTCCATTTCCAAGGTCAGATTCCGCAGGCCGCGCACCAAGCGCGGCGACTTCCCTGGCCGAGACGCCTCAGCTTCGTTTGTCTCTGTCACGTGGGACTCTTGCAGGCCCAATTGTTGAAGAAATAATGCCAATATCTGAACGAGTGGCCCAAAAGAACGGCGGGGGACACAAGTTAGTGTCAAAGACTCCAACCGGGGATTCATATCCGGAATAAAAGCCAGTGGATAGGCAAGATTGAGACGAGGATGTATTTGCATTTCTGCCAAGTATGTGCATTCAATGGAGGAGTATCTACTACAACAGAGGGTAGGGATATTTGTGACGAGCGAGTGATGTATCCTGAGAGACCGGAGATTGGAAGACCACACAGGGCGAAAGATATGCGACATACCCGAGAAGCCGTCCAATTGGATTGCATCGGACGGACACAACGGGTGTCCTTTGACTGGGCTTGGCGGAAATAGACGCATTGAATCGCAATCGAAGTGCTCCAGCTGGCCATAGGATTCCCGCAGCATCCTTTCCACTGCAAATGCAGAGATTGGATTGCCTGATAGGTGCAGGTGTGTGAGGCCTGAATTTGGTATGTGATGTACCGCGTCGGTGGAGTCATGTCGAGACAAGAGGCGTATGACACCGTCGGCTGTGTCCGAGCGTACAGGAGCAGAGCCGTCGGACCGTGTCATGACGTTGTTGGCAGTAGCGATATTAGTCGCGGTATATGGGGGAGTATCCGCGAGATATCTATCGTCGGGAACAAACAGAATGCTTTGAGCTGACTCGCGAAGCATGAAGAACTGGCCATGGCTTCGTGTGATAACAGGGAGCCTCTCCAAAGTACCCTCCGCCTGAGCACGGGCGTCTGATCGCAGGTCATTGTGTGAGAACATGGCGTGTAGTTTGTGTTGAAAAGCGTCGTCAGTTAGCCTATTATTACTCAAGTCTAGGCTCCATAAGCGGTGGCCGAGAACAGCTGAAAAAGCAGCAAATGCTGTGGAGCTGATGCCTTGACGGCGAAGCTTGAGGATACGTAATTCAGGCAAGTATACCGGGTGTAGTAATTGCGGAGATACACTAGCAATGCCAGATACGTCCAGGAAAACTAGTCCACGGAGGGAGTAATTCCTAATGAGTCCTATAGGGACTCCATTTGGACAATTTTGGACGCTCAACATGGAGATTTTCAGCTGATCATTAATGGTGGCGTCGCTGCGCTGAAAGCGCATTTCCACGTTAGGGTTGTTATCAAGGAGAAGGCTGTGCAAATTTGGTAACAGCTCCAAGGCTCGAATAACAGTCTTTTCCCTGAGGCCGAGATACAAGCTGAACTCTCCCGCCGTTGCTCTGGCATCTAGCACGCGGACCAATGCGCGAGTATGGGCTGTGAGCCTGCTCAACTTGTGATCGATGAAGGCGATCCACCAGGATATGGCATCTGTCAGAATGAACAGTTAGCACCGATACGTTCTTCCTCTACTGCCTAGTCTGCCTCTACGTTGTCTGATTCATCTACTTTCTCTACACTCCCCTCCTTCTCTAGTTTCTCTCCTTCTTCAGCTTTGTCCACCTCTCACCATTCCTTGCTTTCTCTTTCTCTTTCTCTGTCACTTTGATGGTCTCCCTAGTTTCTGACACTGCTCCGATGCTGATGCCAGTGCTTGATAGACTCACCACTGTCTTCTCTCCATCCCAAACACCCAGACGCCATACGGGGGTCTCTCCATATCCTCGGCGCGAAGACGGACCAGAAACGGCGGTTGACGCAGCAGAGAGATGGATAGTCGGTGAATGCGATGTATGGAGCCGCCAGCGGCAGCCAGTCGCCTCGTGAGGTGGCCTGCTGGTACGATGGCAGCACGTCCACTTCCATGTTTCAGGCGAGCAGCGGTCATTTGAGGCGCATCCGGCCGGTAGTTAGCCTGCCAGACTAGGCATGCGATATTGCTGCCGTTGGACGGTGGATGCGAGAAGGAACTCAGCCTGGAGGTTTCCGGAGCCGCGCGGGCGAAAATGGGGTCCCAACGTGGCGCTGGCCCTGTGGTGGCTGGCAGTGGCGGCAGCTGGCACCGATAGCGCTAGCCAGGCTGCGGAAGCTACCGCTTTGCGGGCTGGGCACGGGACCCAAATCTAAGAAAGGGCCTGGATGAGTGGGGAGCAGAGGAAATAGAGAACTGTATAAGCGTCAACATCCGCGCAGCAGCTCCAGGATATCATGCATACTATTATTACACTATCAGCTGAAATAAAAACTCTTCTATACACTGTTGCTTCGACCATGATTGTAGAATCATAAAACTCTTTTATGCCGGTGTACAGTAAAGAGCCAGGTTGGGTAGGTACAAGGGGAGTGACGCCGTCATCGGTTTTAATAGAGTCTGGGCGGTGGGGGTCGGGAAGTCGGGAAGTGGCGCGGCTCGGGTATAAAGTCGTGCTTGCCATGGCCCAGGAATGGCAGACAAACATGCATCTCATTCTCAATGCTGGGTCAAGCGCGGCAAGAGCGGTGGAGCTGCGCATATTAGCGCTGCTACTATGGGGCATGCGCAGCAGCAGCAGTGCAAGTACCTTGGGTATACCTGGGAGTGCGGCCATCTAACAGCGATGATGCGAAATTCCCGGCGTAGCGGCTAGGTACAGGAGGTACGCTGGACGGCGTGTGTAACCGTGTGTAACCTGTGCTTCCTTCTGTCATACATGTACAACAGAACCAGGCAGGCGTAGCTTGTCAATACCTACATGGTACCTAGTAAGCACCTTAGGTAGGCAGGTACATGCACTCTGCATGGGGCAATTAAACTGCCATCTAATATTAGCCCTGTGCATAATGTAGGTACCTACTTGCAAGCTGCCAGCACCTGTAAAGCAGATCGGCTTCGTACATGCGATGGAAGAATGGCACAGCATGGGAACGGCATCCATGCAGCATGCAGCGCGCAATAGACCAAGGCTTATAGTGAGGGCTGCAGTCAGCGCCCCGGTGCCAAGTCGACTGCGCTGGCTCGGTGAGAGAGATACATTGACGTATGCATGTGCTGCTGAATGGTAGACACCTGAGATGGCATGCATTGATACTGTAGCTGGCCCCTAGCACAGCTGGTACCTACTAAATGCAGCTGGTACCTAATGCAGCTGGTACCTAATGCAGCTCTACGGGGTGGCACTCTTTGCCCAGTTCCAGCGTGCAGGTTACACCGCAGCTACAGGTAGGTACCTTGCCTTACACATGGCAGCCATATCGCTGTAGTTGTGCGTTGGTACCCAACAGCAGCTGCTCCATTGCCGGTACTAGTAGGCAGTATCTGCTCCACAAGCACAATCTTCCATCATGTACTCCTCTATGCAGGTGATGCTGCTTCTGCTGCGTAACCTCAGCCCCGTACGCCGACGCCCATGTCACTGTGGACCTGCCCTATGGCTGCTCCATAGCGGCTACATCGTTGTCACGCCACGCGCCACAACGGCAGCTGTGCCTAGCGAGCGCTAAACTTGCGAAGCGAAAGCTTCTGCGTAGCATCAAACATCGCGGTTTCAACCTCACCGCACAACCACCACCGACGGCCGGACGGAATGCCTTTTGCCTGCAATTGCTTTTTCTTGTTGCCGGAGCCTATAGCGTATGAAAATCTCGCACGTGTGCGATGTGTGTAATGCATGTATCCGGACTAATTAGCCAATACAGTGCATCGATGAGCTGGATAGGACGGATTAAGCCCCCTCCATCCTAGTGCCATGTATCAGTCCGATGCCAACGGCCGTCTTGAGCCATATACCGCCAATTGGCAACTGAAACAGCCCATCAGCCTCACTTGCAAGAATTCGGGCAGCCTTCACCGCTCAGACTTTGCAGTTACGGCGTCGTCATAGCCTCAGCTCGCAACCTATCATGACGCCCATCTTGCCTCCATCTGCCCTATGACGAGGCCGATCCTATCCGACGCACACATGAGCGAGGCATATATGCCGGATTTCGAGCAATTACGTACAGTTCAGCTTCTGACCTGGATACTGGCACCTCCGATATGCATCAACCAGGCCAGCGGCAAGCCTGTCTTGTCCATGTTCTACGTGTGTTTGCGTGTTCGTACATACGTCCTCGTATGTGATGCTAGCACGTACAGCTGTTTGTTAGGCTGGACTCAGATGGACCAAGCGTCATACCAACACCCATCAGCCCGACGGCACGGAACGGTTCCGGCATTCCTTTTCATGGAGCTAAATTCGCTAAGACCGCCATGTCATACAACTCGTAAGCCTCCAGCCGCTGCTGAGCCCGACCGGTGAAGGTGAACCCAGCTCATGATGCCCATTAAGATGGCTAACTAAGATGACGGGTCATGACGGATCGCTCATAGTGAGGTGGCTTTTTTAACTACGCTAGGAAGAGAAATTAAACAGTCCAGCGCTCAACCAGGCAGCCATCTCCTTGGCGCTCTTGGCTAACATGTCGTTAACACCACTATGGATGGCAACAGTTCACATAGCAACAGACATGCAAAAACGGTGAGAAAAAAGGAAAGAAAAGTTGACCCGACAGCTTGGCTTGGGAGCGTGCCGTTACCTTTCTTTCCTGCTATCGCAGAGATCAATGATCAGCACGGCCTTAGCGCCCAGGTTGCGATACTCTAACCTCTTTCGACGCTTCCAAGGCAAATCAATTCCCTTGTTGCTCGTTGGTTCTCCAGGTCCTTGTTGGTTGAATGGCTCGTACGGAGTCGACACGGCTAATAATTCTCATACTACCGGTACTCGTATGCACGTACACACTTGCATAAACAGGTCCGTATGAGACGGCCGTGCAGAAACCCCGTGTGTGGGCTTATCTGCAGCCTGTGTCTGAGACTGTGTTCAGACAGCCATGATTGCATCGATAAATCGCATTTCTCGACGGGGGATGAAATCTGCTTCATGTTTTGCCCATAGACAAACTCTTGGCCGCTGCACATTTTCTATTTCATTAATAGACGCTGGCACTGAGACCCAAAAAAAGGGGTAGTTCTGCAGTATTATTGCGTTGACGATCATCCTTAAACTTTTTGACTGACGGTAGTGCCAAAGCAGGTGTAAAATACTAAACTCACCTACTACTACGTGGAGAGTTCTCAACCAATATCCCGATTTGACTTGGCAATTTCTCTCCCTCCTACTTGTATTGCTCGTCTCAATCTCAGCCCTTGAGCTAAACACACTAACGATCGGGGTTTTGAGCGGACATGAGAAATAGAGTTGACGTCTCTTTTCTTTTCAGCCTCTTTACTTTCGGCTGTCATTATCGGACAGGGGGCCACATATACATAAGCGAAGTGTCATCATAAAGCCACATCACCAACGCCCATGCTCATACACATGTGCTCACTCATATTGACACTCGCGCGATTATAACAGAAAACGTGATGAAATTGTACCTTTAGCTTTTCACATGCCCGACCGAGAGAGAACATCGCATTGCCGGAAATCGAATACTACCCATGGCGAAGCTTCCCTTTCCCCAAAAACTCTATGTTATTAGGGACCCTTTTTTCTTCCTCCCTCATCTAGATCATCTCAGAATGTATATCCACTTAGATGCATAAAAAACGTCGTCTAATCCTCCTTGCATTAAATCTTCTCCAAGACATTCACATGTGCGCACAAGCACCTTGATTAGCACAGCTGCCAACACACTTCGCCCTCTCTCATTCGCTCAAATTCACTTGACTCTTCCCGCTCCCCCACCTCTGCTCTCCCCTTGGTCTTTCTTCTGAGGCCCCCCTTCTCATCATGCCCGAATACACATTCGTATCCCTAGCAAAGATAGATAGTAGCAGCAGTATGGCCTACATGTGGTGGCTAGGCAGATCTAAGACAAGAGCAAAGCAAAATGCCCACACACGCCCCGCTCTTCTCTTTTCACCGTACAGGAACAAGAAAGACCCCCAGTACAGTAAGTAGTAAGGATTCAAGGATCTGCGCGTAGCTTCGAAAACCCTGCCAGCCTTTTTATTCTGCTAGGTACTAATGCACATGTACTTTCGCCAAAGCAAGCAGATCTCATGGATACGCACGCACGCATCATGGAGCCCCAGCACCTCAAAACCGGTGAAGGCTTAGTTGCATTACTAGTAGTCTAAGTACTATTTTCGCCCAGCCCAAAAATGCCCAAGGCTTCGTCTGTCTGTCTGTACCGTTGTTCAGGTAAAAAAAAAACAAGTTCTCTTCGATTAAGTTTTCCTTTCCTGCGAGTTCAAGACATTCGGGCGCGGTTGATGCTCTCACTGGTCGCCGAGAATCGCCCGTGATTTTGGTGCTCACCCAATCCCGTTTAGCTCGCTAGTATTTTGTTTCTCTCTCTCTCTCTTTCTCTCTCTCTCTCTCTCTTTTTCGCCCCCCCTTTTTTTCTGCTGTGATTCAGTCGCCTATACTGCTATTCCGATTCCTATTCCTCTTTTGTTCTCCTTCCAGCCCCGAACGCGTCTGGAGGCTGGGAAACCAACTTCCGGCCCCCTCCATTTATCATCCTCCTCTCTCTCTCTATCTCCTCTACCCACCCCTTGCTCACCGATTTAGGCCGTTAGACATACCGGCATGTAGTACCACTGGGATGGAGGTGCTCCAGGCAGCCTTTTTTTTTTTTTTTTTTTTTTTGAAAAGGTTAGTCAGCCAAGTGCTGCTATCCGTAGACTTGCATGCGTCAATTAATATACTTGGCTGCTAAATAGTAGTGGCCATAAGGCCTTTTACTGTAAGAGAGAGAAGCGGTGAGCAAGATTTCGAGGAAAAGACACCAAAGCACAAAAGAGTTGTTCTATAGAGCCAAACTTCTTATTCGTCACAATACTACTATATTATACATTTGTCAAGTGTATATGCCAATACACAAGGATGAATTCTAGATGCTGCTAAGACATCTTAATAGTTCCATAATAGACCCATACCGTCTCGTGTATCCTTTGGTATCAGTAAAAACATCAAACGCGTATCTCCTGACCACAGTAAAATAAAAACTGAAAATGGTCCGCAAGGTCCTTCGAAAAGACATGGGGGAAGGGATAATAACAATGGTAGTAAAAAAAAATAGTTGGGGGCCAGTGGCAACTGCCGCAGGGGCCGTAAAGGTTGGTGTATAAAGGATCGAAATGAAATGAAATGAAGTAGTAAGAAAAAAGGGAAGAACCAAGCATCAACCATATACGTATCCATCCACTCCCACCTGGGATATCAAGATTGTAAAAATCCACAGAAAAAGGCGCCGGTGTCCTTCCCTTCCCCCCCAGTATGTCCTCCTCTCCCACCGTTGGTTAAAACAATAAATAGTATGATAAGAAAATTAACGGGAACATGTTTTCCCAATAGATGCCAGGTCTGAATGATGTTGCTTTTGTTTTTTGTTTTTTTGCTCTTTTTTGTGAATGCTGCTGCCCAAGGGTGTGTGTGGCGGGTGTTGAGATAGACAAAGAAAAGCTGTCCGTTGGAGCCGTAGCTGCCAGACAGGTGTGTCGTAATTAGAGGAGACCAATAAAATTGGCCCCCGGGGGCAGAGACTGTGATATCCACTGCATGAAAAAAAAGAGACATATGAAAAATATATGTTGTGCTGTTACCCGATGACAAGCCCGCCACCGTACAAGCCCGTCGTCGTCCAGCTCGTTCCCGACGCATCGGCGTCTGTCGGGTATGGCTTGCCCCACTGGGCGGGAGGATAGATGAGATTGTATGGAATGGGGCTCGAGGCGTCGTCTGAATCCATGTCTAGAGCGGGCCAGGATAAGCCATTCCCTTAGTAGCTGCCTGCACGCTTCTCAGCTGGCATTCCAGCTGCTGGCAGTCTTGACTTGGGAGGCGCTCGCCTCTTACGGCTTCGCTCCTCTTGTTCAATGACTGGTACCGCAGCAGCGATGAACTCAACTCCGCGGTTGCGGCTGTTAGGGCGGGCATGTAGTTTGCGATGATTATTGAGGTTGTCTTGGCGATTGAACTGGTCTTTTCCACAGAACTCGCAAGAAAACCGATTGGGACCCTCTCCGTGGAACCTAATGGACTGATTAGCACTCTGTTTCAGCATGTTCGTTCATCATGTAGATTATACTCACGTCTGCTTGTGACGCTTCAGATGCTCATTTCTTCTGAAGGCTTTGTGGCAATTGGGGTAGTCACACTTGCACATTGCCTTTCGTACAACGTCGTATGAGCCTGGATCATTCTTCTCAGGCACTACCTTTCTTTGCATCCGAATCTCCCTCTGAAGATCCGCCGTCTTGGTTATTGCGGCATTCCAAGCATTCACCTGGTCTCTTTGACTTGGCAGCCTGTGCGGCGACAAAGGTAGGGAATGTTGGTAGTACGTCCGTCCCAATGGCGATTCTGAGTATCGCTGATGAAGGTTCAAAGGCTCGACATTCTGCGGAGACTGTCCCTTTGATCTGAAGAAAGAGATGGGACTGTCATTGCTGCACCATGCAGTTCCATTATTCTCCGCTATCTCTGAGGGAGAGACACTGTGGGTAGGTGTCATGATGTAGGATGTTGATTGTAAAGGTGCTTCAGTGTAGACAGGTACTGGGCCTGAGGGGGAGATGGAACCCATAGAGTGTGAGTTGATGTTGTTCACGTCGAGCATATAGTCGTGGGACATAACGTCGGTCATTTTTCTGAGAGGTGTGGAAGGAGAAAGAGTTCCGTCGGAGGAAGAGAAAGACATACGCTCGTGCTCCGCTTTCACGGGACCGAACATGTACTTATGCATCATTACCGAAGGCGGTGTGGGTGTACTTGCAAACGACTGATAGGAGCCGTCAAAGTCCATTCTGATCTCGTTAGGTGTAGAACGGCGAGAGATGGGTGTGAAGACCTCGTACGGAGAAGATGAATTAGAAGAGACTGAAGAAAAACTGCCGTTTGGTGGGCATTGTATGGCCAGATTGAAGCCAGAGTCCTCAATCTCAAATCGGTATGGCTCGGCGAGCTGCATCTTGGAATATGTAATTTTTGGGGGCGAAATAAGAATAAACGAGGGAAATGAGTGATGAAACACTGCTTGAGAACGAAGTCCAAACACGCTTCAACTCAGGGATGCTATGATGATGGTGGTGATGGTGATGACGATGATGATGAGGAAGAGGAGGAGGAATAATCGCTGGATATTGAGTATTGAAGGAGTGTAAGTTAGAATCCCTTCAATATGGAGATAGTACTCCAAGCAAAGCAGAACGGTCGGGCAGCGAAGAAAGATTGATCATGCAGAAACTTGGGGGTATGGGGATCTGGGTCGGGAATGTTTGTTATTTACGAGGGCAGACCAGGTGAAGATATACAAGAACTTGGATTGGAATGGTCCCTGGATATGCCATTAGCGGCCTGAGACAAGCCAACCTGCAGATCAATCCCCAGAAAGCGAGAGTTTTTTTGGCAGACAGTGACATAGTGACACCGAGATGGAAGAAAAAGAAATGTGGGCGCGGTATGGGTGTTCACCAAGGCCAAGGAGGACTCGATAGATCTCGATAAAGTCCGATCTAAAGGGGTGTGTGCCCAAGACCAAATCAAATATCAAGCGAGGGCGACTACGGACGGACTTTTATCGCCGGCGTATATTGTAGTCTGTCGTGTTTTGGGCATCTCAACTCTTATCCGTTTAGGCTGGGGGGGGCGTGTCAAGGGATAGATGGAGAAGGGGGGGGGGCTCAATTTGCGCCCTGTCTACTCACTGAGTATCGCTCACCTACTCGTGCTAGGCAGCGTTCGAATGGTAAGCGATATGTACTAGTATTATTACGTCCCCATGTACATAGTATGTGTAGGTGGCCACTCTTACTGCCTGCCATGCAGACACCCGCGGCATAGCGTATCTCCTAAACGATCGTGGCCTTACTTGCGGGGATCTGCCACTTGGCAGGGTGCTTGGTACCGCTGTTAGGAGCAAACAGACCTGGTTAGAAGCTAGAAGCTGGGCCAAGCGGACAAATGTACAGCGACAACAAACAGAACAAGGGTATAATAAATGCATATGTGCATATGAGATCCATTTATGCGCCAAGTTAGTGTAAGAACACGAACCCAGCTATCGAGTACAATAGCGGTTGAGGTCCCAGCAAGTACTACTTGCCTACCAGCTTTTCACGCACTTGCATGTGGCCTGAAGACAGGGATAGAGGACAGCAGGCGTTGAATATGCCGGCCAGCTTAGCTGAATGCCCTGGGCATCGGCCCAAGACTAATAAGCAGGCCAACTCGAGCAAAAGCAAAAAGACACGCCCACACAAGTCCCTATCACTTTTCGAGGCGGTGTCGCCAAGCCAGCTCGCGGCAAGCAATCCGTTGCTAGCTATACATCCATCCCTTCCTGATTAGGCCACTTACTATGAGTAGTACACTTTACCTTTAAGTGGGCCACGATCGGATGTGCCCGGTTGGCCAGGGTCTCGCTGCGTGATCTGCTGCCAGCCATTAGTACGTTGGGCCATATTAGCGGGCGGATCTCATCTGGCCTGTACTTGCATTGCTCCATGTCTGTGCTGTTCCCCATATACTTTATACCCTGTATATCTCTGGAAAACTAATATGCAGCTAGACCCCATACATGAATACAGGCAAAATCGAATAGCAGTACTAGTAGCTCTGTCTGGCATTAGGTGTCATCAATGTGTGAATAACCAGCGCTTTGCTTGCGATACACTGTGTAAAACCCACATGGTAACAGGAGGTTTACCTCCGCGGGGCACAAGGTCGATTTTGTCTCGTTATTGTGTCAACTCCAGATTCCCCGATTATGTCTCGATAGTCATATCATACATTAGATGTGACTCCACTCTTTGATGGTCCTGAACCTCAAGTGGAACGTAGAGGCACGTTTGGAATGTGGGCACAAAAGGCCACAATTTCATCTGCTTAAACTCCGTCAGTAGGTGAAACAGCTACCATAATGATTCAAGGCGAGGGAAAAGGCCAAAAAGGCCCAATTTAGTTCAACAGCTGTTAAAGTTCAAGTCAAAGTCTTGATCCAACCAAGAAGAAGATAGTGTACGTCAAGGGGAAATGAATGGGTATCTTTATCAGCAGCTATGAAGAGGTAGAGAAGCGGGAGGGCAAGCCGGCTTTCAGCGCGGTTCCCGCTTGACAATATCTGCCTTTGCCACTGGCCAGGCGAGTGGCAAAAGTTCGTAGCATTAGCTGCCACAATATAGGCCATCATACAGCCGTGCCAGAAAATGCAACTTGAGGGCTGGAGGCTGCGGGCAACAAATCAACGAGGCAAAGTCAAACAGCCATGCCATGTCGAGACCAGAGCTGTTTCGCATCATCGTGCTGGAAAGCGTGTGGCAGAATCCAATCAGGGAAAAAGTAAAGGATGGCATACAGTATGGAGTCGAGTTTGACGCTCGCTCATACAAGGTCTCACATACCCAGCCCTCTTCGTGAGGGTAAACCAGCGAGGCCAGAACTGGCGGCCCAGAGTCATATGCCAGAACCCACTCCAGGAGCCGTCTTTTGCCAGGCACTCCAAGGCCGTCCCAGCACTAGCTCGCTCTCTTCCACGGCATACAGTAGCATGAGGACGGGTGCCCACTAGCGATAGAGTTCACGGCTCGGTCCCTGAAGCTGGCTGCACCTGGTTTTCGACGGACCGTCTCTAGGGGCCAATATAGTAAGGGACAACGCACTTGGGCCCGCCCAACCACAACTGCCGGCACCGCTTCGCAAGAGTGGTCCCTGGATGGTCCCTGGATGGTCCCCGGATGGTCCCTGGATGGACGCTGGATGTGCTCAAAGAAGGGTGTCTGTTGCATGCCATTTGCGCATAAAGGCTGTTCAGAGCGACTTCTTCTCCACGCAGTGCTCTAAGCGGGGCAAACATTGCAGATTAGTACTAGTATGCCTTCATTGGGGGATGCGTGTATCCATAATCGATAAGTCGGCAGGTACCAGCCATTGTACACGCGCATTCATATTCGCCGACCGCATCCGCCCTACATTTCATGCTTGTACCTATCTTGACTGTCAGAATTATCATTATTGATTACGGAGCAGATGCGTCGACTAAGACCTATCGTCGCAGACTAATGCAGATAAAGTCTCTCGCAAACTCGCCGGCCAAACGAGGATCGGCCGCCTGCCCCAGCCAGCGGCCAAGGGAGGTGAAAACGAACTGGAGCCTCGCCGACGCTGATTCGCTGCCGCTTATCCCTGGCTCCTGTGGTGAGTGGTGTAATATTTTATGTTTGACATTCGCCTGGAAACTGAAGTCAATATGCGCCGTTCAATCGAAAGATGCGACTTTGCTAATGCGCAGGGGAATACGCAGGGAGTTAGATGACCAGCGCATCACGCCGATTTCTCCAGCTCCGGCCCTAAAACAGCCTCTAATCAGGGAGAAGAGATTCAGTTTAATCATTTAGAGTTATCCACAGTGCCTTGTGTACACGATTTGGCGCTGCCGAGTGCCTCGACGAAGCACTGCCAAGCCACGTGTTTTCTCTGGGAGCCATATGGGCATCACAGCAACACCAGTTTCACCTTCAGCTAGATTGTGCTGCGCATTTGACTTATCATTTTTCCCGTATCTCCCTTCTGAACAATCCCTGTACCCATAATTTCTCCAGGTTAATACGACATGTAGGTGACCCCTACCTTACTTACCGTAGCTACCGCTCACTAACCAAATTGGTTACAGGCTTGCAGCTCTTGTGCTATCACGTTTCATTCAGCCGGCGTCAGTTCTGTTTCCCCTCCTAGCAACTAAACATGTATTGCTTGCCTTTCAACGACTCTAGATGCTTGAGTCTTGAGCGGTAGCTCGATATCGGGCAAAATTTGTCACTCAATTCCTCGCAACACTACCGCCACTAGTATATGGCACGCTCTCGTTATACTCGCTCTTATCTCGCGCCATTTAACCGCTTGTCGACTTGATTAGGGTAGGCTTCAGAAGAGCACCAGACTACTCGGCGTTTCTAGCTAGAGAGGGCCTAGCAGATACAGTAGTAAATACGCTTCGTACCGGCAAATGTATTTGAGGCCAAGTGCTATTGAAGGCTCCGTTTTGGTAAGTGTCCTCAGCGACTTGGATATTGTTGAGAGCTTGTTGATGGCAGATAACGACCCTAGCCTTTTTGAAAGCACGCAAGGTTCAAAACTAGCTAAATTGCTGTGCTTTGCAAAAGCACTCTTATATGCCTAAATAGGGACAGTCTCCCGTGCGCTTGTTTAGCCAGTCTAACCACCAAGGTAGTATTCGTACAGCCTCCTCTATCAAGTTCATCGAATAAGAAGCTATTGTTCGCCAGCCTGAATCAGCGGCGCAGATCCGGTCCAGATCCAAAGTGGTACTATGCTCTGCTACTAAGCCGTAGTAGCAGTGCTAATACGGGTATCATCCGCGGATGCTGTGTAACCAAGCTGTGTGCCTGCCTGGCGGTTGATTTCGATCTTTTGCCGAAAGCTGCTGTTCCATGACCGCAACATGACTTCACTGGAGCGCTAGGGTTGGTGCTCTTTCATGATTTCACTTATATTTCATGAATGGTTTCAAGAAAGGCATATTTGCGTCACTCTCGCTCCATGAATCGACCAACGACTACCTAATATCAAGCGTCGGCTACAGGTAACATTCCATGGGGTGTATCACAGCACATCGTTTGGTACTACCTGCTAATAAGTAGTCCGATATCTCTACACCCAACCCCAAACCCAGATTTCTGGGCTGCTGTCGGGTAATGCGCTCTGGTAGCATGGTAGTCTCGATGAACCGACTCGTCGGTTTTTTGCTATTAAAAAAAATCGACAGGCGCTATCACATATTGATGTTGGGGGCGAGTATGTCTCAGTTCATGCAGCATCAGTGTGACAGCTATGGCCGCATTCACATATCAGTCACGCGTCTCCAAGTGGCAGCTAGTGCGTTGTATTTCCGATTCAATTACCACAAAAGAGAGAACAGAAAATGAGCTGTAATTTGCACTTCTATAGACCTAAATCCGGTCCTCTCATATTGGCGACGGAGTGCGGCCAAGTGGGCAGCAAAATAATCGACTCGTCATATTCCAAGCTTCATACGCATGGATCGCCGCTAGGCTGAGAGATAGACGTGGATCAGTGTGTGCAGCCATGTTATTGGTGTCCGCAGCAGCCATATTTCCTCCTTCACGCGAAATTTTGGCCCAGAATCATATCTCCTCATTTCAAGATGAGAGACTCTGACTCGACGATGGTTGCAATGAACTTACCATATCTAGCTGTTGTCTCTCGCGTCACATTCAACATGTGGCTGCATACCCTGCAGCTTGATTTTCAGCCTTAAGATTCGGATAGCTCAGTCTCCGGCCAAACCCTTTCTTTTTCTTCTACTTTCTTTCTTTTTCCCAGCTAGGCCTCGTATTGCGACGGTCACCACCATCCTATCTTTCGTTCTTTGTTTGTTTTCTCCTCGCCCTATTTACCTGTTTAGGTATATCACAACTTTCCCCCTACACCAGACCGGATTTAGAAATGATAGAGACGCTGCATATAGGCTCGGCATGCAGCATGATGATGATCTTGGTCTCCGGTTCAGCTCGTCAGGGTATCAGCCAAGGCAACCAAGATTCTCTCGAGCTCATAGGGAAATATATATGGTGCGTCACATCTAGCCAGTGCGCGTCGCCCGATTCCAGTATAACGAATCACATCACAGCTGGACAGTGTTTGCGTGTTCTTTCCTCTGTTAGTGTGATACACGGCTAGGTATGCATGTCTCTAGCTGTCTGTTGGCTGGTCCTCTATTAGCCGATGGGCGGTGTCTGCTGAAACAGGATGAGCCAATGTTGTCAGAGACTAGAGTTGCTTTGTTGGTACTCGTGTGCGATTGAGGCTGCTGCTCAAGCGTTTCATCCTGGTCTGCCGGTCCGCCCCCGTCGCCTTGACAATTTGGGGACGCGCGCTCACACTGCCCCTGGACTTCCCTCAAGGCAATGCTACGGAAATAATCAAGTCATGTAACGAGTTGGTTGGCCATTAGCATGACTTCGCACCCCATCCGCCCATCCCGATTCTCCCCAGCACATTCCCAGAATCTGGCTGTGCACCAATGCGCCATCCGCCCGGTCCGTCCCTCTTCACACTGCTCTCCTTCACCATCCTTCGTAGGTAACCGGCAATGATCAGCTTGATGGACCCTGATGATCATCGGTTGTACCAAAGACAGTACTGTGGCTACGTCTATATGGACTACTCAATTTCTCGGTTTCAAATTCTTGAACAAAAGGCATGCTAATACTGTCTCGCTAGCTGGCCATGCCTTCGGCATTCCGAATTTTCGGATCCTCAGCTCACACTGATTGCCTCAATTTCCCACTTCCTGTAAACCAAACACGCAGTCTCAGCTGCTTCAGTGCGCCCTTGGAAAGTGGGGGAATGAAGCTCCTCCTGCCGGTAGAATCGTGATCTTGCTACTGGTGGGGTGGTGACTGAGGCGCTTCCTAGAGAAACGAGCGGAGCGGTGGTCGAGGCATATGTGTCAGTGTTCCAGGAGCAGATGTGCATCATGCCGCGCTACTCAGACATATTCGGCGACCTCGGCCAGGGGATTCGCGCGATTGCGCTTAAAAGTGTCTAAGCACGTCCCCATCACAACAAATTTTAGCATCTCCCCATGATCGTAGCCGTCTGTTAGTGCTACCCCATGCTCGGCATTGGGCGACCCATGCTACTAGGGGTCTAGCCGCATGATGTTGGCCCAGCCTGGTTCTTAATACTGCTAGTATCGTTGGCAGAGGCGATACACAGAGACGCGCCAGGCACCAGGTCAAAGCACACTTCAAAGAGCTAGTGCTATGAAAATCTGACCCAGGGACGAAGGCAATAGGGACCAACGGAGCCGAGAACATGGTACTGGAATTTCCAAGTCGCCAGAGTACCATTTACTTGGTAATCTACATGGAAAGCTCGCCAGGTACGTTTTCCTTGATGTTAGCAGCGGAGACATGGCGTGGCCGTAGCATGTTTGTTTATGCCGTGGCGGATGTCGATTAGGGTGGTGGTCGTGGGAATGCTGTGACCAGATGCTATAATTACTACTAAGGTACCCAACTACACGCCCCTTATATTAACCCAAATTACTATACGTACTTAGCCGCATGATATATGACAGAGTTTAGGAACTGAATGCTCAGTCGTAGTAGCCAGTTCACTTCAGCTTAGCCGGTGGCATGAGTGAGGTCGGCGATATGTCTGTACCCAGATGAGCTGAGTGGTTGATCCAGGGGAAGCTCTTAGAACGAGGCAGACGCATTGTCAGGCACCTACGAGGCAGAAATCAGCCCCTGGGAAGAACTTGCGGGGGAGTCTCATACCAGGAACCGGGTTCGCGCTGCTGCTGGCGATAGCGTCTGCTGGCCTGGACCTCCTTTCTTCGATTGACATGCGCAGAAGAGTTCTTGGAAGTGGAGGAGAAATCAGGCCATCATTATGTGCAGAGAGGTCTAGACAAGTAATGTTTCAGTTCAGGTCGGATTTATCGGCGAGGTTGTGATGGTAGTATCGGTGCTAATCATGTTGGTCTCTCCCTTGAGCGGACGTCATTGCGGCTCTGGCGCCAGGTCTGCCTACTTGTGTAATGCCCGTAACCCGGATGGAGAATTATTGGTAAAAGCACGAAGTCACAAGGCGATGCAGCGCATCCTAATCCGCCGAGATTCGAAGGATTCTAACGACGAATGGGGGCTACCCAGAGTGGATTGCTTGTCCTAGCGGGCCTGGCGCCGATGTTCCCTTACAGCTCGATTGCCAGCGAAAAAAAAAAATGCGTGTAAGTGGAGAGAGTGAAAGCGCAAAGAAGAAAAAGAAAAGAAAATAGCGGAGTGGTTGACGTAAATGTGGTCTGACGGGCTACGCTGGATTTGGACGACAACTGTTAGCGAGTGTGACAAGCGGGAATAAACGAACCTGGAGAAGCGACCACGGCGGAAGCCTCCGCGATGAAAACTTTACGCATACTCGCATTAGTAGTTTCTTTGTTTCAGCTGATTATACTGCGTATCTGATTGGATTTGACAGCCGCAACCGCGTATCTGGTATGTCCGAGAGTGGCATGATTCTTGATAAGGTGATCAGTGTAGCATCGGGCGTTATGCATGTCTCAGTCTGTGATACCGATGGGTGACCGCCTGGAATAGTCGCCAGGCAGCAAGTTGTAGGTAAGTTTACAAACTGGAATTTGCTATTCTAGGGTAGGTTTGGGATTATGGTGTAGCTGTTTTATGGCTCTGCGATAATACTGGCGCGAGCTTTGATCGACGCTGCCTGTGTTATTCTATCTTGTGGTGTGCAACTCTGCCGCGACAGAACGGATCAAGACGAGTGAAGATATGTGTACCGCTGTTCTTTATATATTATGATAGCTGTCAATCAGTTTCATGGACTCACTAGGATAGGGTATTAGACATCACCTTCGTCAACGCGTAGGCCAGCACTCATCAAAATAGACAAATTTTCACTTTATTTTTTTTTTCTATAGCCAACTTTTGACACCTTATTCCAAATCCAGATCTTCCCCTGTTGCGGCTACCTCTTCGTCCATCTCATTGAGGACCTCTTCCATTTCCGCCTCTGTGGCCTCGAGACCCTCAGAGCTCATGAGCTTGTTATCCTTGTCCTCGGCTGTGTAGTGACGATATATTAGCATACATTATAAAAATTTCGCTGAACAAAAAGTGAAGATACTTACTCCGTGGCTCGACAATAAGGTTCTCCTGCACCTCACAGTCTGTGAGAACGGAACCAGCACCAATGATACACCTCTTACCAAGGATACATCTTGTGAGTTTGCATCCCTTTCCAACAACAACGCCTTCCATGAGAAGACACTGAGACAGCTTGGCTCCTTCGTTGATTTGGCAACCAGCCCCAATAACGGTCTCTTTGATGGACGTCTTCTCTTCAACGGTAACGTTTTCGCCGATAAGACTGTCTTGCTTCGTGATGGTAGTACGAGGCTTCACACCCTCGGGGTAAGCGACTTTCCTAGGGTGCGCAAAGGGCGACACGGATTCGGCGTCTGCTTCCTCTAGAGAAGGTAGCTTCGCTAGCTGTAAAGAAACAGCCAAAAGGAGCTGTGCCGTATCAACGCGGCGGACTATTGAACCTGTTGCTCCCTCCTTGTGGGAGTGAATGTAGGCAAGGATAGATGGGGGCTCAAATGCTGATGTCGTTGCTGTAAGTCCGTTCTTGTCATCCGTAGTGGTATTTGTTGAAGTGGCCGCCTTTGAGTTGTCCTGGTTGTCAGGGGTGGACTCAGTGGGAGATGAGCGGCCACCAACAGATTCATTTTCCTCGCCGTCATCATCGCCGCTGCGCAGAACCTCGCCGAACTGGAGCTTTTCCGCCAGGCCAGACTGCCATCCGGCCTTGGCCCACCAGCCTATCACGTCCTCACCAATGCTCTCCAAGCGTTCATTCTTTTTGATAAAATCCAGGATCCATCGAGGGAAAATGTAGATATGCGCGTCTCTGTGATTCGTGTACATGCGAACTCGAGGGTTAGCCTTCATCAGACCGTGCCGGATTGGAATGGCTTTTCTTTCCTCGGTGAGATCGTTGAAGGAATCCGTGGGCATAGAGTAAACTAGTTTTGATACGTTTGGAAAGATGGATCCTTTCGGAGAGACAGTTGGGGAAGAGGGTAGAGGAGCCGTGGAGATGAAGTCTGTCTCTTCGCCTTTGACTGGGGCGCTGGCTTTTGTGTCATACCATACGCCAAGACCTCCGCTGTATCTGCTCTGGTGGCCGTTTGAGAGCTGCCGTGTCCCTAGGAGGCCCGTGAGGCTGGCGGATTTAACCATCCATGCTTGGAGCAGCTGCTCGCCAGCAAGCTCGCAAACGAGATCGCAAGGTAGAACAACAAAATCGCCAACCACTAGCTTCCTGATCTCGGGCAGCCGCAAGATTTCAGCTGTACCAGTATTCTGGTCAAGGTCAGCAGGAGCCAAGACGTCTGGCCGTGGCAGAGGCAGCGCCGTCAGATAGGGATTGGTGTTTAGAGCGGCTGTCAATGCTTTTGAAGCCGATGGAGGGCAGATGAGAGTTATGTCTGAGAGTTGTCAGCCATTATCCTGCACAACAAGCTATGTTTTCAATATATATGAATATCTATTTCACTCTCGCCGCAGAGATGAAGACATTGGTGAATAATATGAGCGAGTAAGAATATTCTGACTCATTAAAAAAAAGGCAAATTCTCCAATACAGGGCCAAATTCTCCAATACAGGGCCACCAAGTGCCGATTCAATGAGACAGGCATGACAAACGAAGCCGCCAAGGAAATGAAAATCACCTACTTGTGATGCCAGTGCGGAGACAGAAGTCAATAGGATACCACACCATAGGGCGGTTGGCGATGGGGAGCAGAGCTTTGGGGTTCTCATCTGGATTGGAGGTGAACGTAGGGAACGAAGACCCGGGCCCACAGAGAATGAGGGCTTGAAGCCCGGTTGAGGCCATCGACAAGGCGTGAGGCATCCTGCTTCTCAGAGCCCCTCCGGCGGACAGGAAAGCAGAATGCGGATATCGAGGTGGGTGATTCGTTGTCCAATTTAGGAAGACTGCGGCCGTGTCTCTAATGGGGCTCAAATGAAATCAAAATCGGAATATGGCCTGTTATATGCAGCCGGTTAAGATTTGACCAGGGTTTGTGAATACCTTTAAGCTCTCCCCCACCTTGAAGTTTGAAGAGTCATAGCAAGGCAAGGCTGAGATGTAGAATTTAGCTGTGGCGCAGCCCCAATATGTGGCTAGTGCACGTCGCCCTAGTGCTCCAATCTGAGTGCAGCATTCACGTGCGTGCAGCCTCGGTGGCGCGGGATTTAAATTGCTCCACGCCGCGATTGCAACCTCGGGACCCGCGTTGGCGCGTTGCTGGGAAGATCGGAGAGCGCTCCACATTGTTGACATCCCCAAGCCAGCTGAACCCCCAGCCACCGGACTTGTTGCGACACACCTCGCAGCCGGCTTCAGGTCCTCCCCCACTCAGCCGCTGTTGAAGAACCACTTCGTTTGTACTTGTATGCAAAACACGGCGTCTTGCAGCTCTCTACCGTGACCAGGATTGGGCATCATCACAATCCGCCGTCTTCAGCTGGGCAGATTGCTATAGCACTGGCAAGCGATGCTACGCTCCTCCGTCTAAATGTCGCCTCCCTACGACAATCGGGGCTCCTCCCGCTCGCGGCGAGGCGTCTGGAGCCATTGGGTGCCTCTTGCTGTCACCCTCACCGTCGCCACGGCTGGTCTCGCCGCCTGGGTCTGGAGCCAGCGCAAGGAGAGTCCCGAAGACCACACCACGGAGCCGGATCCCGGCTTGGACTATGAGAATGCAGACTATGGAGAGAATCCAGCATATGGTGCTTCGACGGAGAGGCGCAGAATGGCGCCGCCGTCGGATCAGGACCGTCAACGCGACCAGAGCTATGCGACTGGATCCGAGGCGGCAGAAGGCAATGCAGCAGGATGGGGGTCGCGAGTGAGCAGCGCGTTCACATCAAACCCTGGAAAGACTGTTGCTGCTGGTGTCGCTGCGGCTGGCGCTGCCGTTGGCAAGGCGCTGGCTTCGATCCGTGAGGAAGACAAAGCTGAACATGATTCGAACGCCTGGCCCGAAGAGAGAGAAGTGCGAAGAGAAAAGGGTCCGGCACCTCCTCAGTCTATTCATAAGAAACGCAAGACGGTTGCCATTGTCATTTCTGCCGATTCCCAATTTACAGACGACGACGACGACATTGCTCATGAACATGCTGTAAGTGCTTGATGCTTATCACCTGTGTAACAGCTTGTGTTATTTTGGCTGCTAACTCGGCATCGTAGTCTATTCTAAACCACATTCCTCGCCACAATGACCTGTCTGCCATCAAGCTCTTCGTGCTCATCTACGCTCCTAGCTTGAAGGATAGCACGGTTGATGCCACTACGAGTAATCGCCCGCCTCCTTCGGTTAGCTCGTCATTCTCTAACGTTGGATATGATCAAGCTCAAACACCCGAGGCAAAGAGCCCTGTGTAAGTCTCAAGTCTTCTGCTCCTCTACGCGTGTCTTCGTCTATTGGATAGTATTAATAACCTTTTGCTACTAGCCTTGGCGCTACCCCGGAGAACACTCTGTTCAACGCCGTTTACTCAGAAGCACTGGCCCTTGTTGATAAGGAAACCATGATTCTTCCGTTTACCACGCCCAATGGCCACACTCATGTCCTTCGCCACCTGCAGCCTGACATCATCTACCTCCAGGAGTCTCTCTCTGGTGACAACGGCAGCTATATCACCAACATTCAAACGTGGCTTCGTCACGACATCATCTTGGTTGTAGGCGCCGAAGACGGATCCGGTGGTCTTGCCGATAGCGAATCTGAGACTGAGAGAGCTGATAAGCCCGAGAAGTGGTGGCAGCGCCCCGAACGCGTTGGTCGTGGACGAGGCATCGTTGTTGTCGATAGCGTGCGCGTGAATGATGATTGGACACGCAGAGTTCAAGGTCGTGAGTAAAGCAGGCGTGCGAGTTATGTTTGATGGTATGTATCAGGATATTTAATGAAATGGAATGTACCAGGGATGCTGGTTGTGTAGATTTGTATATACCATTACCGATTATTTGATTGCTTTATTTATTAGTGCTTTATATATTAAAACTTACTTTACAACGACGCTGTTGCTCTGGCGGTTGTGTTTAGGAGAAGAGAGATGGGGAAAGCGCAATATATCTGTAAATACCTACCTATGTGCATAGGTAGGTATACGTAGTAGATATTTGGCGCCAGCATGGTTAAATCTCCTACCTTTTCTTTCCATTGCTGTAAGAACTAGTTATCAGAATTGAGTAAGACCATTATAATGCGCATGACAGCATTTGATGTGTCATCAAGTCGTCGACACTGGCTAGGGCTCTGCTGCCGAAACATGTTCAAATGTAAACAAAGAGAGAGAAAGCTGAGATGTACTTCAACTGTACGCCAAATTGGCGTGTAACAAATGACAACAATAGTCAGCTTATGCTCATTCAGCGCTTCAATTATGACTAGGATGCAGCATACGACTCATGAGAAATATTTCTGGATTCATAGATTGCACGGAATTGCTCTATATAAAGTGGCAGCAATTGATATTTTGGCTGTATTAGATAAACTTTGGCAGCTGACAGCAAGTGGGAGTCACGTGATGACAGAGCCTCCCAGCTTGGTCAGTCAGGTTCAACGTCCGTTGCACATCTCGCAACGTCCTTTGAGCGCAACGGCAAAGTCGCTGGCAAAATTTAACTCTCCCTAGCCTCTCGTTTCTGCTGACACACGACATACTGCTTGCTCATGCATCGCTGCTGACTTTTATACTCTTGCGCCGCCCTCCCCTGGCCCTCTGCACCAGCCGATCCACGTTGAGCGATCGTCTCCACAACCCACCCATCTCGCGCCGCGACTCCAACATTCACGTTATCGACTGCGGCTGGAACTCCGACTGCAATTGCGGCGCAGGCGTAGACGCTCGCCATAGACGCCGGGTTATACGCATAGCAGGCGCGGCGGGAAAGAAGCGGCAACAATCTCCCTGAAGCCCACGCGCGCCGTCGTGGTGCATTCGGGGTCACGATGGCGCCGTCCAACGTCACCACCACCACCACTGCGGTGCAGCAGAACGCTACAGGCAAAATCAAGCGCCCTGTACCTCCTGGCATCCAGACAAACGGAGCTGCATCGTCCACATCATCGCCTTCCCCATCCATGTCCAATATCAAGCCACCTGGCGCGAAGCCGGCGCCGAGCTCGGCCAGCGATCGGGCCATCACTGCCTCGACTGTGCGGCCCAATAACCGAGCCCGTCGCGATACTCTAAATCTGTCGTCAGGGCGAAGTTCGAGAAACAGCGCAGGCTTACGATCGGTGTTTTTCGCCATGGACGAGGCGGCTCATAACGAGCCCCGACCTGCAGGTACAGGATCCTCATCTTCTGTGGCGCAGCGATATCAGTGCAACTGGGACCTCTAACATATGCATAGTTGTGACCGATAAATATATTTTAAAGAAGTTTGCCGGGCGACCCCCATCTTTAGTTGTTCATTTGCACCCGAACCATTTCCGCTTCGATGGCCAAGATGGCATGTTCCAGTATAAGTCGCCCATGAGAATATTTCTTGAGCATACGAAGAATCGCACAATACCCCACGATCTCCTTCCGTACTTTATTCAAGGCAATGTGCCCTTCTATGAAGGATGCCTCATTGTACAGATCTATGATCACAAATCAGTAGCCCAGACGAAGGACGTTAAGCGACCCTCGTCGGCTTCCAATGCCGTCGTGCAATCATCTATACACAACTACAACCAATGGCTGACGCCTTCACCCTATGTGCCATATCCTAAAGAGGAACTGAATCCAAATGAAACGAATGGAAAGCTAAAAGAAGACGACTCCAAGGACGCAGCGGACAGTGATGAGAAGGATGCTGAAAATGAATCCTCCAGTGTGCCTGCGGATGCCTCAACTAATAAAGCTGCCCCAAAGCCGAAAATATTCACCGTTGTTCTTCATCCAACGCCCGAGAGTCTACGAATGGATCTTTATATCAAGGCGACGACGCCGCGAGGAGCAGGAGAGGGACGAGACAGCTCTGCGATGGCTCCTCCATCAACGCCAGCGACAGCGGTACCACCCACCCCAACCACATCTACCATGCAGCCACCTGCGAAGAAGAATAAGCGAGAAAAGAGCGAAATAGATGGCAGTAACATATATGCTGTTGAAGGACAGATATTACTCGCGACCGCCGCCCCTCTTTACCTTGAGCCAACCAAGAGCATTGAGGAAACCATTGAGTTATTAGAGAAAATGTCCCATCCCAGCCACAGCAAACCCCCTCCTCAACCAAAAGCTCGCAAGCGGACAGTGGCGGAGATGGCTGCAGACGAGGCAGCGGCAGCAGAATTGGAGCGCTACATGCTGGTTTTGGACGATCGGTTGGCATCAAATGCCACGGGCGCTCAAGGTGGCGGTGGGACAGATGGAGATGCTGCAACTGGTGCTGCTGCATTCGAACCTAGATTTGAGCGGTTCAACATCATAGAAGACATCAAGCGGGAGCATGCCGAGAAGAGGGAGCAGGAGAAACTTAAGCAGCAAGAGAATGACCGGAAGCTACAGTTGCAGAGACAGCAACAAGCTGCTGCAGAAGCTGCTCAGCGACAAGCAGACATGGAGAGGGTCAGGCGTGAACAGACTGCGGCGAGAGAAAACCAACTGCGTCAACAAGCTGAAGCGCAGCGGCAAGCGTTGGCCGCTAGAGCCGCGGCGTCAACTCCTGTTGCTCAGGCTAATAACAACCAACAGCAAATGAACCAGGCGCAGCACGCTCATCCTATTCAGAATGCGGTGGTGCCTAACGCCATGCCAAATGCTGTGTCGACCGGTCCGCAGAATACGATGCCAAATGGCATATCTGGACCAGCCCAGGCACGGTTCCAAGCAACAATATCCCAAGCCCCAGTATCTTCTCCAATTGTCCGGCAGAATACACCCCAAAATATGTCGTCGCCAATGGTCACAAGTGTTCCTATGCAGCAAACCAATTCCAGCATGGCGGCAAGCCCTCCTCGACCAGCCTCGGTTGTGCAAAACCCACAGATGTCAGTCCCTATGGCACATACAATGTCCTCTAGAAACAGCCAGCAGAGTCATCCGTCCGGCACACCGCGCATTGCGCAGACGACGCCGAATATGTCTCATGCTACTCCACTTAATCGACCTGCAATGGTTGCAACTCCTCGCATGACCCAAACGAGTCCTCCTCCTAACATGATGGCTCAAAACTCCCAAATGGGCCAGCCCATGATGATTAACAATCCAGGCATGGCTCAAGCCAACCCTCAAATGATTGCCCAACTCACTGCTCAACAGCGAGCTATGCTGCAACAGCAGCAGCAGCAACATCAGCAGCAGCAGATGGCGGCCGCTCTCCAGAATAGCAATTTTAATAACATGAACATTGCTGGACAAGGCCAACCCATGTCTCAACAGCAAGCGCAGATGATGCAAATGATGCAACGTCAAATGATGGCGGCGCAGCAACAGCAGCAGCAGCAGCAGCAGCAGCAGCAGTCCCAGCATGGGCCTCAACAGCCTCAGCAACAGCAGCAACATCCGCACCCCCAGCAGAATAACATGGGTAACCCACAGCAGCAGCAGCAGCAGTGGGCGGCGCAATATGCTCAGCAGTTACAAAATATGCAAAATGTTCAGATGCGCCAAATGGCTCCAGGGATGCAAGCTCAGATACAACGGATGGCTCAGATGGGCCGGTTAAGTGGGCAGATGGGCAACATGATGCAAGCTAATGGCCAGATGATGAATGGTAACAACGTGAATGCCGCCAACATGCAAGCGTTGATGGCCATGCAGATGCAGCAGCAGCAACAACAGCAACAGCAACAGCAACAGCAACAGCAAGCACAAGCTCAGGCCCAGGCTCAAGCCCAAGCACAGGCACAAGCCCAAGCACAGGCACAGGCACAAGCTCAGGCTCAGGCACAGGCTCAAGCACAGGCACAGGCTCAGGCACAGGCTCAAGCTCAAGCTCAAGCTCAGGCACAGGCTCAGGCTCAGGCACAGGCACAGGCTCAGGCACAGCAGCAGCAGCAGCAGCACCAAGGACAAACTCCTCAGCAAGTACAGCAGGCTGCCGTCCAAGTTCAGATGCAAAACCAGGCGCGCGTCATTTACAACCGCCTCATGGCTGGGGCAGCTTCCAAGTTTGGCGGAGCAGAAAATGTTCCACAAGAGACGGTTGATAAGATTAAGCAGTCCTCTTTCGCCCAAGCTTCACAAATGGTCAGAGAACTATATCAACGGAGAGCGCAGCAACAGCAGATGATGCTTCAGCAACAACAACAGCAGCAGCAGCAGGCAGCGATGCAAGGCATGGGTGGGATGATGGGACACCAAGGAATGTAGTTGCGAAAAGGCAAAGAGGGGAGAGGGGGGAAAGCCCCCATACGACGACTGAAGGAGCCTTAAGAAGTTACGAAAGTACAAAACGAAATGCATGCCTTTTTGGGATATGTGAAAAGTTGAGTTTAGCCAGCTTTGGATTCTAGGTAAGGTTCAAGAGAGCAGGGGAGGTTGTTGGCTTGTCTATTTTTTCTTAAATCTGGAGTTACGGAGGGAGGGAGGCTTATAATTTCGGCATCACGAAGGACTACTGCGTTTGAGCAAGTCTGTTCTAATACCCCTATCAACGGAATGATGTTTACTTGGGAAGAGGCAGGTTAACCCCCGACGAACTTGCTTTAGTGTATTATCGCTGTTTCTTGTTTTTCTTATTTTTCTTCTTTTCTGTTTTACTCTTGTTCTTCTTTCCCCCTCCTTCTTTTTCTTACTCCCTTTTACATCATTTTCGTTTTCATTTCTCTTCTCACGAAGAACGGGTTATATATATATCGACTGTTATACTGGGCATGATATTAATGAGTTCGTTAAAATAGCAACTGGCGTTGGTGGAGGGTAATTAGTTGTAATAGGAGGTCGAAAGGGCTGAGTACGTATATTTGTACAGATTAAGGCACCTTTTACACTATGGCTGTACGAAAGATGCAATTTATTTTTTCATCGATTTCCGTTCATTACTGTGATACAAGTCTATCTAATGAGCCCTGTGTATGGGAGCTACTAAGCTACGCCGCTTGTAAGTAACCTATGATATACCGCATTTTACGTATAATCTGGGCACTTTTTTTTCTTTTATCTCTATTCATTTCAACTTTAGCAACATCTCATTGGCTTTACACATTTTCGCAAGTTCATTTTTATGAACCCCTTTTCACCGAAAAAGCCGCACACCCGCAATGTTGCGCTTATTGCTGAACCCTGTGGGAATGCGCTTCCGCTGAAGATTGCTGGCGGCGACGGTCACGTGCTTGCGGCCTCGTCGGGATGTATGACGGAAGCAGAGGTTGGTCACGTCAACTCCAGCTTTAGCCCCGTTTCGCTTTCGCGAAAGCTTGACGTGATCAACCAGCGGCGTGCAAGCAGATCTCGTGCATCCTTCTTCCAACAGAATCTTGCAGTCATTCTTTTCTAGAGCCTAGAATCGCCCCTTTGTTTTCCGTTTACAGGAGCGTCGAGTTCAGCATCGTGCTGCCGCCAGTCCTTATCGCCGCACTCTCTCTTTGTCTCTCCCGCCATCTCTCGAAATCGGCGGCGCCCCTGTCTTTTCTCAACCCCGGCCCTTTTGCTGCTCTACAGTCACGATGCATCCGCCTCGGTCATCAGCGCTGCTGTTATCCTTTTTGTTGGCGCCCTTGAATGCGGCGGCCATGCTGAGCTGCAACAAGATTCGAGTGGATGAGCACAACTTTGATCTCTCGCCGCTTGGAGGCCCGCATTCGGTAGTGACGTCGCGATTTGAGGCTAGCACGAACGCCCACTACAACACCACTTGGACCGTGGATATCTGCCAGCCGCTGAAGAAGAGCGGGAAGGCGAAGACGAAAGACGAGTGTCCGAATGGAACCAGAGGTAAGGCACAGATAGATATTGTCTGGTTATTCTGACTTCCCCTTGCTCAAACTGCTCGGCTAACGTTACTTGACCCCTTTTAGTCTGTGCCATTTCCCATTTTCTCAAGGGCGATCAAGACGCAGTTACACAGGTGGTTGCTATCGCAGGAGGGCTGGAAAATGCCGGCGGATCGCAATTCGACTACGAGGCAACGCGGCTCAAGAGCAGCGACTCAAACTCCGATGCCCAGAAGGAAGGCCTTCGACTAGTTCTCAAGGGCGGCAAACACCCTCTCACCGGCCCAGTCTCGGAGCGACGAAATCAGAAGGCCGTCATCGAGTTTATCTGCGATCCTGACAAGACGGGCACCGAGGGCGAATGGACTTCTGAAGATGAATACGAAAAGGCCCCCAAGACAAAGCGACGAGCAGCGGATGACAAGGATGACAAAAAGGAGAAGGACGATAAAGACGGAGACAATAAAGACGACGATGGAAAGACTGACTCGGCCATCGAGCATCAGCTGAAGAACGAAAATGCTGCCCTCATTTGGGAGGACTATGCCAAAGAGAAGGATGTCGACATTCTCCGACTTACCTGGTACACCAAGTATGCGTGTGAGAAGCGTGACGGAGGAAAGGACGGAGGAAAGGATGATGACCGCGAGCCCAGCGACTCCAGCGCCAGCTGGGGCTTCTTCACCTGGTTCGTTATTATGTAAGTGCAGCGTCCCCTCTATGTTGAGAAAGACGGTTGAAACCGTGACTAATGGCCTCTGTAGCGTCTTCCTTGGCATCGCGGCATACCTCATTTTCGGTTCTTGGCTCAACTACAACCGCTACGGCGCACGGGGTTGGGATTTGCTCCCCCATGGAGATACCCTCCGCGACATTCCTTACCTCCTCAAGGACTGGACACGCCGAGTGTTGAACACTGTCCAGGGCGCTGGCAGCCGGGGAGGATATAGCGCCGTCTAGTGAACGAGGATTTACATAAATTTTTCTCCATGGCACGGTGCTTGACGAATGGATGGGAAATAGGCGCGATATGAATTTCGATGGCTGCAAACAAAGAAAGGCTATACAATGCACAATGCTTTGGGGCTCTTGGTATTTTTTCCTCTTTTTTCCCCTTTTTATTTTTACCCTCCCTGATGCTCTTGTCATTATTATCATTATTTGGCAAGGCGGCGTTCTGGTTGCATACTAAGACCCGTTTGCGTTTGTTTTGGGCGGAATTTGTAGAGGCTGTATTATTTTTTTTATTTTGGGTTCTCCTATTGATAATGCCATGACATTATGTTTATCATCTTTTGCTCTCCAACCAGCTGTAGAGATATTCGGCGATCATGGACGTACTGATGTAATTGGCGGTGATATCTGCAGGCCTCCGGTACCAGGGTCAGAGGTGACTCTGCGTAGAGGCTAGACTCACAATGGCCCCCATATTCTGGCTTGGTGCCCCATTTAAACGAATGCAAAGCAATGACTCCATCGTTATCAGTGCTCCTAGAAAAAAGAGGCCTGCAACAAATGACTCAAATGGCGCCAGGGAGAAAAAAAAATAAGTGTCGTCACAAATACTTTTTTGAGAGGCTGCAGCGGGAGCAGCGATAGCGGAGCTTTTATCGATAGCAATTGAAGGGCGCGCGACTGAAATTATATCGCTCCCAACCGCAAAGTTTAAAGCGCTGGCATTACGCCTGTCCATCCGTTCCACTTCAATACTTTTTCTTATTCAGATCCAATGGCTTTCAGGGTATTCGCTGGGCGTCAGGCGGCCTCTTTGGCTGCAAGCGCCAGGGTTTCTGGTGGACGATTCTTTTCGTCAACGAGGGCGGTTGCGAGCTTGTCTGATAGTGTGAAGCAGGCCATCAAGGTGAGTCCGTTGGAACTGTGGCATTTCTCTCTCCCATCCACTCAGCCCACCTCGTTTACAGCACGTTTGGCGTATCAATTGGGATGTATAATTCTGTTTTATCTGCTACAGGAAGCTAATAATCACCTACCGCAATTGCAGCGAGATGCAGCTCTGCCGAATCCCGATCCTGCGGCCGATTCTCCGAGCGCGGCCCTTGTCAACGACTATGCGCCGTACATGGTCGCTACCTATGCTCGCCCGCCGCCGGTGTTTGTCCAGGGCGAGGGCTCGTGGCTCTGGGATATTGAGAACCGAAAGTACCTTGATTTCACGGCCGGAATTGCTGTGACGGGGCTGGGCCACAGCGACCCCGAGCTTACGGATATTATTGCGCAGCAGGTTTGTAGCGTCATCCGACAATAGTGAGGGCCCTTTGTGCTGAGCAGATAAACTGACATGTGAGCTGGAGCATAGGCCGGCACGCTGATCCACGCCTCGAACCTGTACTACAACCCCTGGACCGGCGCGCTGTCCAAGCTGCTCGTCGAAAAGACGCTCGAGGCAGGATGCATGCACGAGGCCTCGCGTGTCTTCATCTGCAACTCCGGCACCGAGGCCAACGAGGCTGCCATCAAGTTCGCCCGCAAGGCAGGCAAGATTGTCGATCCGTCGGGCGAAAAGGTCGACATTGTCTCGTTCAAGCACGGATTCCACGGCCGTACGATGGGAGCGCTGTCGGCGACGCATAATCCCAAGTACCAGAAGCCATTTGCGCCGATGGTGCCTGGCTTCAAGGAGGGGACTTACAACGATGTTGCTGGAATCAACGACCTTGTCAACGACAAGACCTGCGGTGTCATTGTCGAGCCTATCCAGGGCGAGGGAGGCATCTTTGCCGGCAGCGAGGAGTTTATGATCGCCCTCGCCAAGCGATGCCGCGAGGTTGGCGCTGTCTTGATCTACGACGAGATCCAGTCCGGCATGTCGCGCACCGGCAAGCTCTGGGCCCACGGCGATCTGCCCAAGGAGGCCCATCCCGATATCTTGACCACGGCCAAGGCCCTCGGCAACGGCTTCCCCATCGGCGCCGTCCTGGTCACCGAGGCCGTCAGCGAGAAGATCCAGCTCGGCGACCACGGAACCACGTTTGGCGGCAACCCCCTCGCCTGTCGTCTTGCCCACCACGTCCTCACGAAGCTCTCTGCGCCTGAACTCCTCGAGGGCGTGCATGCAAAGTCAAAGGTCTTCAAGGACCGCTTCGCCAAGCTCCAGGCTAAATTCCCCGAGCTCATCACCGAGGCGCGCGGCCGCGGCCTCATCCTCGGCCTGCAACTCACCGAGGACCCATCTCCGATTGTGAAAGCTGCCCGGGAGAGGGGCCTGCTGGTGATTACGGCGGGCACGAACACGCTGCGTTTCTTGCCGAGCTTGGTGATGACTGAGGAGGAGATTCACCATGGACTGGATATTTTGGAGGAAGCGATTGCTGCTACCCGTTCCTAAAGTAGGGGAAAAGAGATTTTATGCTCTTTTGGCCTTTTTGTTTTGAGTGTCTTGTATAAATGTTTGGCAGCTTAGATCATGATTTAGTTTGGTAGGAGGTCCTACTGTGTATAAAAGTTTTTTTCCTATTTTTACAGAAAACATATAAAAAAGCAGTCATGGTGTTTGAACACGCTCCCACTAGCATACGCTGGGCACAGTCACATCTCATGTATAGTGAAGTTGGAATGAAATAATGTGGCCAGGATAACCTTTTTTCAATATATGTAACATGTACTATTGTACCCATTGAACTTTTTCTTTTGTTTTGAATTTTGAAGCATACGCTTTTTAATTTAGCAAATGGCATGGGTCTTGCCATGCTTGCCCTGTAACGAGTGTCCCTCGCCCTAAAAGATGGTTCGGTCAGCTCCAAGATATCCAGAGGAAAAGAAAGGCTACAACGAAGCTGTCAAAACTTACCTGGTAGTGCTTCGAGGCATGGTGTCTGGCCTGCTGCTTGTTCTTGCCGTGCGAGGCGATGTGATCTCGAATAAAGGCCTCCTGTCTCTTGATCGTCTCCACGTCCGATTGCTCCAGCAGTCCCAGGCAGAGTCTGATGTCATGGATGAGCATGTCGCATCTGCTCTTGGAGAAGTCCTCCCGCACGACGACGCGCAGCATCTTGAGCTGCTCGGTGTGCGGCGCCATCGTGTACGCCGGGACGACCCATCCCCGGGAGCGCAGGTGGTGGGCGAGCGCAAACTCGTCGTAGTGACGGTCCTTTCCGCCCTCGGCGGCGCTCTTGAAGCGGAAGGCCACGAGGGGCAGGCCCTGGCCGCCGCGCTCGGACATGATGACGAAGCCGTCGCGCTCGAGGACCTCGGTGAGGTAGTCGGCGGTGCGGGTCAGGTTGCTCATGATGGACTCATAGCCCTTCTTGCCGAGGCGGATGAACTGGTAGTATTGGCCGATGACCTGCGAGGCGCCCTTGGAGAAGTTGAGGGTGAAGGAGGACTGCTCGGCGCCGAGGTAGTTGATGTTGAAGATGAGGTCCTGGGGGAGGTACTCGTGGGAGCGCCAGATGACCCAGCCAACACCGGGGTAGACGAGGCCGTACTGTTTTTTTGGGTGGGAGGTTAGTTGGCGATCTGGAGGCATGGATGGGCAAAGATGATGTGCAGACAAGATGGGAATGCTTACCTTGTGGCCGGAGGTGTTGATGGAGACGACTCTGGGCAGTCTGAAATCCCACTGCAGGTCGGGCAGGACAAAGGGGGCGACGAAGCCGCCGCTGGCAGCGTCGACGTGGATGGAGATGTCCAGGCCGCGCTCCTCCAGGAGGTCGTTGACGCCCTTGACGTCCTCGTAGTGGCCGGTGTAAGTGGTGCCCAGGATGACGGCAATGCCAATGGTGTTCTCGTCAACCAGGTTCACGGCCTCCGAGGGATCAATGGTGTACCGGTCGGCAGTGCAGTAGACGTACTTCTCCTCGACCTCGAAGTAGCGCGCGGCCTTTTCCCAGCAGACCTGCACGGCGGACGACATGATGATGTTTGGCTTGTCGGTGGGCTTGCCCTCGGCCTGGCGCTTGAGCTTCCAGCGGCGCTTCATGGCCAGCACGCCGAGCATGATGGCCTCGGAGGAGCCGATGCAGGACGTGCCGACGCTGTCGCCGCCGGGGGGAGCGTGGAAGAGCTCGCCGATCATGTTGACGCAGCGGTTCTGGATGTCGGCGGACTGGGGGTACTCCTCGTAGTCGATGAAGTTTTTGGAGAAGGCCTCGGTCATGAGCTTCTCGGCCTCTTCTTCCTATACATTTTTGCGAGGGACTGGTGAGACGCTGGAAGCAATTGATTTTGACTGAATAGCAAGACATACCATGTAAGTCGTGACGAATGAAGCCAGGCTTTTTACAGATTAAATACTTAGATTAGCTTCTAAACTCAATTGGCAGCCTCAGAAAGCTTACTTGAGCTTGGGGTTGTTGTCCAAGCTGAGGTGGTCCTTGATCATGTGGTAGGCAACGTCCTTGGGCATTGCGCCGCTGGGGATGCTGTGCTTGGGCAGATCCTGGCCGGCGAATTGCGAGCCGTAGACGCTGGTGGTGAACTCATCCTGATAGCTGGACAGCTTGACCTGCGAGAGGCTCTTGTGGAGGGCCGTCTCGGGAGCGAGGGAGCTGGAGCCTCCGGCCGGGGCCATCTGGGGGCCGGGACTGACCGAGGCAGACCGGTTGACTGCGCTGAGATGGACCATGATGGCGGGTGTATGTAGAGCTAGTTGGGTAGAGTATTGGAAGAGTGAAGATGGAAATAAGAGAGAAAGAGTAGAAGAATCAAATCAGCAGTGGTGAAATGGGGAGGAGGGGAATATAGGAATATAGGAGGGAAGAAAGAGGAGCAAGTGGGAGGGAGCAGTGACGACGTTCTGGGTATTTCTACCTATAGCAACACGAGCTCCATGCCGCGACTCCAGTGACATCCATCTGCGAATAGCAACGTGCAGCAGCTCCTAACTAGCACTTACACGGCCTGGTGAGGGGTACCCAGCAAACCTCGCCTCGCGAAAGCGCATCTCAAGCCCAGCTCGCATGGCTTCAGCATCCAATGACGGGCTGCCTCCGCGGCCGTGGAGCAGCAGCCAGCCACAGACGAATGGCCCAGGATAGTTCTGAACGCTGAAAGCTACAACGCTGTCTGCCGGTGGGCTCTGGATGGAGCTCCAATGGGCAGTGCCGCGCGCTATTAGTTCGAACTGGAGCTTTGTTTGCAGCAGATTAATTGACGCTTATGATGCATTTGAGTGTTTTTGGAGGAGCCTTCTTTGTTTGCACCCCCTCTCTCTCTTTGTCTTGTTGCTCCTTATATCATGCGAGCGGCGGGTCAATTTGTGTATATGATGGGACGCCCGGTTTAGAACAGCCACAACGGGTAACAGTTACGAAAAAGGCAATCAAGCTACGTATTGCTTCGTACAACTACTGCTGCTCAGGTACTTGACTCTGTCGCAACAATTGAAAGCAATGCAGCTTCAAGCTTCCCATCTCGTTGCCCCTCATCTCGTCCAAAAAACCTGGCTCTCGAGCTGCCCCTCCCCCTCCCTAGACTCTTGTCTGCATCATACGTACCAATATGCTTAGGACCTATCCCCATCCCTGTCACACTAGACCGCTCCCCCCCCCACCAGGCTCGCCGGATCTGACGGCTAACAAAGCCCCCATCTGAAATGAATGATGTCGACGCTTTTGAAAAGCTTGGCCCTTTGGTCGCGGCCGATCCCATCAGATGTGCCGGCGACCCGGGCTCTCGCATCTCTCGTCTTCGTGTTTTGCTGGGCCGGACGCTCCGCCTAGGCTCTTTTCTGTGGCACTTGCGCTTTTTTGGTTGCTTGTTCGATTGTTTTGTCTCCCAAGTATGTAGATGCAGATGGGCTGTGTATTGTTGGCGCAGATCACCGGGCCGCGCGCAGGAGCAATCGCGAAACGAGCTCCTGAGTTTTATGCGCGGGCGGGCGAATGGCGTTGGATGAGACTTGAGATGAAACCAGATATTGCCGGTGTGCTATGCCGCTGTTCCGAGCAAATAACGGATGTATACGGGATGGATGGATTGATGGACATGGACACGACACACATGCAGACTATTTGATGCTGTGTCGTGCTGTCAAGCGAGTTACTAGGCGAGCTGTCATCTCATCCTTTTCACCAACAACAGCGTGGAGTCGTGGAGTCGTGGCGCTGCTACACGTGGTGGTGCCAGAAGACAATCGACCGCTCCAGTTTGTAACTGTATCACTCAAATCATACCAAACAGACAACGGTCAGTGACGTGAAATGAAAATAAATCCTGCAGTTTTTCGACTACAGCTCTTTGCTTTCTGGCGGCATCCAAGCGACGCTCTATATATACGGCCTCGCAGAGCCCAAAGCAGAAGAAACAAAAATGATACTAGATGGCTTGCGCGCTCTATGGTAGGTATTTCATACAGTCTCAAAACAAACAAAGAAAAAGAAGAAGAAAAAGCAGCACATGGCTCGACAAGCATCGTCGTCTTCGGCTGTTGTTCCATATCATTCATTCCGAAATTATTATTCATCGTCGCCCGTGCTCGTCAATCCACTCGCCAGCCCATGCATCCTTCGTCCCAGCAAGTCTTCCGAGCTCGCCAACTTGACCAGGCTCTTGTTGCCTCGAATCGACTTCTTGCCCCTCCTGCCATTCCTGTCGCCATTAACCGGCAGCGGCGAGTTCGACTCCGTGGTATCAGCAGAACCAGGCAGTGGTGAATGGCCGTTGGCGTCTCCGTTTTGCGTTGTGCTCCTCCCGCGAGACAACTTGGTCATGCTAATCTCCAGCGGCCTATCTTCATCGCCACTGGATTCCGCAACTGACTGCCGTCGTAATGCGCCATTCGTGGTCTGGGTTTGATTCTTGATCCGAGCTGCCCGTCTGGCTTGTTCGAGTCTCTGGCTCTCTGCATCAGCAAAGAGCTGGTCGAACCAAGCTGCGCTGCGGTCAAAGTGCTTCCACGCCGGCGGGTAAACGCCCGGAAACTGCATGAAGCCATGCGAAGTACCGGGAATTAGAAGCACCTCTGTGACTTCTTTGTCGTCAAACGTCCAGTTCTCATCCAGGCGTGATGAGCGGGAAAGCTCCCGTCGTGCGGCTGCCTCCTTTGCACGTCTCAAGCGTCCCGCAAAGATGACTGTGTCGTCCACCAAGGGATCTCGCTCTCCAGTCATGAAATATGTCTTGGGGAAATTCTCCAACAACTCTTCGGGCGCAAGCACAGGGCTGAGGAAGTAATCTTGCGTGAAATCGGGGCGGTTATGAGCGCCAATGTACAGAATAATCATGGCTCGCATCATCTCAGGAGTGAGTACTCGATCATTGAAGTAGGATATCATCGAAGCAGTTGCCAGGCGAGTCTTCATGGGTTCTGCACGATGGGATACGGCTCCCTCTTTCTTCTCGTCGGGGGCTCGTGAAGAACTGAGCGATCTTGGTCCGGCATGGCAGTATTCAGGTCGTGTGCCTCCATCGGGAGATGGCTCTGTGGGGGGCGACTCGTCTTCGTTGTCAGAGTGATGCGGTGTGCCGACCAGATCGTTGTACTGCATGCTTTTCCTTCGCATGATGGATTTATTCGTCTTTCTCATTCTCCGATCTCGAATCAGCGACATCTGCTCGTCTGACATCCAGTTTCCAATATTCATATCCAGCGTGGGGTAGAAGCAGACGAGTCCGTCGGGGGGCGGCAGTTTGCCAACTCCAGACGCGCGTCGGTAATGGCTGATTCCAGTCTCGAGCACCATCAGCGTCGTCGCAACAGCCAAGTTTCCGCCTGCGCTGTCTCCAGTAACTATGATGTTGGGGACCTCTTTGCCCGACATACCGATACATCTGCCCCGAGACTTGATGAGTGTTACATAGACATCGAAGCATTCGTTCAACGCATATGGATATGGATATTCCGGTGCCTTTTTGTAGTCAATGCTGAGGATGGGCAAGCCTGTTTTCGCAGCCCAAGCAAACAGCTTGTCGTCATTGCAGCGAGGATCCATAGCCACAAACCCACCACCCGGTATATCCAGGATTAGTCTATTATGGTGCTCCAAGTCTGCAAGCGGCCCGTCATAGTAAAGCCACGCAGAGACATATTCCTTATAGTCGCTATTCGTGGGTCGCGGAATTCGGACTTGCCTTGGCGGCCATCTCGTAAATCGTGGCCGCATGAGACGCTGAAGAAAGCCCAAGTACGGAGTTGTTCCCTTGTTCCACGCAACTCGCAGGTGGTCAACCGTAATCATTCCACGCACCTTGCGGACCTTTTCGTCGGCCTTTTCAGCGGCCACTAGGTAATAGAGGGAGAAGACAATGCTCGCAATATCGCGTAGCCATTTGGTTCGAATCTTCATGGCAGTCCAAAAGCCAGCATCCAGTGCAGTCAACACCCAGGTGGCCCGGTAATAAGTTGGGTCGTACATGTTGGCCATGGGCTCGGGACTGGCAAGGCCGACCAGAGCGCTGAAGTTGCGGGCAGCATAGAGATAGAGCATAGTGATGATGGCGGTCTGCCATACTGTTAACCGCCTAGAGAGGAATTTTGAAACATTCTGCGCAAAAGACGGGCCATGCTTGTGGCCTCTGCTGTTCGGTTAGAGATGCCTTTATTCTGCCACTGCTGTTGAGCAAATCCTGATGCAGACGTACTTGTAGAGGTAAAACGTCCAGAAAGATAGCACGGCAAGAACTTGCAGGCGCCTTGATTTGGACGACGGCCGTCCGAGAACGTGATCTATCATGTTGCAAGCGAAGAGAGAAAAACAATTGATCTATGTCCGGGTATTATAGCGTGTAGTATTATACATGTGATGCGCACGTCTAGGCCCGGTGCGATGGCCTCTTATAAAAACGGATCGTAGACGCAATGACGTATCATTTCAATTCGCGGCAATCCTGGCCGAGCACGCTGTTGGAGCTTCGCAAACTGTTACACTCTCTCTCTCTCTGGAGAGAAGTGGTTATCGTCGGGTAGTGTAGTATATTCGGTCGTCTTCATGAGATGAGGATTTCATCAAAATCCAGCCATCCGGAGCTCGCGATCCGAAACTGAGGCCAGCCTCTTGGACACGGTCGGTTCACTGGTCGACGGTGGCGATAATTACTATTACAGCTTGGTAGGTGTTATGTGATGTACTGTACGGAGTGCGCGGCGAGATGGGCGGAAGACATGGAGTTCACAGAAAAGGAGCAGCCGGTAACGATTACGAGAGATGTGGGATAAGGATCCTAGATCGGCCAGGCCAGGCTTGTGACAGGCACATGTCACGTCAATACAAGATGCTCGGTTGGATTCTCGGCCTCTGGGCCTGTGCTGTGTTCGTCCTCGTGACGACGATGCAGACAGCAGGGTCTTGTCACACTGTGGCCGGCGGTTGCTGACATGTGAAAGTCGGGCAAAAGCCCGTCTTTGGGCAGACACTCTCCACTGTCCGTGGCAGCCAATCAGAGGCTTGCCCACAGTGTCTTCCCGGGGTCTCCCCCACGATCTGACGGGTTGTTTGGGGCTTTGTTGCTACTCTGCGTTGTCGCTGGTTGACAATTCGGGTCGCGTTGGCTCGCTGAAAACGGCATGCGAGGCGGCGTCAAGCTCCAGCGTCAATGTGTTTCAGTATATATTGATCCAATCCTAACGCCATGACTGCGGAATTGGAACTATTTGCGACCTATGAGCGACCTATGGAGCATTCGCATCATTTTCTAATCCGACCATGCTGCAGTATTGGAGAAAGCTGAGGGTTGGAGTTTAGCTGAAATGCATCACAGCCATGCAGGGTATTGGGAGTACTAGTAATACGAAAGCGCCGCCCCTGACTCTACATAAGCATAATTACGTACGATGGTAATATTTCTGCCTACGAAATATTACTTGTTGCTTAGTGTACGCATGCGCCAACACTACCCTAGAGCTGCAGCTTGTTATCTCATCTACTTTGTGTAAAGCATGCCCTTTTCTCGGACTGTACTAAATACAACATATAACTATTGTTGAGCAAAATGAAGAGCTGATCTGTCGGACATTATCAGCCCTTTCACGCTCTCGCTCGCGTGAGAGCCACGGGCAGGCCCCTAATCGTATGCTACCAGCTAGATCTTAATTGCGTCATAGCACAGAATGAGGCAGAATGGGAAAAAATGTATCGGTGAACAAGGAATTATCTAGACTTACACGGACAGCCCGGCAGCCAGTGGAGAATATCCCGGTCTCGGGACTTGCTGAGGCCTTTTCCAAACCCCTTTCTCTGACTCGCACCTCTCTTCTGGCGAAATTGACTATTGTGGACACACTACACGTAGTCCACTCAACAGCTCTCCACAGCTCTTAATCTCATAGATCTAATGAGCCTATCCTAAAAGTAGGTCGTAGAGCCAAGTAGAGGTAGAGGTTGTTCGTGGGGTTTACCCTTAATTTTTACCTTAAAATTTCTTCTCATTGCTACAGCATAAGTGTACAAATGGCTGATGCAGCGTTACGCAAGGTCGTAACCAAGTAGGACTCCCTTGCCAAGGCCCCAAGCAACTGAGACATGCATGGTAGCCTGTACCTATCACCACTAAGATCACAGAGACCGCATTCCCATGGGCCATTTAGACTCCAAAATCCTGGCTTGTTCATCTAGTTGATCCGCACAAGTCGCTCACTATCCCAGATGGCCGATCATGCGCGTTCCATTCAGGCCAGCTTCATCGACCAGGGCCTGAATCGCAGCGGGTCCAAAGCATCTCAAAAGAGCTGAGCTGAAGTCGATCCCGTTGAAAAAAAGAAGCTGTGTACTACATAGATTGATGAATCTGAGACAGGCTGGGTTATACCGACTATGAGATTGGGGGCCCCAATCTCTAGCTATGGCGTTGTAGGCGATTTAAAAGCAGTCGCCTCGCGGCTTCATCCATCATCATGTAGTAGTCTTTTTACAGCTCAGCCAGCTCTTGATAGTGTAGCATCTTTCGAAATGGCTTACCTCTGCAAACTTGCTGCCGTTGTGGCCTTTGTCCTTGCGACTCCGGCTGCTGCTATCAGCCCTAATGCCATTTATGACGGAGGAATCAAGGGCAACAATGGCTCGATCCAGCTGGCCATTGGTAACGGTGGTGCTGGCCAAAGCGGTTTGATCAAGGGTAATATTATTCACAATCCTGAGCCGCTGTCTTGAGATGCAGGTATCTGACGTCTTATTTCTTGTATTAGCCCTCGCGGATGCCTACATCAAGGATACCGTCTCCAATGGCACGAAGCCCTTCCGCGTGGCGTGGTACACGAGTGACACCACCTACAGCATCGAATATCTCCAGTCTGGCCTCATTGATGTTGGCATCACCTACAGCCCGGCAGCAGAGAAGATTGCCATCGACCAGGGCATCGCTCTGTCTCCGAGCTACTATGCTTTCCGGGACCATTTCCTCCTCGTTGGTCCCAAGTCCAACCCTGCCAACATCTCCAAGTCGATGGACATCTTCACCATGTTCTCTCAGATCCACACGGTGGCTGAGAATGAGCAGACTACACCACCGGTCCGCTTCCTGAGCCGTTATGACAAGTCTGCCACCAATATCAAGGACTCCCTGCTGTGGGTTAGCATCGGCCAGGTAAGTCTAGACGGCTCCTTATTTTCCATCTCCTTGGCCATTTCATGATCCAATGGACTAACAGTTGTTTCAAAGGTTCCCTGGGCTACTGCTTACTCTACCTGGTACCATCAATACATCGCTTTCCCGATCCAGGCTCTCACGGCTGCCATTCTTCTCGATGAATACACCATCACTGACAGAGGCACCATTCTGTCTCTGGATGCCAAGCTCCGCAACCAGACTGTCATTTACAAGGCTGGTTCAGACAATGCCGACGATGCTCTTCTGAACCCTGCTCACCTCCTTGTTGGAAAGAAGGCGCCTCACCCCAAGGTGGCCAGTGACTTCGCCAAGTGGGTGGTTGGCAAAAGGGGCCAAGCTGTGATTGCTGGATTCAAGAAGGACGGCCAGCAGCTGTACAGCCCGGCGCCTCCCACCAACTCTACCGCATAAATTATGTATAAAGATAACATCGATGATAGCGAACCTGGACATTAGAATATGGCTAGAAATAATATCTAATTGATAAATGCTAATATATTGGTCAGTCATTGCATGGATCCTCGTATGCTGCTCCATGATGATACGTATGTGCACTGGCGTATGGAATATAGAGCATTCAACTTAAAAATGCACTAGAAGATGCGCTAAAAATGAGTTTCAGTTGATTGAACGAATAATAATTGTATATAATTTGCTTCATTATAACTATCAATTGCCGTTTAGCTCTGAATTGAGCGAATCTCTGTGTATAAATGCGGCACGCTGTATGAAAATTTCCCATATTCGCACATACCAGCCGCCCCGCCCTTTCATTGGCTGGAGCTCGCAACACATCCCACCATCTGGGCCCCACCTGCAATTATCCCGATTCCAATACTTTTTTCGGCCTGCTAACCCCAATCTTCAACCCCAAGCGAAAAACCGCTGCGGCATCATGAGCAGCCGCTCATGAAACTCCCCGGTCGAGTGGACGGCTCTTTCTGCGGTGCGGTGCTGTCGACCCGATCATCGGCCGGCTTCGTGGCAGCCAGTCTGCGCCGCAATGTGGCTGGCCAAGAGCCTCGAAAAAGCAGAAGTGCTCCTCCAAAAAGACCGGCAGCTTCGCCGGTAACATGGCGCCAGCCACGGCCGCTCTCCTGTCCGAGGAGCTCGCAATGGCTGCTATCGACCTTTGTGCCAGGCCTCGAAAAGCACCGCACCGCACCGACGCAGAACCCACGACGCACCGCTCGCTGCTACGGGACAGCCGCCGCATCTGATGTCTCAGGCACACGACAGCGGCCGCAGCCACCGCCTCCCGCCATAGGCCAAGATAAGGGAAAGATGCTGCTGTACGTCGACCAGTCCGACGTGGGCAGCGTGGAGGAGTATTTTGATTTCTACAAAGATCCATACCGGCGTGGATATGCTGCGCCAGACGGGCCAAAGCTGAGAGTGTCTGAGAAGAAGAGCGATGTGCAGTATCCCTCTTCTGACGAGACGGCCATGACAAACGATGGGACGCAAGAAACATTGGGCCGGCTTCAAACTGCCATCGGCCAAAGGTTGCGGCATCCGAATCGCTACTCTCTGGATGGGATACACAAATTATACTCGGAGCTTCCCGAGCCACGCATGCTGTGTCTCACGTGGCAATGGCGGAATAGACTTTTGAGAGTGATGGGAACGCCTCAGAAGCGTGACATGGAGTCCATGTTGCGTTATTTCGCTTTGGTTGCGGATGTTAAGAATGCAGGGCTTACTCTTCGCCGCTCGCAGTGGAATTACGCTCTAGCCTTTGCGACCAAGTATACTGCCAGGGTCACGACGCAGGAGATGGAATCTGCGCTGAGAATTTGGAAAGAAATGGAAAGGGAAGCCAAAATCATGGGAAACGACGTGACGTTTAACGTTCTATTTGATGTTGCCGCCAAGGCAGGGAATTTCACGCTGGCTGATATGATATACAAGGAGATGGAGACTAGAGGAGTTGAGTTTAATCGTTTTCACCATGTCAGTCTCATCCATTACTTTGGATTGAAGCTTGACTCTGGTGGGATTCGAGCTGCATACCGGGAGATGGTCGAATCTGGCGAGATGATTGATACCGTCGTTCTCAATTGCGTCATCTCAGGCCTTCTCAGATGTGGTGAAGAGTCAGCCGCCGAAGAGACATATCAGCGGATGAGAAATGATCACCATATGGCGTCTGAGATCCCTCAAAAGGACTATATGATGAACAAGGTTGTCACCAAAGTTCTTATGATGTTTACACGAGTGGGAAAGAAACATCCAGAGCTGAAGAAATCTTTTCAGACAAATGTGCGCTTGACACCAGATTCGCACACGTACAAGTTGCTGGTGGATCACTATGCTATCAGAGTGGGCAATCTCCAAAAAGTTGCTCAATACCTGGATGAGATGAAGCATCTGAAAATATCCATCCATCCTACCATTTTCCTGGCCCTATTCAAAGGGTTTTACGCACATGGAGGATTTGCCGGCTCGGACTGGTCAGAGCAGCGCCTAGAGGGTATACTGGCAGCATTTTATCAGGCTCACGATGATTACGCAAAGGAGTTTCGTATAGACCGCTGGGTAGTTATTTGGGCTCTGCGGGCGGTAAAAAAGTGCTGCTCCAACGAGGCACTCATCCAGACGTTTGAGTCCATGTCTCAAAGGTGGGATATCCAGCCGGACCGTCACCAATTCATGCAGGCACTCTTTGAGAATATTCTCCATGACAGAGACCTCAGGTCTACTCGGAATGATGGGCTCCAGCTGCAGCGACGTAAGAAGGATGCGTCATGGTTATGAGGGGGCTTCTAGCGATGTGATTGTATATAAGCATTCATGTAGTTGTACTTTTAGATGGCATACATACAAGGCAAACATATAGACAAACCCTATTGTGGTATAAAAAGACGATTTATGACATGATTAGTATCAACCAAATTTGTAGTCCCAAGAGAGGTCTGGTCGCAAAGTAGATTTGGCACAAAAGATATTTTACATATGTGACTGCAATTGGCCTCACGTCTATTCGAGCTATTTACTCCATTCCAACAACTCGCTACCCGTACAGCACGACGCCTAGCATCCAACCCACAACGATATTTCGAATCGATCCAGCAATTTACTGAGTCTTGTAGGTCTGGTAGACTGAAATTGCCTGTTAGCCGCATCGCATAGCCGAAAACCGCGACGCATGGTGGGGTAGCTCTCGACTCACCAGCAATGCCGAAGGGAGCAAAGAAGCCAACGGTCATGAAGGTCCAGTAGCCGGCGCCGAAGTACTTGCTGCGAGGGTTGAAGGGCAGGTTGGAGTAGGGGCCCTCGGGGTAGTGGTAGGGAGAGGACATGCGAGGGCGGGTGGTGTGGAAGCCTCGGCGGGCGACCATGGAGGTGGTGCGGGTGGCAGCGCGGGCGATCATCTGTAACGAGGGCCAATTAGTTGTCTGTGGGCTGAAGAAGCAATGTCTGTGTGCCTGGGATGAGGCTGACCTTTGCGGGACGTCGAGATTGGTGAGACGTGGGCGAGTTGAGGCGAGTTGAGATGGTTCTTCACAGTATAAGCTTCCCGAATCAATATCGTTCGATTGAGGTCAAAACGCCGCTTGCGAGTCACGTGCAGCTGTAGCTTTTAAGCATGGGCTTATGTAATGCAATGGCTAAAGTGCTGGTACGGAGAATTATTGCAAAGGTACTTGAATTGCGCCGAGACAGACGGTGTGCGCAAAGTACCCGTGGATCTCGATGCGCCTCACCGCCTTCTCCCAGAAGCAAGGTGATTTTCTTTTCTGCCACTCTAATCCACTTCTTTTCAGGGAAATATTTCGTCAAACAATCTTTGCGTCTTGGTACCGTTTGGAGGATCTACACCTTCCAAGTGGAATTTTACTTCAATGTCTAGCTAATTTGGCTGGCTAATGTGGTTGATTTGATATTCTCATACTGTCATCAACCTGGAATTTTGAATTATTGTCAAGAGCTTTCCATTGCGATTTTAGACACGCAAAAGTTGCAGGAACTGGCTCCACATTCGCCCAGAATCGATTGACACCTTTTTTTTTAAGCATACCATTTTTTTCTCTCCCAATTTCAGCATACCCTTCCGCTTATTCATAGCTGCAATTAAGATACAGATTCGGCAAGATGGATGACATGTTTAATGTTTTCGACGGCAAGGCGGAGGCCCCAAGCGACAGCGAAGATGAAAGAACGCCTCAGAAGAGCCGTAGCAGAGCCCAGAGCAAGAAGCGCAAGGCCGACGAAGCGATGAATGGCAACGCGGATGCGGATGCGGATGCGACAAACGACGATGCAGACGTCGGTATGGCTGACGCTGCCGAGGCTTCTCGAGACGAGGAGTCTGAGGGCGAGGAGGACTCAGATGCGCCCGATAAGCAGGACAAGAAGCGACGCAAGAAGGCCGAAGAGGCTGGGCCGGTCATGACGGACAATTTCCAGACGGCAGAGTCAAGAGAAGTAGCGGGCGCCTCAACATTTGTTTCACAGGATGCGTCGCTCGTTCTGTCACACAATATTCAGCATCAGGTGGCTCTTCCACCTGATCTCAACTACGAATACATCCCTCTTTCAGAGCACAAGTCGCCCGAAGAGCCCGCGAGAACATATCCTTTCAAGCTGGATCCTTTCCAGAGCTTGTCTGTTGCATCGATCGAGCGCGATGAAAGTGTTCTGGTGTCGGCACACACCAGTGCGGGAAAGACGGTGGTGGCAGAATACGCGGTCGCACAGTGTCTCAAGCGCAACCAGAGAGTCATTTACACCAGTCCGATTAAGGCCTTGAGTAACCAGAAATACAGAGACTTTGAGGCCATTTTTGGAGATGTTGGATTGATGACTGGTGATGTTACAATCAACCCCACGGCAAGTTGCTTGGTCATGACCACCGAGATTTTGCGATCAATGTTGTATCGCGGTTCTGAGATTATGCGCGAAGTTGCTTGGGTTGTGTTTGACGAAATCCACTACATGCGAGACAAAACTCGAGGTGTGGTTTGGGAAGAGACAATCATCATGCTTCCCGACAAGGTCCGATACGTTTTTCTTTCTGCCACCATTCCAAACGCTTTCCAGTTTGCGGAATGGATTGCCAAGATCCACCACCAGGCCTGCCACGTCGTTTACACCGATTTCAGACCTACTCCGCTACAAAACTACTTTTACCCTGCTGGGGGAAAAGGCGCCAGAATGGTGGTGGATGAGAAGGGTTACTTCAACGAGGAGAATTTCAACCTTGTTATGGCCGAAGTTGAAGAGAAGAAGGGCTCTGACCCTGCTGATTTCACCGCCAAGATGAAAGGAAAAGGAAAGAACAAGAAAACCAACAAGGGCGGTGCTGACGAAGGCTCCGACATCAACAAGATCATCCGAATGACGATTAAGAGGAATTTTAACCCTGTCATCGTCTTCAATTTCTCCAAACGGGAGGTTGAAAACATGGCAGTCAAGATTTCCAACCTCAACTTCAACGATGACTCAGAAAAGGCCATGGTGAACAAGGTCTTCCAGAGTGCTATTGAGAGTTTGTCAGAACAAGACCGAGAACTGCCACAGATCCAGAACCTGCTGCCTCTGCTGCAGAAGGGTGTTGGTGTCCATCACTCTGGTCTGCTGCCGATTCTCAAGGAGACAATCGAGATTTTATTCCAGGAGTCCCTGATTAAAGTTTTGTTCGCAACCGAGACCTTCTCCATCGGTCTCAACATGCCTGCCAAAACAGTTGTCTTTACTCAAGTTACGAAATGGGATGGCGTAAATATCCGACCAATCACGTCATCGGAGTATGTTCAGATGGCTGGACGTGCTGGTCGTCGTGGTCTTGATGCCCGAGGTGTTGTTATCATGATGATTGACGACAAGCTTGAGCCAGATGTGGCTAAGCAGATCGTTACTGGCCAGCAGGACAGACTTAACTCTGCATTCTACCTGGGCTACAACATGATTCTCAACCTTCTCAGAATTGAAGCCATCTCTCCTGAGTTTATGCTGGAGAGATGTTTCCATCAATTCCAGAACGCTGCCAGCGTTCCAAGCCTCGAGAAGGACCTGATGGAGCTGCAGCAGGAGAGGGATGCCCTGACAATACCAGATGAGGCCACAGTGAAGGATTATTATACAATCAGACAACAGCTGAACACATACACAAAGGATATGCGAGCTGTCATTCAACACCCGAACTACTGCCTACCCTTCTTACAGCCTGGCCGCCTTGTGCAGATCCACAACCCTAAGGAGTCGGTGGAGAAGATTGGTGGCGGACTCGACTTTGGCTGGGGTGTTATCACTGATCAATACCAGCGACGAGCTCCCAAGCTTGGCGAGCCTGATTACCCGCCCCAAGAATCCCACATTATCGAAGTCCTTCTCTACATTTCCAAGTCAAGTGCGGAAATTATTCCTGGCCAGCCATCTGGTGAAATGCCACCCGGCCTGAAGCCATCCACCAACGATGATGGCATGTTCGCAGTCGTGCCGTGCCTCCTTACATGCATCAAAGCCATCAGCCAGATCCGAATCTTCATGCCAAAGGATGGCCTGAAGTCCGATGACGATCGCAAAGACTCCGCAAAGGCCTTGAGCGAAGTACAGCGCCGATTCCCAGATGGCGTGCCCATCTTAGATCCACTTGAAAACATGGATATCTCAGATGAATCTTTCAAGCAGCTTCTCCGAAAAATTGAGGTCCTCGAGTCCAGACTTGTAACTAACCCACTTCACATGTCTCCTATGCTTCCTTCATTGTGGGATCAGTACCACGTCAAGGTTCAGATATTGGAAAAGATCAAGGAGAAGAAGAAGGAGATTGCAAAGGCCCATAGCATTGCACAGCTGGATGAGCTCAAATCCAGAAAGCGTGTCCTGCGCCGTCTCGGATTCATTAACGATGCCGAGGTCGTTCAGCTCAAGGCTCGTGTTGCCTGCGAGATTTCTTCCACCGAAGGCCACGAACTGCTCTTGTCGGAGCTTCTCTTTGATCGATTCTTCAACGAGATGACTCCTGAGACGATTGCCGCTGTTCTTAGCTGCTTCGTATTCGACGAGAAGATTGAGACCCAAGCATTAAAGGAAGAGCTGCAGAAGCCTTACCGCGAGATCCAGGCCAAGGCTCGACTGATTGCCAAGGTTAGCCAGGAGTCTAAGCTGGATGTTAACGAGGACCAATACGCCCAGAGCTTGAAGTGGCAGCTTATGGAGACGATATATGCGTGGGCACAGGGACGGCCGTTTGTTGAGATTTGGTAAGTAACGATATCTCAGTCAAGTCTCCTTCTTTTATGGATTATTCGTAAACTAATAATGTTTTCTTTTCTAGCAAAATGGCAAACGTCTACGAGGGTTCGTTTATTCGTATCTTCCGCCGTCTCGAGGAGCTTCTGCGACAAATGGCCCAGGCCGCAAAGGTTATGGGCAATGACGATCTGACGAAGAAGTTTGAGGAGAGCTTAGGAAAGATCAGGAGAGATATCGTAGCTGCCCAGAGCTTGTATCTGTAAGCGCGACAGAGGGTGCTCTTGCTATTTATTGGAGAAAAGGGGAGAGGGGAAAGCATTTTATTTCTCTCGGCATTCAAGTCGGTTATTAAGAGTCATATGTACGGAGTAGATACCTCTTTTTTTTTTTTTTT